CAAAGTTTAACTTGTGAGATATACGAAACGATATTTATACGCATTGATTATGAATATATTATTTGTCGCTTTACGTGAATATGCAAAATGTAAAAGCATAAATATAATTAACCAGCTGCTGTTTCCCATGTAATTTGTAATTTTAGCAATGCGCCTTCCGCATCCGATTGACGTCACTGTGCAAAATTACGCAATTTTGTGTGGCCTGGCGACGGTAACGAGTGACTAATTTAACCATATCTTTAATATATATATAAATATACATATATATATGTATATATATATATATATAGTTATATTTATACATACATATGTATATACACGCGCTCAGTCACTAACACAGGCAAGCATACGCATGTACACACGGATAGATTGAAGCAAGACAAAAACATCAGAGCTGTGGACTAGTGTAAAAGTAAAAGGTCATTGAACGAACATTGTACCTATTTCTGCTATTTACACACTCACACACACATATTTGTATATATACACTTACACACTCATACATAGTGTAAGCGATTGTTACAACCACGCACACAAATGTATTCGCAAAACTAAAAACAACAACCACAACAAACAAATAAAGCGAAGCCAAGTACTTCGCCTTAAACTCACACACACACACACACACAAACATATGTACATACAAGCATATTCGCCGCAGTAAGCGAAAATGGAGAAATTGGAGAAATGGAAATGGTGAAATGCCTGAGCTGAAACGAAATAAAGTAATGGGCAAGGGCAAAGCGTTGGAAAGCGCCGCCACTGGCAAACGCAAAAAAAAAAAACAAGAAATCAAATAATAGACAAATGACAAGTGAGATTGCGAGCAAGTGAGAAAGAGAGAGAGCTGGTTGGATCGAGCGGGGCAGAGTGAGACACACACAGTGTATGAAATATGAGGATCAGACAAACTGCAGCCACAGTCGCAGCGCAGCTGCCGAGTAGTCGCTGCAGCGAAGATCCCTGCACATTACGAACGCATTTGAATATGTTTTATCTGAATTGTAAGCACATTCCACAATGTTTGGCGGCTCGGGGCGTATATGCCCTGACAAAAAACCTGAACTACTATGCTCCAACTACTATTCATACCTTCCAGTTATCAGATATATAATATATATATATATATATAAGGTTAATTAAATATATATATATGTATATATGCTATATTCTAAATGAATACATATTCGATATCGAAAGTCGAACAACAAGCAACGGCATTTAATCTGCTTGTTTGTGGCGTGCTTTTCACTTCTTCTGCCTTAAAGAAAGCGGCGAAAATTGCAACAAAAGGTTTACAAAACGACCAACTCGACAAAAAAGTTAGTGTAAAGTGATACCAAACGTATCCAATGTTGGCCCATGACTCAGACATCGCTTGCTGGAATCCGACTGGCACCTGAAGTGAACTATTATGGGAGTAGTATTGTTAAAGAGATCAATATACTATCGATAGAAGCTTTAAAATTGACGATCACTATATAACTAAATTGGGGAAAGCTACTAGAGGTTCTAGAAAACTCAATCAGATAATATTCCGATTGCAAATTTAAGTTCACTGGTATTTCGATTAATATAATTCAATTCGTGTGACTGATAATGATCTTGGTATAGAAAACATGCAGGAATGTATGTGTATAAAATATGGCTATATTTAATATGTATGTTTTATATATATACTTGGAAGAAGGTCTTTCACAAAGAGAAGCTGACTACATTTTATATATATGATGTGTGTTTGAGTGCATGATAGTGTGCTTATACTTCCAGGCATCCCTATATCACGTATACTTCAAAGTATTGTCACTGCTATCAAATAGCAAATTACAGCAGCAACAACAACAAGAACAACAGGAGCGATAAGCGACATGTGACTGATTGGGATCAAGTAACTCCGTGTAAATATATATGTACACTATACAGTTAATTATATATTATATATATATATATATATATATATATATATATATATATATATATATATATATATATATATTTATTTATTTATTTATATGTATAAGCACACTATAGATCTGCGTCTGGTTATTAAAACAAAACCAGATAAGAGTGCATAAACGTACAGGTGCTCATAAAGCAATGTAACGAATAGCAAGTAACAAGTAGCGAGTAGCGAGTAACGTTTAACGAGTAACGATTAACGCGTAAGGAGTAGTGAGAAATGCATTTAATAAACCTCAAGTTCAATGGCATTGATTAAAAGGCAGATCGAAATGCAACAAAAGAAAACAAAGAGAATGAGAGAGGCAAAAAGAACGCAGTCGTTGTTCCACACTGCGCTATACTCTACACACAATGCTTAAGCAACGGTCAAAGCAGAAATTAGCTAATTTCCATTTAGTTAATTTACTATCAAGACGAGCGTGCGCATATGCCCGCTGTTGCCATGCCCGAACAGTGTATTGAAACAGTGGCAATATTATAAATGAAAAGCGTCTTGTAATGTCCGAGGGTTGGGCTGGGTTTAGATTGGATTCGATTCGATTGGGTTGGGTTTGGTTGGTCTGAGCTGGGCTGTTGGCAAGACAGCCGCTTACAGCTGCCCTTGCCGTTGCCCTTGCCCTTGCCCTTGCCCCCGTCCATTGCTAAGCGGTCATCCCCCGTTTCTACGCTTCTAGATTAGCTGCCAAGCGGGAAGTAGGAAGGCAGATACACACAGAGAGAGAGAGAGAGAGAGAGAGAGCGAGCAAGTAACAGGGAATTTGGAAGTTTGTTTTTGTTTCTTTTTGGTTACAAATCATTTCTACTGTACGAATATTGAACGCGCTTTCCTGTACGCGCGTGTGTGTAAGTGTGTGCATGAGCATTTTCTACCTCTCACATAATTGGGTGCTTTGCCAGTGCGTGCGTGCTGGGAGTTTGTGTGTGTGAATTCTCTCTTTATCCCTCACACACACACACATGCGAACGCATGCGGCTGCATATCGCTACACATGTAAAATGGGGGTTACATGACATTGAAACCATTTTTGAAGGTTTGAGCGGCTTTTTTCGGTGCTGCTTCTGCTTCTGCTTTTTCTTTTTCTATGTAACTGTATAATACACATGCATACATACACACACATATAGAAAAGCATGTGTTTCCTGGAGAACCCCTTTCAATGTTGAATGTTGTTGACAGAGGAACAACAAGAAAAACCGACAGCATCCAAAAAATGTCCACATACATATCTGTATACCTTTAAATACATACACATATTCATATATGTACATATCCCTGACAATATTCAAATTAGTCGCAAATTCATTTGGAAACGAGAGAATAATCCATAAAAGCTTCATTTCTTCTATAAATAATGAGGCCGGGTCTGGCTTCAATTAGATTCAGGCATTGTTTAAGAGTTACTTCTGCATGATTGGACAAAGTAACCAAAAAAAAAACTATATGTAGAACTCCAGATTCGCGCTTCAGATCTACCAAAACTGAGTTCACAATTTTTTTTATCCGGACAGTATTTATACAGTGAAAACTGTGCCAAAGAACAGCAAAGGCTTACTAACTTTTTGAGATTACTTGCTTGACAAGGTCTAAATTAAAAAATTGTGAAAATAACAACTAACTTAAAGTAATCAAAAGTAAATAAAATGGTACTAAATGAATTCTTTCAATGTACATATTTTATTTACTTTAATTAAGCTGAGAAAAGCTTCATAATATTTAAATGAGGGATTTTCCTTTCTTGGTTTTATAAGTTCCCAACGCTTTAACAATGTTTTATTAGCTATGTTTTTTTTCTTTATATGCATGAATGTGTCCGTGCACATACATGTGCCCTTGTCACTATATTCTCAGCAATTACACTGAACTGTTACCAAGTCCAATTCAATTAACTTCAACTCAACTCAAATATATGTATAAAAAATACGTAGCAAAATACGCTGTTTAATACTCATGGTATGTCTGTCTCTCTCTTACGCACGCTCTGTTGTTGTTGGGCAGCGCAAAACGTTTCACAACAGTTTGTTATCGATGCGTTCGCTAACCCACCCGCTACTCTCTCTCTCTCTCTCTTTCTTACACGCACAGATACACGCACCCATACAGTAAGCAATCAGGAAAAGAATTGTAAAGAGCACATGATGAACGACCGATGAATGCTCTTTCCTTTAAGCAACATAATAAGAATAGTCAAATTTGCTTTAAGTTTGTTTCAGCTAGTCATGAATTATTTTTTTTTTATTCTTTGGTCTATCTTCTGTGTAGGTGTAAAGTAATGTTAACAGCAGGCTTAAGGGCACACAGGCACATTGAACTTAAAGAGCTGAATATCAGCAAAGGGTTAGATCGCAATCTCAATCTGTGTCAAATTGCATCACATTACAACGCGCAGACACACAGACACACGCATACGCGTGCATAATTGCAATCACAGCTGAAAGGGCATACAAAAAGCAGCAACATAAAGCGGCGACAACAACATTCACGACAATCACAGCCGCTCGAGAGTCAACAGTCGATTGTTTATCAATGTGTAAATAAAAGCGTCTTTGCTCGTTCTTGTATGCGTAAGTACATGTGTGTGTGTGTGTGTGTGCGTGTGTGTGTGTGTGTGTGTGTGTTTGTGTTTGTTTCGTTGCCCAAAAATTTCAATAGCAAAGGTCAATGAACTTGCGCCGTGCCAGTGCCTGGCGTTTGTATTCTCTCTTTCACTCACACACATACACCAAACGTGTGTGTGTGTGCATATTGCGTTCCGCATTGCGCTCTGGTATGGTTCTCTTGCTATGCTCGCCCGCTCTTATAGCATTTGCGGCTCTCTTAGTCGTTTGTTCGCTGCTTCCTCGTTGTGTTTCATTCATAAACAGAGAGCGTCAGATATCGGCCAGGCCAACGAACTAAGGGCCGTGTGCGCTGCTTAACATGTGCTTTGGCCCCCCGGTCCCCTATTCCCTGCCCTTCACACTCACATGCACACTTTAAACCACCTTTCAAGCTGTGTTATGCTAAATATGTATTGCATTTATTGAATGTTACTCACATTAACTGTCGACGTCCTTGCAGCGGCGGCATTTTTGTGGCCGAATGGCGTTCATTTAGTGTGTTCCAATTGTTAGCTTTGGCTCAAGCGCGGCGGCGGCTGCTGCTGCTGCTGCTGCTATTGCTATGTTGGAGGCGTAATCGTAATCCATGCTCTGCCTGCGAGCTTTAACAGTTAAGCCTGGCTTTCAACTAACACTTGCTGAAGTTTTTGCTGCTGCTGCTGCTGTTTTAACTTTAACTTTTGCGACTCTTGTTTTGTTGTTGATTCAAGAAGTAGCCGTTGCGTTGTTTTGTTTTGTTTTGTTGTTGTTATTTATACAATATTTTGATGATTATTGAATAATTGCACATATGTATATATTTATTAATATTAGAGCATTGTATGAACTTTTCATCTTGTAGTTTTTGCTTCACTTCAGTGTGGAACGGGGGCTTGTGAACACATTGCGGGGTATCGCTGTTAGCTCCGATTTAAACAGACATACGCATATGTACATAAATATATATATATATATATATATATATATATATATATATATATTAGCATATGTGTAGTATATATTTTTATATATATATATATATATATATATGTGTGTGTGTGTATATATGTATATGTATATAATTAAATTCTTAACTTTATCCTAGGCTAACATTTAGGCGCTTATTGCTTGCTCACTCACACTCGCACACATTTGGTTTAAGCGGTTTGTCACATTTTCAATTTATCACGACACAAAAAAATTTGTATATATATATATATATATTTATATATTTATATGTATGTATGTATATACATATATATATGTGTATAATTATCTGCAACAGAACAAAAACACACAAAAAAACAATAAATTACTTTACATTGCGATCAATTTGTTGTTGCCATAGTAAAGGAGCGGGAGAGAGAGAGAAAGAGAAGGGGGGGGGGGGGTGGTATGTGGTAGGTGGTTGGGCAGAGGAAGTTCGACAGCAACAACAAATGCAACTGCAACTGCAACTGCGTCCTTGTTGACGTATTGGCGCCTATTCCGCTGCACTTGTCAACCGCAATAGCTAACACACACACACACACACTTAAATAGAGTGAGAGAGGCACACAGATACTTTTGCATTTAATGTTGCCACTTTGTTAATCGCATTCAAATTTACAGATTTGCAACAAAATACGTTTTCGTATGAGCAAAACAAAAAAAAAAAAATTTCAACAAAAAACCAACTTTGAAATATTGTCGTTATCCGGGCGCGAACGACAACAGCTCGCGGCGAGTGAAATTTTAAGAATGAGAGAGAAATTTGTTCGTTTTCTTGTTTCGTTTCATGCGCTTCGTTTCATTCATCCAGCTGGACCGGACCGACTGTTCGCTATCGCAGGCCGAAGGTAGGCAGAGCGCGCTTAAAAGTATGCAGCATGTAACTAACAATTAACAGCTAATATTTAACTGCAGCGTCCATTACATTGCCGTGATAAGCTGCTTACATAGACGTATTACATTTAAAGTTTTTACCTTGGAATATGTGTACTGTCAATACAATAAAAGACAACTGTTTATTATTTAATAAACATAACTAATTGCTAAAGTTGTATATTTAAAAAAAGCTCACTGTTTTGAAGTTAATTTTGCACTGTTAACTCGGTAACCGTTCACTTGATGCTTTAAGTGAACCAACTTAAGCCTTATTTGTGGTTTGTGTATTTGCTTATATGCCAGTATTCTATGCGCGACCATTTGCGCACCAAATTTAACAATGTGACCGTTTCTAATTATATAAACATATATATTTAATATAAAATTTATTAAATATACAATATCTTTTGCCTTTCTATTAAGATTGAAATATATATCATAAAAATCCAATGCTTAACTTAAATTCGTATTTATTGAATTTTTCCTGCAATAGATACTTGTGCCAAGGTATTCAAACGAAATTTAGAAAAAAAAAACAAAAATTATGCTTAATTGTGTATAAAACATCGTCAATACTTAACTTCAACATTAAATAACTTATTTTATTTAAAATTACAATTTGTGTGTTAGTTTGTTTATATGTTTGATTTATTCATTTAGATATACGATGTTGGCAATATATCGTTACGATTGTTACATGTGTAATCGATATGTTTAATATCTTTTTCCATCACTCTATGCAAATATCTCGAAGCCGTCAGTAGCAATAGCAGCGGGTAAATATAAAAAACACGTGCTCGCTCGAGACGACAAACACGCAAATTCTTGACAGACCTTGTCTGCCAGCGAATCAATTCCGCTGGCCATTAATTGACACGCCTAACCTAATCCTTACACACAACAGACAACGCTTGATACCCCACAACGTAATATCCTTCGCAGCTAACTGTCTGTGTGCTGTCTGTTTGTCTGTCTGCCTGCCTGCTTGCTTTTTCCCATTCAATTTGTTGTTGTTTTTTTTTCTTTGGCTTGTCTATTGAAAACTGCAAGTAAGTACAAAAAACAACTACATATGTTCCTGATCAGCAACAATGTCCGATTTTCGATATTTTATCTGCCTTTCGGCCTGCATGAAATCGGCTCAGCCCTTCGCCCTATACTCTACAAATGAAGCAAAAGGAAATTAATTGAAATTCAATATATATAAATATATTATCCAAATAATACGTATATATATATTTTTTTTGTGTTTCAAAACTCTGTTTTTATGTGCATCGCTTGCTCCGCAAAAGTTTAGCTTGTTAGTTTTTTCTTTGGCAGAGCATTGCGGCAGTCGGTTAGAGCCGTTTGCAAAATTCAATTCAACTTTGTTTTCCAGCTTGCTTTAATATTCTTTCTGTCTTTATGTTTTTAGGAACGCTTTAATTTTCGATTGCAATTTAATGGTTTCGAACATTAATTGAGGCGGCTCGGAGACAAGTGCAATCAGCCGAAGACGATTAACATATATATAAATATACATACATATATACATATATATATATATACAGTGGTTGCTGCTTTGTCTATTCATTAATAATTGTTTCTCCTTGTTGTTGTGCTGACATCTGACTAAGGTAAGCGCTCGCATGGCAAAGAGCACTGTAGCCGCCGACGTCGACGTCGGCGCCAATCTAAAGCCAAAAGTTAATGGCTTAATAGGCAACGGCGACACGGCTGTATTCTCAGATACAGCAACAACAACAACAACAACTACTACGGAGCAGCAAATGGAACTACTGCAGGACGGACTGAGCTGCAGTGAACTATTTCAAAATGGCGAGGGCCTCACCTACAAGTAAGTCTGCCTCGCCCCCCGCCCAATAGAGTGAGATATGCGTATAACACTTTTCCACACAATTTTCATTTAGCGACTTTCTCATATTACCGGGCTACATAGACTTCGCCGCTGAGGCAGTCGATCTCAGCTCTCCGCTAACCAAGGGCATCACGCTCTGCGCCCCGTTAGTCAGCTCGCCCATGGACACGGTAACCGAATCTGACATGGCCATAGCCATGGCGGTAAGTGTTTGATACTATCTAAACATATATGCACACGCTCAGTTGTATATATAAACTCTTATCTACTGCTAGACGACGATAAACAAGGCTGCAAATCAGTGCTTCTTTGCGAAATTCTATTGCCATTTCGAACAAAGCTTATTCTGATATATTATTATATTTATGTTATTTATTGTATTTAACTACGGCTTTTGCCTTTAGACTGAAAAGAGAACTCAGTTTGCCTAGCTGTTAACGCTATGATTTCAAATCTTTTCGCCTTTATTTAGTTTGAGTTTTTTGACTTTAATTGATAGTGAAACGTTTGTTAACATATCTCTTATAAGATGTCAGAATGTTAGCAAGGTTATGTTAAACGTATGTTAACGTAATGTTGAGCAGAGATTGCGCTTTGGGTTTGCAGCCTTGTTCGCACACCGTTCGTTGGCGGTGTGATCGATGAACGGTAAACGTTAACCGATAAACCAACGACCGACGACCGACGAACGCCGACCGATGCACATCGCCATTTGGTGCTGAATCTTGGTATCGGCCTCGCTCCAGTTGTGGTTGTAATTGAACACTCTTATGCGCCTCTATTATGCTAAATCAAGAAACGAATGTATATTTCCCTTCACGCTCTTCGCCGCTTCGTTCGGAATTAATTTGTGGTGGGGGAACCACGCGCAGCTGTGTGGTGGCATTGGAATCATCCATCACAACTGCACGCCGGAGTACCAAGCGTTGGAGGTGCACAAGGTTAAGAAATACAAACATGGCTTTATGCGCGATCCGTCGGTGATGTCGCCGACCAATACCGTTGGCGATGTGCTCGAGGCCCGTCGCAAGAACGGCTTCACCGGCTATCCCGTCACCGAGAATGGCAAGCTTGGCGGCAAGCTGCTGGGCATGGTCACATCCCGGGACATCGACTTCCGTGAACAGCAGCCGGACGTTCTGCTGGCGGACATTATGACCACGCAGCTGATAACCGCACCCAATGGCATCACTCTGCCGATGGCGAACGCCATTCTGGAGAAGAGCAAAAAGGGCAAGCTGCCCATTGTGAATCAGGCTGGCGAGCTGGTCGCCATGATCGCGCGCACCGATCTGAAGAAGGCGCGTTCGTATCCGAACGCCTCCAAGGATTCCAATAAGCAGCTACTGGTCGGCGCCGCCATTGGCACGCGGCCCGAGGACAAGGCCCGACTACATTTGCTCGTGGCGAATGGCGTCGATGTCATCATACTGGACTCATCCCAGGGCAATTCCATTTATCAAGTCGAGATGATCAAGTTCATCAAGGAGACCTATCCCGATCTTCAGGTCATTGGCGGCAACGGTAATTAAACCCCCAACATTCCTCCTCCCCACACACACATTCATGCATGCCTAGCCTAAAAAGAAAGTCATTTGCCAGGTTTTTTCGAGAGACAGATCATAGATGGAAGTCCATACTCTCAGTGAGATCAAGGCCAAGGCTGATCTTTAGATTTAAGAGCAGAGAAAACAGAAATCAGACTAGTCCAGTAATCTCTATACAACAAAAAACTAGAAATCGATATTTATCGACTCAGCGCAGATATGATGCTAGTCAGCTCCAGAGCTCCTGAAATGCAAAATTTGTTTAGATATTATCAGTTTGTCACAACGGCATAATTATTCATGAAAGGCCTTAATCAAAACTGAAAATCGATATTTATCGACTTGAGTTAAATGTGAGTTTTAGGTTGATTTATCAGTTGATAAATATGCGTTTATCATTGCAGCGTTTTCTATATATGTGGCGATATAGCCCATAGGTAATCTCTCTCTATCCCTCTGTCTGTCTTGCTATCTCTGTCTCGCTCTCCTCTCTCTCTCTCTCTCTCTCTCTCTCGACAAAGAAAGTAGCATAGGAAACTCATTCAGCTTGACTGTCGCATGCTTTTGTCACGCACTGTAGCTAACAAGCTTTGTCTTTTCAATTACTAACCATTGGCCAATCAACTGCCCCACACACGCCCACAGTGGTAACACGTGCCCAGGCCAAGAATCTGATTGATGCTGGAGTGGATGGACTGCGCGTGGGCATGGGCTCCGGCTCGATATGCATCACGCAGGAGGTCATGGCCTGTGGCTGCCCGCAGGCGACGGCCGTTCATCAGGTGTCGACGTTTGCCAAGCAGTTCGGCGTGCCGGTGATTGCGGATGGCGGCATTCAATCGATTGGGCACATTGTGAAGGCCTTGGCTTTGGGCGCCAGCGCCGTGATGATGGGCTCCCTGCTGGCGGGCACCTCGGAGGCGCCCGGTGAGTACTTCTTTTCAGATGGCGTGCGCTTGAAGAAATATCGCGGCATGGGCTCCCTGGAGGCAATGGAGCGCGGCGATGCCAAAGGAGCGGCCATGTCCCGTTACTATCACAACGAAATGGACAAAATGAAGGTGGCCCAAGGCGTCAGCGGCAGCATCGTCGACAAGGGCTCCGTGCTACGCTATCTGCCCTACTTGGAGTGCGGCCTGCAGCACAGCTGCCAGGACATTGGCGCCATTTCCGTTAGCAAGCTGCGGTGAGTTGGTCCACTGGCCACTGGCAAGTGTTGACTCTAGTACTCATTGCTCCTTCTCTGTCTTTTCCATGCCAGTGAGATGATCTACAATGGGCAGCTGCGCTTCATGAAGCGCACCCATTCGGCCCAGCTGGAGGGCAATGTGCACGGCCTTTTCAGCTATGAAAAGCGTCTCTTCTAACATACAAACAGTGCTGCAGCGCCGCCCGCTGTTGCCAGTCAGTATCAACAGCAGCTGCAGCACGCCTCAGCAACAGCAACACATAAACAACACCAACAACAACAGCAGCAGCAGCAGCAGCAGCAACAGCAACGTCTCCTTTACCGCGCAGCAGACGACTTCGGGCGAGTCCTGAGCAGCGAGCGAGGAGCTGGTTTAAAGCGTCATATGCCCCACGATGGCAGTTGCCAACCTTTTCCACGATTTACTTAATTGTTAAGCTACTTAAAGAGACAGAGAAAGAGAGAGGGAGAGCGAGCGAGAGCGCGAGAGATGGATGCAGGTACAAAAATCGTACGGATTAAACAAATTTCGAATATTGGCAAATCTGCAAACTTTTTGCAATAATTGACCATAACCCAATATGTAGTACAACATATTTAATTTCGATGTACTCACACAGATATATATATATATACACACACATACTATATCTATATACCAATATACTAATGTTGTGTTTGCCAAATCTATTAAAAATATGAAATTACTAAAAAAAAATTCAAAAAATTACAAAAAAAAAAAAAATAGAAAAAACCTTAAAATTCTGCTGCGTTCATTCCCCCAGCTAAATTTATAAATTTTTATTGTAATTATTCTATTGTTATATATACACACACATACATATGTGCATGTATATCGAGACTAATTGTATACGATCTTTGCCAAAAGTTATTCTATGCGAAATTTGGGCTTTGTTCTTGCTTTAAGGCAGTCGAAACATAATTGTTTATATAATTCCCCTCATTCCCCCAAATAAATAAAGAAAATATGATTTTTGAAAATATATTTTATCATTTTGTTTGTTTTATAAATATATACGCTAATATTATATGTTCTTAACACTTTGCCCCCAAATGAAAACGTTTCCCTCTTCAGTTTTCCTTCTTTATCTTTCAATATAAATAATTTTGATTTTTGATTTATTTGTACATAGTTATACATCTATATATATATATATATATATGCATGTACGTATATATATACATATCGACTAATTTGTTGTGTGTGTGTGTGTGTTAAGATTATGTTATTATAAATATATATTTTGTGTTCGGCGAAAAAAGTTATTGAATAATTATCGTAAATATATGAATCAAAAATATTATTTAGTTTCGTATTTGATAAGTAAATTTGTTAGCTACGTTCGTGTTGTCTAAAGATTATTGATAAAAAATTGTAAATTGTACAAAACTTTTGTGCAGCAAGAGAAACGAGTCGAAGCGAAAAGAAAATTGAAGAAAAGTTCGAACAATTTTTTTTTGACATACGCTGATAAACCCCTTTTTAAGGACACTTAAACAGAGCTATATATTTGTGTGTGTGTGAGTGTGGGTGTGTGTGTGAGTGTGGGTGTGTGTGTGAGTGTGGGTGTGTGTGCGTGTGTGTGTGTGCATAAGAAGCAGCAAGCGGAATTTAGCTTTGAGCGCTTAGCAAATTGAGATTAAGTCGAGCTGAAGGAAAATGCAAGCAAGGCAAAGCACAGACACACACACGCACACACACACACACACACATGCATGTAGGCATATCAAAAATATATATATATATATATGTTTATGTGTGAAACTAAGTTTAAAATCCAGCTGGGCGGGCTATATTGGTTGGCTAATGTGTGGGATTATCGCTGGCCAGGGAATGCCATTTCTCATGGAAATGATCGGGCAGCCGGATGCAGTCGAGCCACTGCTGCAGGCGATCGCCTTTGCTTTGGGCGCCCAGTTGGAGGCTGCCGAGAAAGTCGTTGCTCTTGCCCAGATCCTTGTCCCAGACGGTGAGGATGAGCATCTCCTTGTTCAGATCGTGCGGACTGGCCTCGAAATAGAATTCCTCGTTGTAAACGGGATTCAAAGTGCGCCACTTGACGCTCGTCTTGTGCTTCTTGTTTTTATGCGCATCCGGCTTCAGTTGCCTGCAGAATCAATCAATTAGTAATGGATGGCAATTTGTGAACTGATCTACTTACAGCTTGACAAAGGGATCCGAGCTGCCGTTGTTGTCCATGGCCAGCAAATTGATGCACTGCTTCACGTTGACAACCAGCGCCCGCCGCTTCGTATTGTAGCACAGCGAGATGAGCATCTTGCCATTTGGCCAGCTCTGCGACAGCTCCGCCTCGTTGCTATACTGATCCTCCACACCCAGCGGCACGGAGATCCGGTACTGCGCTGTGCTATGCACCTGCAAATTGTGTCCACAGTTACACATCGATAGATATATACATAAAGATATAGCCTCGATATGCCTGATCGTTGGACGACCGACCACTCACCGTGGATAGGCAGACTTTGGCGGCGCCCAGAAAGTCGTGTCCATACTTGTCGTCATCGAAGAGCGCCACGTAGAGCAGCGAGTTGCCCAGCTCCTCGGGCTCAACGCCCACGAACTGGAGGGTCTCATTGAAGTCGGGATTGCGGGTCTTGTGAACCGTTTTGGTGCGCTGCCAGCGCGTATATTTCGTATGGCCCTCGGGCGTTACGATGTTCAGCTTGCAGTAGGGATCGGCGAGGCCGCTGGCATCCATCGCTGGCAAGTCTCTGGCCCGCACCATCGTGCAGTCCAAGCTGTGGAAGCTCTCCCGATAGCTGATCGCCAGCTCCAGCCAGCCTAGCAAAGGATCGCGACAGTGTTGCTGCTGCTGTTGTTGTTGTTGTTGTTGTTGTTGTTGTTGTTGCTTTTGCTGCTGCGGGTTTTGCGTGTTTTGCGTTGCCGAATTGCCCGAGCCGGAGCTGTCGCTGAACGACCACGAGGAGCTGACCGAGCTGCGACGCATGAAGCTGCCCTCGCGTCGCAGCTGCGCCACTGTGGACGCATTCGAGATGTTGTCATAGTCCTGGCCGTCCGCTGGCCTGGAGTTCGTCTGGCGGCCGAACAAGAAGGAGTTGGACAACTTGCGTTCGCCGCCATCGATGAAGCTGCGTATGGAGCCGTAGGCGCGCAGTCGAAAGCTTTCATCCCGCTGCAGTCGCTGGCCAGCGGCGCCGGCCGCTGTGCTCGACTTGGCCGCATCCAGCTGGTCCTCCTCCGGCTCCGACTGGCCGCTGGCGCTGCTGTTGCTGGCGCTGCTGTTGCTGGCGCTGCTGCTGCTATCGTTGACGCGTATCGTCAGCTTCTTGATGCGTGCGCCACGCGCCGGCGTGCCATGGCAGCTCTGCACGGCCCGGGCGCCCTTGCCTGCCCCGGCTCCAGCGTACGCGCCCACACCGCCGGCGCCCACTCCCCCGGCCATGGGCGTCGACATGGGCGTATTGGCGGCGCTGGCACTGCGCACCGGCATATCGTAGTTGGGCAAGCCCTTGAAGAACCAGGCGCCCGACTTCTTCCACATCTCGCGCGTCTCGGAGCAGATGCGACACAGCCAAATTTCGCGCGTGCGCTCGCTGTTGTGGTACCTAATGTTGATGTCCACGCTGCACTTGGTGCACACGGACTTGCGGCAGTCCTCGCACAGGATGCGCTGCGGCCGCAGCAGGCCAAACGCATCGCCGCACAGGCGACAGCAGTTGGGGCCGCGCTCCACGGCGTGCAGCTTTATCTTCTCCACGCGCTCCACAAGCCGGCCCACACGCTGCCGTTCCGCAATCTCGATTTCCTCATTCCGCCGTATCACGGAAATAATCGCCTCCTGCTCCTCCGGGCGCAGCGGTTCATTGGTCTTTGAGCTGCTCCAGCCGGCTTTCAATCTGTGCGAGCAAACAAAATGCCAAGACTTAGTACGTCTATAATTATGTGTGTGTGTGGGTGTGTGGGTGTGTGGGTGTGTGTGGGGTGTCCGACTCGCTGTGCGCCTAATGAGCATCATTATTATGAGCTGCCTAATGCAGTAAGTGTGTTGTTCAAGCTCTCACTCAGGGCAGCTCAAGCGACTTATGAAGTGCGTAAAGCATAGGCAGAGGGAGAGGGAGGGGGAGATGGAGAGGGAGATAGAGATAGAGATAGAGATAGAGATAGAGATAGAGATAGAGATAGAGATAGAGATAGAGTTGAGATAGAGATAGAGATAGAGATAGAGATAGAGATAGAGATAGAGAGCGAGAGATAGAGATAGAGATAGAGATAGGGATAGAGATAGAGATAGAGATAGAGATAGAGATAGAGATAGAGATAGAGATAGAGATAGAGATAGAGATAGAGATAGAGATAGAGATAGAGATAGAGATAGAGATAGAGATAGAGATAGAGATAGAGATAGAGATAGAGATAGAGATAGAGATAGAGATAGAGATAGAGATAGAGATAGAGATAGAGATAGAGATAGAGATAGAGATAGAGATAGAGATAGAGATAGAGATAGAGATAGAGATAGAGATAGAGATAGAGATAGAGATAGAGGAGATAGAGATAGAGATAGAGATAGAGATAGAGATAGAGATAGAGATAGAGATAGAGATAGAGATAGAGATAGAGATAGAGATAGAGATAGAGATAGAGATAGAGATAGAGATAGAGATAGAGATAGAGATAGAGATAGAGGAGATAGAGATAGAGATAGAGATAGAGATAGAGATAGAGATAGAGATAGAGATAGAGATAGAGATAGAGATAGAGATAGAGAGATAGAGATAGAGATAGAGATAGAGATAGAGATAGAGATAGAGATAGAGATAGAGATAGAGATAGAGATAGAGATAGAGATAGAGATAGAGATAGAGATAGAGAGAGAGAGAGTGAGAATGAGAGTGTAAGTGAGAGAGAGAGATAGAGAAATGAAGTGAGAGACAGTTAGAAAGAAGTGGAGGATAGATAGAGAGGCAGACAGAGAGAGATGGAGAGATCCATCTCTATGAATATTTAGTTTTCCTTAGAGTCTGAGCCTCGATGGGAACTGCCCATGAGAACTGTCAGCTCGGTTCTGCACATCTTCCATTAAATTGGATTAAGATAGTGTAGTGTGGCAGGCGTGGACGACTGACTGCTTGTTGCAGTTGGGGCAGCTCAGCGTCAGCTCAGGTCCAGGGCCAAAATGTCAAGTTCAAATTTAATTAAGAGGCAAAGTCAACGTGGCAGGGCTCGGCTCAGGGCTCAGGGCTCAGGGCCATCTGTGTCGTCTCCGGGTTTGCAGTCGTGTTTGTGTTTTGGGGTCCGGACTTGCGCGTTTTATGGCCACTTTGGAATCACTTACACACGGTATTAAAAACGTAGCGCACACACACACACACACACACACACAGAGAGAGGCGCGCGTGAGTACTTGCTTATGCAAATTGGGGTGGCACTTAATGTAGAAGTTGTGCCTTTTGCTAAGCGCCAGTTAATATGCATATACTTAGACAGACAGACAGATATACATATATAATATATATATATATATATAATATATTATACACCCCCATATACATAAGTAATATGAGCCCAGAATTCCTAACAAAACTTCGCTTTTCGATTTCTTTTTGCTTTCTTTCCTGTGACATATCGCCCCTTTATGGCTTTCGTAGCATACTGAAAGGCATGGACTAGCAGATACCCTGCAAGCAGTGACGAGGCAACAGCTTGAAGAAACGAAAGAACGAAAGATCTGGCTCTGGCCTGGGCAACATAAGAAGCTTCAAGCTGCGCTCGACTTGAGCAGAGAAACCGCTAAGCCAACGCAGGAGATTTTCTGGGGCGGCGTCTCCATGGCCCTGGCATCTTCATTTGAATACTTAGATTTCCTGCATAATTATGGAAATGCTAAGCCGACTTGCACTGGCACTCACTATCCACAGCTGTCAGCCAAGCATTCCGAGCGTGTGTCCTTGCATACTTTCGGGCGGACATCACAACTGAATGGCATTTAGGCCGGGTCAAGGAATTGTTCTGCTAGACAGGATGATTTCCTGTAGAGCCTTGGCGGGCTGGACAAGAGGAGGCACACGCGTCTTGCCCTCTACTGAGTAGAGGGCTGTAGCAGCCAAGCCCAAGTGCAGTCCTTGCAGAGCTTTAACTGACGAGGCTGGGCAATCGCCACACTGCAGACCACGGAGAGGCGAGTCAATGGCAATAGTTTCCACTTGATCTATCCAAGAGGCAGCACCAGCAGTTGAGCAAGGCATGCAAAACTTTCGCAAAGTGGCCAAGACTTCAACTTCGAGTCGACAAAAGGCCAAGCTGTCAAAGAACGCAGAACAATCTGCGGGATGGCGGGCTGCACTCTTAAGTGTCGCCACTCTAAAGCAATCGAGTGGCCATGTCCACTCGGTGAGTGATCTCCAGTGGCACAGATTGAAATCCGTGAGCTGGCCACAAAAGAAGAGCTCCTTAAGACTGTCAAAGGCGCAACACGACACAGCTAAATTGCTTTGACCTCTCTCTCTCTCTCTCTCTCTCTCTCTCTCTCTCTCTCTCTCTCTCTCTCTCTCTCTCTCTCTCTCTCTACTGCCGGAACATTAATTGAGGTATCCAGCATTCGAAAGGAAGTGTAGGCTATTGGCCAGGCTAAACGTTGCTTCAAGTGAAAGCATAAGAAGGGAGAACTCTTTGCAACGAGCTGTGGCAATGACAGCGGCGGAGCTTGAAGAGTCTTGAAAGCGCAGAGCCGGAAGAGTCTTGAAATATATAGCTGTATGCGTACGACTATAAAAATAGATCAGTTATAACTTGGCTCATTAGGTGAACGGCAAATGCGCTCAAGCTGACACTTCCTGAGCTGAGCTGAGAAGCTTAGAAGTCATTAAATGCTGCAGAATCGAGCGGGGTAGACGAAGGGCTTAGGATAAGTGTGACGCCAGTGTTTGCAGTCGTCCCGCAGGCATCACGCTTCACGCGTCGCCACATACTTCCAATAAATATAAATTGCTCTGTTCATAAATGTGCCTGACTAGCAGATACCCTAGCCAGCAATCGAGCCACCTAGCCAGCGGGCAAGGTATCAAATTGCTTGCATCACAGAGTGAAATTTAAGATCTGCAGCTTTTGTGCTATTTAATCGATTATTATCGATTGCAAGCTAGGCAGAGTTATCGCAAGATGAGCTCGTGCCTCTTATGGAATATGCAAGCAACATGCCAAGTCGTGGCATGCAGCATGTGGCTTATGAGATGACAGCTGGACATGGCTATATGGTCCTCATTAAATATAAGGACTCTGCCACGCCTCCCTCTGCCTGTTACATGCATTTTCACAAAATCATTAAGCCGCATTTCCAATGGGTTCAGGGTATAGAAACACACGCTACAGCCACAGACAGAGCCGCACACCCGCACACACACACACACACACACACACACACACACACACACACACACACACACACACACACACACACACACACACACACACACACACACACACACACACACACACACGTGTTCGTTAAAATGTTTTTCTGTTGCTCTTTGCGTTCGTATTCGTGTTGCTTGCTTTGTGCCCGCCGTTTTGCCTTGCCGCGGGTTTGTTGACTTGCACGGGCCACTTCAATGTACAGTACGCCCTCAATATATGGCACCGAATGGCCAATCGAAGCTGACTTTTATTGGCAGTTCCGCTGCTGCTACAGACGCGAGCCCACTTCGCGCATGCCAGCACAGTGGGGTGCACTGTATTGCGTGTTCACTGTACACGCTAGCAAGCTCATTTATATGTATGTATGCGTGTATCCTCGTGTGCCGTAACCTCGCCTGTTGCCTTGAGGGCTTTCAGCTTCAATTTCAGCAGCAGCAGCTGCTGGCGTGCCAGGATCGAGCAACGGTATTTGCATGCAGCAGCAGCAGCAGCAGCAGCAGCAGCAGCAGCGACAGCAACAGGCCAAATGAGTTAATTTTATATCGCGTGCGTTTTCTAATTTGTTGGCCCCATTCGGCGGTGCACTAAAAACGCAATTGCTAAAGTCACTTAACAACTGCGTACAGTCTATAACAAAACATCAGCGACAGCAATTAAGTGTGGCACGCTTCCATAGATCATGCGACAAGTCGGTTGCAGCGAGTATGCACTGCCCCAAGCTGGCACAGCAGCTGTAGCGGGAGTGCCTGACTAGCACTGACCGCCACCCACGCCATGCGCTGTCAGTTGCAATCAGAGTGCGTTTCCACTGCGTGCAACGTGAGTGAATTTCCATTTTCAATGGTTTCAAGGTATGAACATTTCACTTTGAGGCATTTGCACCGCAACATTGCGGCTCTGACAGCCGTAAGCTGCTGCTGCTGTTGCTGATGCGGCTGCCTTGAGTTGTAATTTGAATTTCAAGTACAGCGCCTGTCATTGCAGGCCCCTGCCACGCCCCATTTGATTTCTATGCGTCACGCGCAGCCTGGGCTTGATTCGCTTCTTCTTGCTTTTTTATGCACAGTAAAACTCGTTGTGCAAAATAAGCGAACGGAAGTGTAAATTGAGCACTTGAAGCCTGCCGCCTGCCGCATGCCGCATGCCGCCTGCTGCCAGCCACACAGCTGCCATCCGGTGCGCATGCTGTGCGTGTCTTTTGCGGTTGGGCGTTATGCATAAAATGTGCTCTAATACAGTTATATATATGCGTGTGCCTGTGTGTGTGTGTGTGTGTTGCTTTGTACTTGTAGTTAATTCTGCGTAAAGCCCCAATTCAAATATTCAGTCAGCTGGGATTGCGCCTCGCAGTATGCTACACGTTTTCGCGTTGACACAAACATATGCTGCTAGCCGCCATGTGCTGGTTGCTGGTTGCCGTGCATGTGTATGCGTGTCTATGCATGCGTGTGCGTGTGCGTGTGCGCGTGTGTGTGTGGGAGTGTTAATGTGACTGTTCAGCCCCCCTGCCAGCAGTTCAGTCAGTTCGTCGCCGTCAATTGCAATAAATAATTGCGTGTTCCGACTGTGATCAAAAAAATAAAAAAAAGAATTTATATACACTTATGCATACATACATAAATACATATATACATACATATATACATACTTATCAAAAAGAGCATTATTAAAATGTAATTAATCTGTCAGCGAGATGGCGGCAATGCTCAGCGAGCGGGCCCAGCTAGCAATTATGATTAGACGAAGGACGAAGGACGCCATGTGGCCTCTTGACTGTGTGCGCTAGGTCCTTGACAGCATGCGTTGCCAATTCCATGGCCGAGCCGCAAGCACACACACACACACACACACGTGCATATGTATGTGTGAGCTTGATTAAACTACAGTATATCGCGTTTTTAGCTAATCACACACACACACACACGCTTACTTATGTATATGTGTCTATAGGCAGAGAGGGAGCGAGAGTGCGGGCAAGTGAAACTGCGACGCCTGACGCAGTCAAAGTTAATTAAATTATAACTAAAGCTTTTGTCGACACATACGCGACAGTTGGCGTTTGTAGTCGTTGTTGTTGTTGTAATGCTCAGCACTAACTGTTGCGCGCCGCTTGTTGCCTTATCAGTCAGCAACACAAACAACTCAAGCAACCACAATGTAGCCAGCTTTTGTTTATGACGCGCACATCACACACACTCACACACACACACACACACACACACACACACACAGACACGCAAGTCACACGCGCTTTGCTTTAGCTAAGTTAACGCTATTGTTTAATTTCCACACACACACACACAAACAAAGAAATAAAAGCAGGCGCCCAATTGTTGCATTTTTGATTGTCTACTTTTGAGCGCAATTTACTTACTTGGCACGCAGGGCCAGCTGCCTGTCGCTGGGGCAGACAAACTTGTTGGCCGTATTATTGCGATTCGCGAAATCCATCTCACATATTATATAGATAATGCAACATTATGCTTTTTACACGTATGCACGAAAAAAATATTGTTTAAAAAAATAAACAGCCTGTAAGCTTGCCTGACAGCAAGCTCGCTTATTCTTCTTGTTTATTTTAATTGTTGTTTACCGGATGCAGGCAACAAGCAACAACAAAACAAATACTGAAAAATCCTGCTTCAAACACGTCTTAATTCGCACGCAGCTGGTGCGCGTCTATGTCAATGTAATTTCTGATGCAGCAGCCACAGCTACAGTCGCCAAATTGGCCCATTCGCAGGCCGCAACGGCCGATAGCGATGGGCCGAACGTTGAAAAAACTATCGACAAGCGTGACAAACATCGATTACAGACAGTGTCTTAGCAATTCAAAAAGTAAATAAATAAGGGATAATAACTATTTAATAAACCAAAAAAAAAGCAAACGCAACCAAAATTGAGCATAAATGAATGTTTAAATAGCTGCTAATTTTATATTTGACATATATTTAAGTGTATTAACTATAGTAGTTTCTTTGAAGTTGATTTAATTGCGTTTAATATGTCAGCTTTTGCGTAAAGCGCTTATAAAATGTGCGATCGATAACATATCGCATGCACACGATACCCACTTTAGTGGCACGACAGACATCAGTCCTTCCTCAGTGTCAGCCCCAACAAAAACTCAAGCCACATGCAAAAAGGGAAATGCTGCTGTGGTGGGTTGGTTGGTTAGATGGGGTTGTTTGGGGCCAAGTCACCAAACTGCTTCAGTTTCAGTCCCCAGTTTCGCATACTTGCACGCGCCGAGTAAAAGCAAAGCTCGCTTAGGGAACAACACTTGAGCCACGACCACTCTCGCACCTACACTCATTCTTACAACCTGCCTTCTCTCGCTCACACACACACACATAGACAGCATGGCCTGAACATACCACATAATTTCATTGCATGCTTTTGTGCGCCGACAAAAATGCCAACTTTTTAACATGCTTTTTTCACTTAAGTTTTGCGGCTGGGCGGGGCATTAGGTATGAAGCTTTGGTTAGTTTGGCGACATGGCTCGTTTATAGCTGGTTGTTTCTGTCGTCAACGCTTGCCTTGCTAAACACGTAGCGCCTGCGGCCGCTGTAAAGCAGCAGCAGCCGTTGTGCTGTGCGCCTCTCTTTGGGTGTGGCCACTGCGCGCCTCCTGTGCATTCAACTGAAATTCATGAGCAAGGTCTATATGACCACCCAGCATCCCCACCTTCGCTGAAAACTATCAGCCAGCCCAGCCTGTGGCATTTGCAATCTGTCTGACGCACATAGTTAGGGTAGACGGTACGTTATGCCTTGACAGATGAGTTTCTGTACATTTTAAATAAATGCTGACAGTTAAATGAAAATATTTTATGTACGTGCCAATTTTTTGGACACTGACATTTAGCACGTCCTGTCCCATGTCCGTTTGCCACCGGCTCATTGTTGACATTGCACTTCATTTTGCTGTCTGGCTTGTTAGTCCCTTCTGTTGTTGCCCTTTGGATTCGGCATGCGAAACGCGTCGCGCATTCGCCTCGCAATCCGCATCATAAACGTAACGACAAGTGGACGCCAGCGTCTAACTGTAAGCCAAAAGCAATTGTCCTTCAAAACCCTCCACTGGACAGCGCTGCTCTTCAGGCCAGTTACGCAAATGAGTCAAAGGGCAACAAGTCGTCCGCACTCTAAATAAAGCTGTTGGCCAGAAAAGGCGCACTGCCAAGTAGAAGTCTAATTTATTGCCACATCATTAGGCTCCATATACTGAATTTCAGCTCGAGAGCTCAAACAGATCCAGAGCTACATAGCTTTAAGTTAGTTCACATCGATTTCATATCTTCTTCTGGATAGCTCAAGCTTGCTCCACTGTGATTCAATTATAACTGTAAGCCAACCCCAACAGGCCCCAATTTCATATTTCTGTTGGCTTTTTGGGTCATTCATCATCATCATTAGGCATAAGCAAACAAATCCCCAAAACCAACCAAAATATTAAATGTTTACTTTTCATATTCGTAATTTTGCTCTGTTTTTATTTTTTATTTTGTATGTTTTGTTGTTGTTTTCTCTTTTATTCAGCATTTAGGTATTTTGTTTTTTTTTTCACTTTGTTCTATTTTGTTTTGAAATGTCTTTATGTTTATCTTGAAGCTAAGTTTCTACACAACAATTAGCGCTTGTTATTGCAACGCACGAATAGGGAAATAAGGTATAAACAAGGGCATACAAATGGGCAGAAATATTTTATACTTTTGAAATACATGCTCTCAATTTTGTGGCGTTGCGTTCTGTTACTTACTAGTTGGGGCTTACTTTGCTTTACACCTCTCTTTAACTTCGTTTTATTTATGTTTCGTTTCGTTTTGTTTTGTTTTGTTTGAACTAGTCTAGTCTAGGGTATCAACTTGGGCGATTCCATCCCATTGCCATTTCTTTCACTCCTTCATACAAAATATACTTGTATAAAATATAATTTAGTTTGGTTTTCGGTTACATTCTCGGAATTCCACTTGGCAAATTCTGAATTCTCAAACTTCATAGGCAAAGCTTGCAAGTTTTTACACAAAATGGAGTTCGGAAAGTTCCCATGGAATTTGACTAAGAAAAAAAATTATTAAAAAAAAGATAAAATCCACTCGACTATAGGTCAGAGCAGAGGTAAATATGATTAACGAAGAATTTTGCATAGGTGGCATAGGAGCCTTCAAATATTGGTTTAGTTAGGGGGCGGCGTAGTCATGCCTAATCGCGCAGCGCTTTCTGCTTGAGATGCTTTTTCTGACTGCCACTGACAGCGGTAGCAGCAACAGCTGGTGGCAGGTGGCGCGGCTTCTTGTGCAGCCGCTTGTGATAGCTCTGAGCGAGTGAGTTGACAATGGAGACGACGAAATAGCAGACCATGCCAATGACAAAGGTCTCAAAGATTTTTGACAACAGATTGCCGGAATCACCGCCGTTGCCAACGCTTCCGCCGGCTGTGGCATTGCGACTGCGCTGCTGCCTGTGCAAGCGCTGCTTCTGATTCTCGAGGAACGCCTTGAAGGGCTGTTGCAGCTTGCGCCCAAATATGGGCACCGTGGCAATCAGATCGACAGCGCGTTCGATGAGCGTCTCATTAAAAGCAATAATCACAAATATTTTCTGTATATGCATCTTGATGATGGCCTTGCCAATCAGCGTGGCTCCAAAGAACGTCCAGAATGGCACCAGAAAATGGCCGCACGTGATGCCGGCCAAATCGAACAACGGGTTGGGAATCTGCGGAATTGCACATTAGACTCATAATATCTAAAATATTTGAATTATGTTGGACATACGCTTGCACAGGCCAGTATACCAAAGAAACCAACACGCTCGACGACGCGTTCCATGAACAGCTTGCCCCTGTCCATGAGACTGAGGTTCTTCTGGTTCCGTTTCGCATTTAACGCCTCAAATTCGGCCAGCTCCTCGGCATCATCCGGATCATAGCCGGACATACGTGCAGCCTTGGCCATGAAATATGGCGGCAGTTCGCCTAATGCAGTACCTGCGCCCCAAAGAAACGCCTCCAGACGCACCTTTGACATAATGCTCCAAATATTGGGCATATTCTTTAAATATGGCTCCTCCGGACATATGATGCTGCAAAGACAATGTGCAACAGTGAAAATGTAATTTAACAATATTCTCGCAGAAGTTCGCACTTCTGAAAACTTAAACTAAAACTATTTCTAATAGATATATAGCCCATGCTGAGCTGCTGCTCCACATATAAATATAATATATAACTAGGCAGTTTGGTCATTTAGGCAGCTAAGAAAATAATATCTCAATTCACATATTAAGGTTTTCTTTCCTTGTAAGTGATCTCAGGCATTATATACATAAGACTTATAACTTATAATATAATTTTACACATAAATACATTTACATTTATAAATAAATACATTTCTTCATTACATATATATCTAGGTGTTCGACTTACTCGTCGGGATATGGTGGCTGCGGAAATTCGAGGGAGTTACATTCGTAGCCAGCCAATGTGACGCTGGCTATGTGAGGGCCCAGATAGAGTAGAAATGTGTGCAGGCCGGTGCCCAGGCCCACAGATGAGAGAACGCCCAGTCCGAGCCAGTATACAAAGAACCAGGTGTTTCTATGCACCAGCTCAATGATCTGCTGATGTGGGCCCTCGATTTTATAAATTACGCTAAATACAAGCCCTAATACTATTAAAACAGCCAGCAGTCCTCGTTGTCGCAGTAAACTGAAATAGACGTTGGAGCGTTTTAGTTCAAAATTGATATTTATTTGTTTTCATTTAATCAATTATGCAACTCACCTGCTGCTCCAGGAGCGCAGCAATTCAATCAGTTCGAGTGCACAATATTTGGACGTCTGCAATGGACGCCGCCAAAGAACAAGCTGGGAACGCTCCAAGCGCTCTTTCTCTTTCTGCTGCTTATCCTTCTTGTTTAGCTGCGTTTTGCTGCCGTTGCCCCCATTGTTTGGCTTTGTGTGTGTTTGCATTTTGACAGAACTGGTGCTGCTGCTGCCGCTAATTGTAAATGAGGTGTTGCTGTTGGAGTTGCTGCTACTGCTACTGCTGCTGTTGCCTTTGACGCTGCCATTGGGCGTTTGCTGTTTCTTTTGACTCTTGCTGCCGCTGGTCTCTTCCTGTTTGCGCTGGCGTGTGTTACTCGCATGGCTAGCCGACTCCTTTTTGTTGTGTTGTGACATTGAACCAATTTTATGTATCCTTAACCAGCTACTGAACGATACAAAAGCGAAAAAAAAATAACAAATTAAATAAGCAAAAAATTAATAAAGTAAGCTTGAATGATTTAAAACTGCGACAGTTGCGCTTCAAGGGTTGCCAGATTGTTGCTAGTGTTATTGTCCAGTCGTTGCCACACTGCTGATCGAACTGATCAGTGAAACCGAACGTGCATGACAAACTCTACTGGATTAGCCAATTTAACCAGTTTCACATTAGTGGTATCAAATGTTCAGTAAACCTTTTTTAATTTCTTGACCTTTAATTCAATACGAAAGCAAGATCAGTCATGATTCTGCCGACTGTTGCTAGATTTATCTGTTACACTTTTTATATTAGTTGGCAACGCAGAAACTATAAATACGCATGTGTGTGTGCTCTAGTGTGCGCGGGAAAAGCACAACAACAGTAGATTATCATACGATACTTGAGCACCAATAAAACGAATCCACATAGTCCGAAACAAAATGGAACACACACACATACATTTGTGTGTTTAGGTTCTTCAAAGCATAACAACAAAAACCAACAAGCGTGCTGATCGGCAGCAAAGAGTGGACATTAACACACTTATTTTTGCTCTTCATTATGTGACACGCATACACACATGCACATACACGCATGTACACGTATTCATCTGTGTGTATACAATTAACGGGTAAAAGTGCGAGGGGTCGCCGTTTACGATTGCTGCTTAATCAGCTGTTTGTCTGGGTTTTGTTGTTGCTGTCTGCCTACAACCTCGCACACACAAACATAAATCTACACACATATACATCCAATTCTTTAACGTCGTGTGAGCAAAATTTAGCTTAACTTGCAAGACCCGCAACTGCATAAGTCACCACGGTTGCATTTGTGCCGTTAGTAGCTGTTCATTTTATATTTTGGGGTGGCAAATGGCGCAGAGACGTCGAAACCAATACGCCAATAGCAGCAACAACAACAGGAACAGAGTCAGGGCAACGACGACAAAGAATAAATGCGTCACAGAAACAAAAGCACTAAACAAAAATCAATTGCATTCGCTGCAACCATTTGCTATAATAATAACAACAGCGACATCGGCAGCAATAATAATTATAGTACTAATGCTGCATAGCTGCACTATTCTTTAGAAGCTGCACTTAGCAACAGCAATAACAATCATTCCAAACACTAGTAACACGGGAAAAAATTGAATTAAGCACTTCTTCACTGCGGTCGCTGCGGCGCCTGTTTTGTAATAAGCCGTCCCTTTGTAAACTGGAAAACATCGTTATAACTTCTACATATTTACCTGATTTGTGTATATATTTTCGAATTGTGGATACGGAAACGATTGTTACTTGGTCAATGACTTATTTGAAGTGGAGTACTTGATTCGTTTAACATTACAACAATAACTTAATTTAGAATAATTGTGCAAAGCCTACCTACGCCTGCATAAAAAACACACGTCTAAACTCCGGTTAAACAACAGACGCTGTTAATGTTGTACTCAAAATGGGTATGTGATGTTATTGCCAAAAACATCTGTTAGCGCTCTGCTGTTAGCTAAAATAACATTTCAGCTATAACGACTGCTAACGCAAATTCAAAAAAGCAGGGCTGCAAACATACTTGGGCACAGGGCTGTCGTAACCTGTTTCCACTGGATTCAAATCATATAAAAATAATCGAATAAAACATTTGAACAAAAAGATAGAAAGCATGATTCAAGTACGCAGTATATCTGACCTTAATAGTCATTGTTCTTTCCCCCCTCAAATGCCTGGCCGATAAAGACAAAACAACAGCTGATGCAACTGCAACTGACGTGTTCAAAAAACAATTAGCCAAGAATGTGTGTAATTTTTGTATATTTTTATTTATTTAATTAATAGTAGATTAATTACTGTACGCTTAACCAAGAGAGTCCTATTCGTAACCATACACACTAAATATGCACAAAATTTTCTTGTATTATTATTACACAAAAGCAATTAGAGCAAAAAAAAAAGATATAGGTAGGTAAAGGAAGTTAAAGTACCATACAAAAACATACAAATTGCAGGGTACACAATATATGGGCAAAACTCAACAAAATGGTGCCAAGTAAATAAATTGTTAAAGCATAGGTAAATTTGAAATACTAGCGCGTATAGAAAATGTTTATATAAAATAATTTTCACATAACATTTGTTGTTTTTCTCTTACATTTCTTTGTTTTTTGTTTTTTTTTTTTTTATTATAGATCATTTTAATTTGTTTTTGTTTTTTTTTTCTTTGCTTTTTAGTTTTTGTTTTTCTTTCTTTCAATTTTTTACCGCCTTAGACCCGCACAATTTGTTTAGCTATCGTTCCTTTTTTTGTGTGATTTTTTGCATTTTTTTCAACTGCATGCTAAACGTCAAATATATATTATAAATACATATATATGTATGTTTATATATATATATATAGATATATATATATATTTTTATAGAATTTTCTGTATAGGTTGTTGCCTGATTTCAGAACGCCTGCCGCTTTAACGAATGCAGTCCATGTCTACTTTTCCATGCCATAGACGTTCTCATCGGAGTAGGCGATGTACAGGAAGTAATCTTCCTCGTGATGCTCCTGCAGCACGCAAATAGCAAAAGGGAGAGAGAGAGAGAGAGAGAGATCGAAAGGTTAGATACTGATGAGTTGGATGCAAGTTGTCTTAGTTTACCTGGTACAATGAGCCCATTGTTGCTGATGTTGGTGGAATGACATTATTGACGAAGAAGAAGAGTGCATCCTCGGGACGCAGGTGAATGCGCTTGCGTATAAGGAAGTAGAACTGGCCTACGGTCAAATCGGATGGTACTAGATACTTTTTTTTGTCCAAATCACCAATGCGCGCCTTTGGTGCCTTCTCCACAATCACCTGCAAAACAAAAAAAAAAAAAAACAGAAACCAAATCAGAAATCTATAAAAACAAATGATGGTATTGTGGACACTGATCGACTAGTAACTACCCTGCGTGACAGCGAAATTATTGAAAGACATTGCTAAGATATATCTGCATCCTCTTTACACTTACAGCTAGGCAAACAATTCACATCGGGTATTACTTTTAGCAGGACTTTAATGTTACAGTTATAAAAACAAAACAAACTTCGTCTTCAAAACGTGAATACGTGACGACATAACGATAAATCGAGCAACACGTATCAATGTATATATAAATATTATATATCTGTGTGTTTCGGTGTGCACACTCATGATCAAATATTTATTAACGGTAATTGCATTTTTATGTGTAGCAAGGCGAACAAAAAAGAACAAAATGCAACAATTTGACATTAGCAAATGTTACATATATGTAATTTAACATTGCTGTTAATTTAAGCTTAGCAATATTGCCAAAAAAAAACTGCTGGGGTCAAGTCACTGCCCGTGTTCAAGGTGAAGGTGGCCCAACTATATATGTATATATCTATTTATGTATTTTTATATGCATACATATGTATCTATATCTATACATAATTATACAGCGACCAGCTGGCCTTGCCTGCATTTGGTTTGTCGTCAGATGTTATTAAGCGATTTGTGTTGTGCTGCTTGCCAAAATTCTAAGGCAAGCAAAGCACCAAAAACTGTTGAATAATAGAATAAAATAGAAAAAGAAACGAGCGAAACTGTAAGCGACGCGTATGAGGGCGAAAGGAACAGAGAGTACCTGCAGCGAGGGTGAGGGAGAAATCTTGGTGATAACGCGAGGAGGGTAGGGTGGATAAAGAGAGAAAGAGGTTTCAGTGTTGAGTATGTGTTTACGGAGCAAAAACAACTATGGTGAAATAGGCACACAAACAAAGAGAGCAAGTCGCTATGACTAATTATGGACTCAATGCAAGCGGAAAAACAAAACAACAAATTCTGAAATTAGCCAAAATCTAGAAAAAACGCGTCCGTGTGTGAATGGTTATTGTTGTTGTTTTTTGATTGTTTTTTTTTTTCTTTTTTATGCGCAGTTTGAAAGCTGTCTGATCAGCCTTTTTGCAAGTTAACAAACAAAAACAAAAAATAAGTTTTATATGAAATCAAAAACACGATAGGCTCGTTGGCCGTGTGCTTTGACACAGGGGCTGACGATGTTTATTTGCGTTTGTGTTTGTGTGGGCAGGGTGACGGGGGAACAGAAAAAAAAACCAGCCAAATGAAAAACAACAATCACAACAGCTGAGCAAGCGAGTCAGCTAGCAGCTCGCTCTCCCGCACATACACATACACACACAGTCTGAACAAAGCGTTTTTGTGTGTATGTGTGCGCATGAATTTGTTTGATTTTCACTTGAGATTTGGCAAGTGTTGACTGTGACAAGTGAATTTTTTTTTATGTAGTATATACGAAAAACTATTGTTGGTCGTAAAATGTACGGAAATGGACATAAAATTAAAAACAATTTCTTCTATGTCCAATATGCGCATTATTGATTTTCCCTGCTGCGCGTATGTGTGTGTGTGTGTAGCAACAAAAACAACACACAACCAAATAGAACGACGCAAAACAATCACACACATACAAACAGCTCGCATACACGCAAACGCACACACATTTTATACATTGAAATACATATACACACACGTATATATAGGAATAAATAAAAAAAATTTTATACTTACGGGCACACGGTCGGGATATTTACGCCTGATCTTGTCGCCTTCGGCGCGACGCTTCTCAAATGCATGCTCCTCTTTATATTGGAACTTCATGATTGTACTTGTTAAATAATTGTATAAGAAACGCAGTTTTCACTTTACTCTTTACACTAACAACAAAAAACTAGCTATCGCTCTCGTTTGTGGTTCACTTATGTTGGCTGCGCACTTCAGTATGACCAATCTAAATGCAATCAAGAAGGCCAAAAATTATTCAAATGCTAAATTTAGCGTTTAGTGTGCCCGTAGAGTTTTAATGTCAAATTACTGCACGAATACTAACAAAATACTAAAATGTTTATTGTCAAATGTTATTCAATGGAATGTCAAAATAGTGTTTGAAAACAGCGAAAGCAATCAACAATCGGCCGAAAAATCGAAAAGTTTTGCACATCTCGAATATCTTGTTCTTTTCTTCCGTGGTTTTCGACTAATAAGATGGCTCCAACTGTAAGTGCTCGTAAAAATCGTAAAAACGTTGCACCATCATAAGTAAAATATAATTAATATATGCATAATATTAAATGTTGTGATGTGTTGCGTGCAGACACAATGATATTTGCCAATAACTTCATTTGTAATGGTGCAAATTAATCACTTATGTAAATAATATAATTCAAATTCTAAATACATGTCCACAGGCCAAGACCAACAAGGGTGATACCAAGGCTGCCAAGCCAGCTGAAAAGAAGGCTGCTCCAGCCGCAGCTAAGGGCAAGGTTGAGAAACCTAAAGCCGCCGAGGCCGCCAAGCCAGCAGCGGCTGCAGCCAAGAACGTAAAGAAGGCGCCGGAAGCCGCTAAGGACGTGAAGGCAGCCGCAGCAGCCAAGCCCGCTGCTGCTGCTAAGCCAGCTGCCGCCAAGCCCGCTGCTGCCAAGGATGCCGCCAAGAAGGCACCAGCAGCTGCTGCTGCGCCCAAGAAGGACGCTAAGGCAGCACCCGCTGCTACCAAGAAGGCAGCTGCTGCTCCGGCTTCTGCGCCACCAGCAAAGAAGGCAGCCCCCGCTGTCGCTAAGGCTGCACCAGTAGCTGCTGCTGCCGCCGCTCCGGCTGTTGCCAAGCCCGCTGCTAAGCCGGCTGTGGCGAAGCCCAAGCCCAAGGCTGCCACACCTGCGGCAGCTCCCAGCAAGGTTGTGAAGAAGAGTGTGCTGCGCGGCAAGGGCCTGAAGAAGAAGAAGGTATCGCTGCGTTTCACTATTGACTGCACCAACATTGCCGAGGATAACATCATGGATGTTGCAGATTTCGTAAGTACCCCCAAAGCCGCTGTGACAGATTCTAACCCACAACAACACCATGGAGCTGGTGAACATGATCTCATTTGACAATTGGCAACAGCGACGCCTGTGATACCACACCAAGCTTTTCATTGCCGCAAACAGCCAGAGGCACTGGATAAAAAGTTGTGGTTATAGTAAAGTATTCCACTAGCGATTAAACTGAACATGCCAAAAGAGTGGCAATTACGGTTAACAACTGCTGGAACACTTCAAATCATAACTGCCAATCATTGATAACTGCTTATCAATTATCACAAGTATGGCTTTTGCAAACTATTTTTTGTTGTCAAAACCTTTTCTGACAAAGGGGCTCTGGACACTGCACAACGGGGTAGCCACTGATCGCCAGTACCGGGTCTGGCCAGTTGGTGCAACCGTCTGTGAACAGCGTCAAGTCGTGCTATGTGTACCGCCACGTGGTGGGCCCTGGGTTGTACGTGCCACATCCGTGTTACGTCGAGCCGAAATTCATAGTGCGCCCTGCTAATGGCGTGTGCAACAAACACAGTTTGTATTCTGTCACGCTGCAGGTTTCTCCACGAAGCAAATCGAATAGAATTCTAAAGCCAAGTCAAGGGGAAACCTCTCAATATAAGCGCTCAACGCGCATATTCCTAATTTAGCAGGGTGCACAGCCAATCTGCCAGCTATTAGTGTCGCCGCCCATGAGAAACAGGTAATACAGTTCGCTAATGCTCCAATATGAACATCGTTATATATATTATATTTAGGCCACGCCGATTTGCCGTCAGAGAGTGAAATCCTTCGGGACAGTCGCTCTGATGGCAGTGTACTCAGTGGCATAGTAAAAAACTGATCACTCTTCTTTATTTGGGCCTTTTGTTCGCATTCAATATTGACTTTCGGCCTTAACAAAGAAAGAGACAGCACCACTGTGTGCATGTATTTATGCAAACGCTTGCTTTTGCCCCACTGTTCTAATCGGTGTTGACTTTCGTTTGGGTTCGCAGGAGAAGTACGTGAAGGCGCGCCTCAAGGTGAACGGCAAAGTGAACAACCTGGGCAACAATGTCACCTTCGAGCGTTCAAAGATGAAGCTCCACGTTAGCTCCGATGTTCACTTCTCCAAGGCCTACCTCAAGTACTTGACCAAGAAGTACCTGAAGAAGAACAGCCTGCGTGATTGGATCCGTGTGGTTGCCAACGAGAAGGACTCGTATGAGCTACGTTACTTCAGAATCAGCTCCAACGATGATGAGGATGATGACGCGGAGTAAAGATGCAACAAACCAACAGCAACAACAACAAAAACAAAACATCAACTTTTTTACAAGCTCTGTTTTTAATAGATGAGAAACGAAACACGTGGTTTATCCAATTATAAAAAAAACACTGAAGTTGTGTAAACTTTACTCGCAATGTTGTATCTTTTATTATTATTTAAAGTTTTCAGATTATGCAGCCAATTGAGTAAATGTTATCTATATCTATCTATAAGATGGTGACTTTTCGCAGGTCCTCCAATGTGGAATTTAGATGTTTATTGCCTGCAGCAAATGTCCTTAGAGGGAAGAAAATATTTTATTTTAATTATTAGAATTAGAGTAGTCGAAATGGAATATGGATGGAGTATATTGACTTTGTTCAATACGAAGTTAGAGACTGAAAATTGGTGCATATGTACAATCGTTCACACTCTCCTGATATACCCACTGGGTGCGGGCAAAATCTGAATATAGTATAAAAAATATATAAAATGAACAAAACAGAAAATATCGGGAATATATATAGTAAATGTATGGTAATCAGGTAAAACTGTAGCTGCCACAGTATATATTACTAGTAACATCCTCTTTATATCGACAATACATGTGTGTTTACGCCCAGTGGGCGTGGCAAATCTGACCTAACTATTTGGTTTAGTACAGATTCTGTCATGTTTTGAGCTCTATTGGTATTTGAAATTTTCAGTACATGCTTATATGTGCAACGTCCGCTTCTAGTAATATATATTTTATAGTATGTCTACTTGCATAGGAGGCGAGACACGTCGTGAAAACCAATACAATCTAAAGTTGTCAAGCTAGAACTTGAAAATTCCATAATTGAGTTATTGTTGACATTCACTAATAGAAATAGACCCATTTGGGACGTGGCAAATAGACAAAACCTAAACCTTCAAACGTTTTTGCAGCTGAAGCTGCAGTTACGTTGCTGTATGCCCATTAAAATAGATAATTATTTAGCTGCCACAATTTCACGGCTAGAAACTAAAAAGCTCTATCTAGCTATTTAGCTATTTAGATATCATCTAGCGTGAATAAAGCCAAAATTTGCCAGACTTTTACTCAGGCTGCATATGAAGCACGTGCCTCAACTCGATTCGATCTGTTGCTGAAGCAGGATTAGGACAAACTCTACTTTAGACTGGTTTTGGCCAATACCCAAAGTCCGCCCGACATTCATATGCAGCTGGCGCTGATTTCACTGAAATAGGCAATATCATTCGCTCAATATATTAGCATAATATACTATAGTATAACTAGGAAAAACGTCTCTGGTTAGTGCGATTAGCTAACCAGATGCTCGGAAAACCAGTTACAATTACCTGGAAAACAAATGATGAGCCAAGTACCTGGGATTGTGTGGAATATTGCTTGAGTGGGCAGACTTTTAATTGCTAATCGAGTGAAAGTTGTGCTTACTAGTGGCATAGATAGATAGATATATATATATGTATATATATATACATACATATATATAGAGAGAGAGAGAGCATAGGCTAATTGATGAATCATTGGTGAAGAAAAAAACCAGCTTGAACCTTGGAGTGCGGCGTGTTGTTAAAGCTTTTATTGTATCAATTAATCAGAATAAAGAAAACTTTTTACCAATAACAAGAGACAATCATCGTAGGTACATTAAAAAGAACAAAAACAAACAAAAGGATTACACTAATTAGTGTGATTAAAAGCAGCTAGCTAATAATACTAACAATACAGTTGACTTTCGAATATGTGAGATACTTTTACAGGTGCGGGGTTAGATAAAGATTCTTTTTCGTATGTAATAAAAGTTTTAAGGAGATTCACAGATTCGAGCGGACTAGCTGCCTCATCATCGTCATCGTCATCATCATCATCATCATCATCATCATAATTATCTTCTTGGTCTGCATCACATTTGAAGGCCGTCAGGCAAGGTTACCTAGAGATAACAAGTTACGAATACTCTACGAACAAATACTAGTTAACAATGCATAATAATTGAATACAAAAATACGCTGCTATAGTGCGAGCTAGGGGTCTCTATGTGGGTGTGTGGTTGTGTGGGCGTGGCTGCGGATTGAATAGGTGCAAAAGCAATTATTGGAAAGATTTGCAGCTAATTCATTTCTAATTTGCAGCCTTGACCCAGCGGAGCAGCAGAGCACCAAAGAGGCCAATAAACAGGGTAAAGCCGGAGACGCGCAGCTGTGCTCCGCCGCTGGTGTTAGAGCGGACGGCTGCCTGGTCGGGTGGCAGCATTGCCGGCGGCGATTGGCTGGTGGCCATTGGTGCCAGCGGCACGGGCTCAGCACCGGGCGCGGCGGCTGGCGGCGGCGGAGCCGGATAGCAGGCAATTTTCTCGACTTCAATCATTTTGCTGCTGTCAGCCGGATCAGTTTCGTTGACTTTGGTGGGCACACAAATAATACCGCCCGGTGATGGTGGTGGTGCCGATTGTTGCGCTGCATCAGTACCATTGGCCATAGGTGCCATAGGTGCCATGGGTGCCAACTGTGCGGGCTGTGCATCAGCACTCACTACGGTGGCGTTCATTGGGGCAGCAGCTGTGCCCGCTGCATTGATGACAGTGGTGCCATCGCTGGCATTCACAGGCACGCCATTGTTGATGATTATGATGCGGTCCTGGCCAGCAGCAGCAGCTGGTGCAGCAGCCGCCGGTTGCGACGAGCTGCCACCAGATGGAGTCAGAGCGTGGCCGAGCAAGGCGCCGCCCAAACCACCAGCCAGAAGACCCGTGCCTAAAAGAGTGGATTGTAAATGATGCTTAACGTTGGTTCACTCATTCGCTTACCGAAGCCCAAGCCGGAGGAAGATTGCTGCGGTGGCTGCGAGTACAAAATGGCGCCCGGTGGTAGGGCCGAGCCAGGCTGTATGTACGTAGCGCCTGGTGGTGCAGCAGCACCCTGATGATAACCGCCATAGCCGCCAGGAGCGGGATAGCCACCACTTGCTCCATTCATATAACCGCCACCTGGGTAGCCGCCACCGGCTGGATAATTGCCAGCAGCCGGATAGCTAGGCGGTGCTCCTGCATGCTGCTGACCGTAATTGTTGGGCGTGATCGGCTGATGCACATTGCTGCCATAGTTGGGCGCCTGATAAGCTGGTGGGTGCTCATGGATGTTAGAGTGTGCACCTCCAGCCGGATTCGAGGCAGAGTATGCAGGTGGTGCCCCTTGCGGCACATTCCAGCCAGCCGCGGGCGGTTGGCCGTTGGGTGGACGATTCGGTTGGGAATTGTAATTGGGATAGCTTAATTTGGCGGCATCTGCGTGGGAATTGCCACCATTGTTACTATGAGTACTGTAGGATTGAGTTACATGGCCCGAATTGCTGCTGCTGGATGACGTTTTACGCTGGTTGCTACCTTGGTTACGGCGAGCATCCACAACATCGAAGCCGTGCGTCAGCAGCAAAGCAAATAAGGCTACGGCGACAATTGCGCACTTGGAAGCAGAAGCCATCGTTTAACGATTTTTGTTATATAGTATATATGCTATATACTAGCTGGCAATGCTGGCGATGACAGTAACATGTAAATTTGGCAAAAATATTATTATTTTAGCTTGCAACCAGCCAATCATGCGATCAAATACGAGACGTTAACAATAAAATTCAATATATGTGCATGATAATTACCAAAACTCGTTTTGCCTGCTCAGTAGCAGCTGTTGTTGTTGTAGTTGTTTTTGTTGCTGTTTTCTGCTCAACGTTTATTTATGCACAGATATTCCGCGATTTTCACCAGCGCTTCGAGTGTCAAGCGAGGTTTACAAATGATGCGAAACTCAACTAGGCCAACAGCGAATCAACAGTGTTATTCAATTTATCGATTCGATACTATGCGCTCGCCGTCGGCGTTGCCATCCGTTTGCTAGAAACTGCGCCAAATAGCCGATAGTTCCAGCAGTATCGATGCACTTTTAACGGGCAAAGCGATTCAAATTGATTTGTTTTAGAACACCTGTTGCTCACAGTAAAACAATATTTAATGAATGAATGAATGAGAGTAATTAGATGTTATAATATCACTTATATTATAAATACAAAAATTGTTTTCTAATTTTTTTTAATAGTTTATAGCAATTAACATACCCATAACTAATTATATATGTAGAAATTCGTTGGATCAAGTTAGCTGTAGTGCATTTTCGGTTGAAATGCAACTTCAGAATTAGACTTTGTATAGCTCCTCTTCTGGTGCTTCTGCAATAAACGTATCGTTATTCTCTGCTATAGGGGGCAGCGCACCATCGATAACATACCGATTGTAAAATTAGTACAAGTCGATATTACGCTACGATATATCAACAATCCAGCCGGCAACGGCAATAGCTTAACCACATATTTTTATATTAATCCGTATTAAGCCCGAAGTGCATACGTTTATTAGCAATTGCGATCAACAAACGATTTCTAATTAATTAGCCCTAATTAAATTTAAGCGACAGCGTGGAGGGAACTCACGCTGAGGGACAGTAATCGTGGGAGTACGTGGCAATTACGATGATGTTCTAAATAGCTGACAATAAATAATAATTAGTTAATTAAAGTAATTACGAAGTGTCGCAGTTGCAGCTATGAGTGCCACGCTACGTTACCGCGGCGATAAGAGCAATTTGCTAGAGTTCGCCAAGAACTTGGATGCCTTCAAAAAGGTGCCCGAGAAGTATACGGAGACCACAGAGATTGGTGGCACACGTGAGCAAAATGCATTAAGCAGCTTCGCCTGGTATCTATTATGATCATAATTCGTTTAACATTTATTTCCAGTTTCCTTGCTAAGCCGACTGCTCATTGTTTATCTCGTTTACACGGAGCTGCGTTATTATTGGAATGAGACGGATATTATTTATCAATTTGAGCCGGACATGGCGCTGGACGAGCAGGTGCAGATGCATGTGGATATTACGGTGGCCATGCCCTGCGCCTCGCTCTCTGGCGTCGACCTGATGGATGAAACGCAGCTGGATGTGTTTGCTTACGGCACATTGCAACGCGAGGGCGTCTGGTGGCAAATGTCGGACTCAGATCGTCGTCACTTCCAGTCCATGCAGATGACCAATCACTATTTGCGTGAGGAGTATCACTCTGTGGCTGATATACTCTTTAAGGATATACTACGCGAGCGGTCACTCCCCAAGGAGAGCGAAACACAACCAGCCGCTGCTGCACCTCCACCACCAGGTGCACTGCAGCAGCTGCAGCAAATCTCGCAGCACGAGTCCAAATACGATGCATGCCGGCTGCACGGCACATTAGGCATCAATAAAGTGGCCGGCGTGCTCCACTTAGTGGGTGGTGCACAGCCGGTAGTTGGCATGTTCGAGGATCACTGGATGATCGAGTTCCGCCGCATGCCAGCGAACTTTACGCACCGCATCAATCGCTTGAGCTTTGGCCAATACTCGCGTCGAATCGTCCAGCCGTTGGAGGGCGACGAGACGATCATACGGGAGGAGGCCACCACGGTGCAGTACTTCATCAAGGTGGTGCCGACGGAGATACGCCACACGTTCAGCACCATCAGCACATTCCAATATGCTGTCACTGAGAACGTTCGCAAGCTAGGCAAGTGATGATGCAGTGCATCCTGTCGTTCAACTAGCTTAACTCGTTTGCTATTTACAGATGCTGAGCGCAATTCGTACGGCTCGCCGGGAATTTACTTCAAGTACGATTGGTCCGCCTTAAAAATTGTGGTTAGCCACGATCGCGACTATTTGCTGACGTTTGTCATACGCCTCTGCTCCATTATATCGGGGATTATTGTCATTTCTGGTGCTGTCAATGCGATGCTAGTGGCCACCCAGCGTCGTCTGCTGCGGATGTTTGCGCCTCAGCTCTATCTGCGATTACCTGGATCGACGCCGCCCCCGCCCGCAACGCCAGTCAGCAGCGTGTCGACGCCTGCCAACGAGCTGCTCAACACGGCCAATCTGATGGCCAATGTGGATATATCCGCCTATTTGCCAACGGCCATGGCGGCCCCCAAGTCTGACATCTAGCCGGGCCACAACTGGCCCGCTCGTAATCTCCGTTCAATACACTTTCAATTCTTTCTTCTACGATAAATGCCACAAATTTATTTTCTCATAAGATTAAGCAAAAAAGTGAATTTTACAATTGTACATACATAAAAAATACATGTTATATATATTATAAAAACATATATATATACATATATATATATATTAAATATTACATATATATATATAGATCTTCGTTTACTGCTCGTGTCCCAGTATGCCCGTGTCCAGGTTGCTGTAGTGTCGCGCACCCGATCGTCTATAGCCGAACATGCTCTTCAGTATCTCGAGGGCCGAGTCAACAGTTGTGCGCACGTCTCGATCGGTGCCCAGTTTCGGATTGATCTCCACCAGATCCATGCCCTGGACACGCTTGGTGTCGCGCAACGCCTCCACAATGCTGATGCCCTCGCGCAACGTTAGTCCGCCGCGAACGGCGGTGCCCGTGCTCGGGGCCACGTTGCTGTCCAGCGCATCGATGTCGAAGCTCACATGGATTTTGTTATGCGGATCCATCGCGTCCAGCGTCATCTCAATGATCTTTGGCACGCCCATGCGATCGATCGACTGTCATAAGAGAAAGACAAGCATAAATACACATTTCTGCTGGATTATCGAACCTATAATAACCTATAGCAATAGATCATTGAAATAGTATATGAGCTGTTTATACATATGTATATGTATATATATTTATAATATGTATGTATATATATATATATATATATATATGTATAAAAATGATCATATGATCAATAATCGAATGGAACATTTCAAAGCGTCGCATTGCTCATGACAGAACTGAAATATGCGCAAGGTCAGCTGTGCGCAAAAGCTTCGCTTCTAACGGGGCTAAAAGCTTAGCTCAATTTCGATTGGTGCGCCGATCATGTGAACGCCATTTGCCAAGTAACCAGGTACAGCCAACGATTTGTTTCTTTATTCTTTTTTTTCTTTTGGCATATTTGGGTCGAACTAATGAGTTGTAATAAATTTGCAGCTCGGGTACATTTAGCATTAAACCATTTTTCAACAGACGTCGATTTAGCACGAGCCATAAATTAAGGCTGGCAACAAGGACACGCCGGATACGATGCGAGCGGATGTGGCCGGGCACGTAGCAACAACCACCGATCGGAAGTTGACAGCGCGCATGTAACGGAAAGGCAGGGAGGGACTGCCAGTCAGCTGGAGGGTAGGTGGGCAGCTAGGGAGTGTCCTGTAACTTTGCCGGCTGCAGAAGGGTGCAGCTAGATTCAATTTTTCCTACCAGCGACAACCCCTATAACTGCCGAGCTTACATTTACAACGCACACACACACACACATACGCACGCATGCTCAGAGCGAACTAGAGACAGAATATGGTGTGTGCGTAATTCAGTTGAGGCTCTCACGCACGATCGTCATTTGATCCTTTTGGCTGCCGACAAACCGGAATTTTAAATTTCTTTACGCACAGCAGACCCGAAACTCTGCGTGCATGTATCCATTCTACTTACATCCATGGCATAGTAGCGTATTCCAAATTTATTCAATATGAACGCCTCGTAGGGGTCAATGTCCCTCAAGCCAATGTAAACCAATTGATCCTTCGGCAAACTGAAATGAGTCACAAAGAAAAGAGAGGCGTGTGAAAAAGAGAGAGAGCGAGTGATTGTAAGATGGGAGAAGGCGAAACGGGGAGCTCAGCTAAAATGCGCTTGAAGCCCAACAAGCACTGCGCTTAGAGGTTATGTTTAAGTAAGCATGGTATTTGTGAGGTTATGTTGTTTTTTAGTCTTCAAAACTTTTTATAAAGTTGAAAACTTTGATTTCGGAAACATTTAAGGTAAGGAGAGAGGGAAAGTAAAAGTGAAAGTGGAGAGAGAGAGACAGACAGACTGAGAGAGGAGAGGAAAGAGGAGAAAAGAAATGGAAAAAAAGAGAGTGGCGAGTGGAGAAAGATAGAGAGATCTGAATATCTGATAGCAGACAAGGAGAGAGAGAAGGAGAGTGGTCTCATACGTAGAATAATTAATATAATTGAATAGTTTTTATCTAATTCCAGCTAAGCTAGTAATCTCATGTAAACTGCGCTTGGTATAGCCAAAGCGAAAAAAAATAAGAGAAACAGAATGGAAGAGAGGACGGAGAAAGAGAGACCAATAGAAGGAAAGCCGAAATAAAAACACATGCCACAATCAAAATGGCACTGCAGCGGTGCCTGCACCCCTCTGTATGCTGCGTGCCACTGTCTCACCCTCGATGATCGGCGAGAGGGAATTCTCGGTGTCTTATGGTAATTTTTACGATTATTATTATTATTATTTGTTTCGGGAAAAATTGCATCTGTCGATCGTGCTCTGTGCAGCGAGACGTGCAAAGTTGAAAACACCCTGAAGGACCCTTATGTAAATGTAAATATGCCCAAGGCAACTCACCTCGCTTTCAAAGCAAGGGAGGGGGCAGTGTGTCTGAGTGTGCGAGTGTGTGGTTCTGATGAATCAAGGAATAGCTGGGACCCGTTCGGACAGTTTGATCCCGCGGATCCGCAGACATATTGATGCAGCGCCTGCGGCAATGCTTGTTATTGTTTTAATTTTGTTTTTTGTACGTAAGTTGTTGTTTATTTAAAACGAAAATCAGTTAAGGGTGCGCCTCTTGTGCTGCAACCCCAAAAAAAAAACGAGAGAAAATGTTGATGTCCTTTGTTTCTGTCATCTTGCGTCCGCTGCTTTTTTAATCCGGCTTTGTTGTAATGCGACCAAGGTGCTGGGCACAATGCGCTCTGTTGCCGCCAGAGCCAAAGGATTAGACATACTTTCATGCCCGCTATCCTTTCTCTCCCCTTTTCCTTTTTGAATTCCCCGGGGCAAAGCCGCTGTCATTTGGATTTTGTAAAATCTGGCAACATTGGAAAACTGCAGCATACTGCGAGGCGCCGACCATGTGCGAGAGCGCGAGAGTGAGAGAGACAAACTGAAACCCAAGCACGTGGCCACAGTCCACACGGCGAACACTCGCACACACACACACACAGTGAATGGCAGAAATTGGCGCAAATTAGTTATCACAAAAACGTATCGTCATGGAAGTAAATACCCATTTATGTGTATATTTATATATGTATATACATAGAATTGTGATGTGTAAAAGGTCACATGGGATACGTTCAACAAATAATAATAATATATATATATATATATATATGTATGTATGTATGTATGTATTTAGTATGTCAATTAAAATTGTACTTAATCCAAAAATTTATATATATCTATATATATATTTATAAATTGTTGGATCATGTACAATTTTAAATGCCATACTAAATATATATATAAATATATATTCATATTGAATTGAGCATACAACTTACTTGTTCTTTAATATTTTACAAAAATATTTAAGTAATAAGAAATTACGATTCTTTTGTAACTATTGAGTTATATATGTACACAGAATGAACCTAGTCAAGTAAAAACAAAAGATTTAGTGAAACTAGATACGAATAAGTAGTAAATAGCAATTTAATTGTTTTGTGCGTTTTCTATTTTAAAATGTTATAATACATATGTTAATAACATATACATAAACTATTATAATACTGCACATACATATATTTTATTTTATGTATGTACATCTGTATGTGTATAAATTATGCTTATCTTGGACAGGATATCGCAACGGGCGAACACTTGCACGTCACCGATCTGTCTCGTTTGGCCACCCCCCTTTAGCAATGGCAACGGCGCCGGCTGACCGTCTGGCAACCTAAATCTCAAAAGCAAAAAAAAAAAAAACACCAAAAACCACCCCAGCTCAAAAAGTTGAGTTACATTTTTATGTTTCGCGAACGACGACAAAAAGAATAACAATGTGTTCACTGTGTGTAAATTAGAACAGACAGGCGGCGGCGGCGGCATATTTGTAATGTTGTGCTATACAAATCAGCACATGGTAACCGGTGGGCGACAGCAGCAGCAGAACAGGAAGCATACACACATACAAACATACATACATACATGCATAGGATATGATGAATACAAGCGCAATTAAGCACACGCACGCACGCTTGCCAAAAACCCAGCCCATGTCGAAACACTCGGTAGACAGGCGCTGGCTTCGAACTAGGGGGTGTACGCTTTACAGAAAACAACCCCAGCGTTGGTGGTGGCAGTGCCGAACATGCATATACACTCACACATACAACACGGCAAACAGCCCTCGCGGTTGGCAAGGATGTGCTGGCAAAGAGAGAGGTTAGCCAGCATAAGCTGCATCATAAAACGGTTGACGACCTCATATTGAATTGTACATTTTTTCTCTTACAAAAAACCAAAAAGAAGCGAAATGTAATAATATTTGAATATTAATCTCATTTTGAAATTGAAATTCTAACGTAGTTTTGCCATTCACTCAATGGTCTGCTTTGCAACATTCTGGCAACACTTTTTTGACAGTTTGTAGGAGATGGTAGGCGTATGTTTGACATGCTTGCTGGCATACATATGTATGTACATACACAGATATTTCCAGGCTGTGGGAATGACAGCTCCATAGACACGGCCATTTTGAATTTTATTTGTGAACAAATAGGTTTTTTATTATTGTCTAACAATGCTTCGATAGTGCGCTAAAATTTAAAATGTTTATTAATATGCCGCTCTGCATAAAATATATGTTGTTTTATCATTTTTGATTCAACCATGACCAATCTGAAATATTTGTATCGCAAGGAGATTCCCTGTAGCCAATCACCCACCAATGGGGCTAACGAAGTTAGAGTCGATTTTCCAGAGACAGCAACCGATTACCTGAGAGAGTGCATAACTCGGAGAGAAAAACTCGTATTGAGAGTACGAAAACAAAGCAAGAAAAATAACAACAGCAGCAACAACAAAAACGGCTGGTCAACACAATCAATATGTTTCTTCTCGCTCTCCCTTGTTCTCAAATTCTGATTGCTCTCTCACTCTCGCTTCATAAAAATCAACACATGCACATATCTATGGTATGTGTGTGCGTATGAATGTACGGCCACTGAGGGTAGCAAGCTTTGTGTTGTTTGTGCTCGCATTCGCGTTTAGTTCATTCGCGTAATTTTCATTTCTACGCTAGACGTTGTCCGCCGCAGTACGTTTGAATGCTCGTGTGCGCTGCCTCAGCTCGTGTGCTCAGCTCATTTTGCAATTGATTTTTTATTTTTTTTTTTGAAAAAGTAATGAAAATACCGACAAGAGTATACAATTGTTTATGCAAAATATACGCATTGCCATAGAAAACTACGTGAAGTGCAAGAACAAAAACAACAAAAATACCACCAATGATATCCGCATCATCAACAACACAACAGTAGCAGCCGCAACCAAACGTAAGCGTAACGTATATCAACGACAACAACAAAACGGTACCAAAAAAAATAAAATGCTACGAAAATTGCCAAACGACCACTACGCGCTGCACAATTGTGCAATTATATACCCATGCAGAAACATATATGTATTTTTTGTTGTGTGTGTGTGGAACAATTTGATACATGTATGCTAAAATGCAAAATTATAATATGCAATGGGTATGGAGGAAAAATGTAGGCAAGACGCACAGACTACAAACGGCAGCGCCAAACAGTTCAACAAACTCAAAAGAGTAGCAAAGAGACAAACGATCGTTGCTGGGAGGGCTGGAGACGGTGCTAGGCAACTGAACAAAAAGTAGTAGTAAAGCAGTCGTAGTAAAAGTAGTAGTTTGCTTAAGTTGTTCTGTGTTCAAATCTACTGCTAAATGCCGCACTGCTGCTGCTGCTACTGCCATCGCATAGTTCTTTCTCTCTCTGTCTCTGTGCTGTGTATCTGTAAAACGGTTGCTCTATGCGAGTGTGAGTGTGTGTATACGCTGCTGTGTGTCTGAGTAGCTGTGTGAGTGGCAAAAAGGGCGCAGCTAGCATATCGATTTTATGTGCAGGAAGAAGCAAGCATTGTACGCCGACAACTACAACTACAACTGCAACGGCGGGGGCAAATAGTAGTAGACACTTGGAGCACAGTTCATTTTCAACTCTTTTTTTTACTGTAGTGGTAAAGAACGTTTTCTGAACGCCGGCAGCTATAACTATAAACAAAATGTTAGTTTCTGTTTTTTTTTATTATCTGTAAGTAGTAGTATTAGTATTTGGTGAGAAAGCGTACTGTTTTGTTGTCACAGCAACACTCAGAGCTAAACAAAAAATAGTAGTTCGAGGAACAGAGAGAATTGCGCGGAAATACAAATTAGAACAATTCGACAACAAACGCTAGAGCTATACACTGCTCTTCTATATTTCTTTGCATTTCGTTTTTAATTTTACTTGTTGTTTTTAAATTAAGCAAGAACAACAAACATCGGGGAAATAAAAACGAAAGCAGCGCGTGTTTTAATTTAATAAGCGCGTCGTCTAGCAACAACAAAAAACTTATAGATACTAAGTGCGTCGGTGTGAGTGTGCGCGCGTGTTTGTGTGTGTGTATGCTAGTGTATGTGTGTATATGTTTGTTTGCAAACATATTCATTAATGCATACACATGTAAGACAGTATGCATGTTTTTATGTAAAATAAGTGCGTTAGCTACATATAATGTATATGTATGTACATATAAACAACACAGAAAACACTGGCAACAACAACAATAATAATGCAGGGAAATGATATACATTGTATGACTGACTAAATGGAGCAAGAGCGAGGCGGTTGGTCGCTCGTTCGACTCGCTTCGCTCTCTTCCCAATGGCGCTCGCCATAAATTAGCACAGTGGCAGAGCCGCAGCAGCAACTGAGAGATACTGTTATAATCATCAGTATTAAAAAAAAGACAACAACAAACAAACGCAAAGTTACAATAACAACAACGGCAGCAGCGGCACAATCCGAAATTGTGTAACAAAACATTTGCGCCGATTGTTTTAAATAGTAAAATATGAATTTATACATGTGCACATAAACACACATTCATATATGTATGCGCATGCATGTGTATGTATGTATATGTGCATGTGCGCAGAATTGGGCAAAAATTTATACCTAGCTGTTCTTCTCGTTGTTGCTGCTGTATGTGCGGCTGCTTGGGTTTGTGAAAAATCGATAAAATCGATAAATACGATAACACCAACGCCCAATGACGATATGCAGTTATATTTACCGTTTGTTTTGTTTTTGTTTTTATCTACACTCTCTTTCATACAACAACATTAGACGACGACGACGACGACGTAAACGACAACGGCAGCGTTTGTTTAATTATTAGCAACAAAATAGCTGCAATTTAAGACAACAACAACAATAAATATCCTGGATAAATAGAGAGCATTGTCTAGCCGACTGCCAAACACAATAAAGGTGAGCAGCAGTTAGTGAGAAAGAGGAAATCAAAAGGAGTAGCGCCGTGTAGAGCGCGTGCGCGTCAACAAATCAAATCAAATCAAATTTGTTTGGTAAACACAAAATAGCAACATTTTAACTGAAACAAGTGAGTATTTAAACATGTGCTAAATATATAACTGTATATACATACGTACATAGATATAACTAACTGTATATATAGCATGCGTAAAGGATGAGCGGTTTTAAATCATTGATGGCGTGAGTGATTGTGTTTGTGTGTGTGTGTGTGTGTGTGTGTGTTAATGAGCGTATGTATGCGTGTTAGATTTTGTTTGACCTTTTGACTTGTATGTGTAACGTGCGAGAGACGCATCCACGACAACCACCCAATATGCAAGTTCACAGATCATGCAACAGCAGCCGTTGCGACGGCGTTGCCAGACAGTTGGGATGAAAAACCAACGCACATGCCGTTTTGTTTGTTCCAGACAAAGGGGGTGGCATTGTTCTGCTGTATTTAACCCTCAGGCGAGCCAAGCTTACATTTTGTGCATGTATATATATATATATGTATATGTATATATATATATATATATATATATGAGTGGTAGTAATATTTGCAAAAGCAATATTACACTGGTTTTGGTTTTAAGGGTTGCATATGCAGGGCGGGTGGGTTGAACGGGAGCACGTTCAACATTGGATGCTCATTTTTAGTTTTCAATATATATTTTTTTTTGGTGCTTTTTGGTTTTTCTTTTTCGTAAGGGGTATGTCCTGCTACTGTGTGTAGAGTTCGTTGCCTGCCGCTGTGCGTGTGTGCGTATGTGTGCTTGTGTGTATGTATTACATAACTGGGTTTGGCCGGGTACGTTACGTGCTTTGTTACAATTTACAACAACACCAACAACAAGAGCATCAGCAGCAACGATGTTAACGGCAGCCGGAACCGGAGCGGTGACAGGACGAAAGACGCTAACGCCAGCATAACACGAATGCCTTCTAAGGACCTGCGCTCAGTAGCATCGCGTGCTTGCGACGCAGCGGGTCTCACATCGGCATCGGCAACGGGAATTCCGAAAAAGCTCGACGCAATAAAAAAATACTCTCAATCTGTGAAAAACTCCTTTTTTACACTTAGTTGTAGGTGTGTGAGCTTATTTCTGCGTGCGGTTAATGTTAATTATTGTGGGTGCCTGAGATTAAAATCGCTCTCTAGTTGCTTGCTCTTGCTCCAGCTCTGCCTACCTCTGTCACTCTCACTGTCTGTCTCCCACTCTCTCTATCTTTCTCTCTCGCTCGCTCGCTCGTTCTCTCTTTGTGTGTGCTTGTTTGTGCGTGTGTGAGTCAAAAGTAAGTTTTGAACGAAAGTTTGTCGTTAAAATGGGCCGCTAGATGGCGCCAGCTCGCTACTAAACATGTCGTCAATAACTAACCGAAATAATTTACAAAAAAGGCCGCTTCGGCTCGTCGAAGTTGAAATACTATTGTAGCTACAGTAGTCGCACGCTAAGTACAATAACTAGTTAAATATACTAATATCATGCATATCAATTTTATTTGTAACTAATTTGTAATATCAAACTTTAAATCTGTTGACTGAGTTGACTTTTATAATTTGTTTCTTTGATAAAGTTCATGGAAGAAATGGGAAAAATTGGCAAAATTAGAAATAGATATTAACAAAATAACAAAATAATATCTTACCAGATTGGGAGCTAACAAATATGAATGAAAATTAGTTAAAAAAGTTAAGGGTTTCGATCTGGCTAATCGTAGACGAGTTGCCACCCACTGTAGGGGGGGGGGGGGGGTTGAATGGCTTCAATTGGGTCCTTTAAGTTGAATTAATCGCTACTAACACACTTGGCAAATGGTTTAATCTTGACATTTAATCCTTCTCATTTTCTATGTGCTCCGCCTGCGTTGGCCTGCGCCGACAAACAACTCGCTATCAACTTGGATTGCAAAACTCGCAGTGGACTTTATGATGGCTAATACGGGCGCCACTGGCGTGGAGACACAGGCGCAGTTAATGCAGAGCGCTGCCGCGGCGGCCGCTGTTGCTGCCACAAATGCGGCTACACCGGTGCAGAGCGCAGCGGCTGTGGCCGCCGCCGCACAACTGCAGCAGCAGCAGCAACAGGTGCAGCAGGCCATATTACAGGTGCAGCAACAGCAGACACAGCAAGCGGTTGCCGCAGCAGCCGCAGCGGTCACCCAGCAATTGCAACAGCAACAGCAGGCAGTCGTGCAGCAAGCGGTCGTACAGCAGCAGCAGCAGCAGCAACAGCAGCAGCAAGTGGTGCAGCAACAGCAGCAGCAGCAGCAAGTTCAGCAAGCAGTTGTCGCCGTGCAGCAGCAGCAACAGCAGCAGGTCCAGCAACAGCAGCAGGTGCAGCAACAAGTACAGCAGCAGGTGCAACAGGCCAACACGAACGGCAATTCGGGCGGCGCTCAGAACGGCAGCAACGGCAGCACAGAGACGCGCACAAATCTGATCGTGAACTATTTGCCACAGACGATGACGGAGGACGAGATCCGATCGCTGTTCAGCAGCGTCGGCGAGATTGAGTCGGTGAAGCTGATACGCGACAAATCTCAGGTTTATATCGATCCACTCAATCCCCAAGCGCCCAGCAAGGGCCAGAGCCTAGGCTATGGCTTTGTCAACTACGTCCGGCCACAGGATGCGGAGCAGGCGGTGAATGTGCTGAACGGACTGCGTTTGCAGAATAAAACGATCAAGGTGTCGTTCGCGCGGCCCTCCTCGGATGCCATCAAGGGCGCCAATCTCTATGTCTCGGGTCTGCCCAAATCGATGACCCAGCAGGAATTGGAGGCCATATTTGGGCCGTTCGGCGCGATCATTACGTCGCGCATACTGCAAAACGCCGGCAACGACACGCAGACCAAGGGCGTCGGCTTCATACGTTTCGATAAGCGGGAGGAGGCAACGCGTGCGATTATTGCATTAAATGGCACCACGCCCAGCAGCTGCACCGATCCGATTGTTGTGAAATTCTCGAATACGCCCGGCAGCACCAGCAAGATCATTCAGCCACAATTGCCCGCATTCCTCAATCCGCAGCTGGTGCGACGCATTGGCGGCGCCATGCACACGCCGGTAAATAAGGGACTCGCACGCTTCTCGCCCATGGCCGGCGATATGCTGGATGTGATGCTACCCAATGGATTGGGCGCTGCCGCTGCGGCGGCCACAACGCTGGCCAGCGGACCGGGCGGTGCATATCCCATATTCATCTACAATTTGGCACCCGAAACGGAGGAGGCGGCCCTTTGGCAGCTGTTCGGCCCGTTCGGTGCTGTCCAATCGGTGAAGATTGTTAAAGATCCCACAACGAATCAGTGCAAAGGCTATGGCTTTGTCTCCATGACCAACTACGATGAGGCGGCAATGGCTATACGTGCCCTCAACGGCTATACCATGGGTAATCGGGTGCTGCAGGTCAGCTTCAAGACCAACAAGGCCAAGTAGACTGTTCTCTCTCTCCAGCAGCAACAACAGCAACAGCAGCAGCAGCAACAGTAAACCCTGCCATTTCACCAAGAAGGAGAAGCAAACAGGAGTGCAAGTACACCTACACACACACACACACACACACACACACATACTTATCTAGTTTATACACACACACACACACAACAAGAACTCACTTATACATATATAAATATGCATGGTCTTAAGGCTAACTAAGCGCAACAACAATGTGTATAACACACAGACACACTCACGCACACACACACAACTACCATGCGAAAAGGAAACAAAAAAGCAAAAGCAAAAGCTATAAAAAAAAACAATTTTTTGGGGCTCTCCTTCGGCTTCACGTCTAAACAACGAAACGACGGCCCACAGCGCCGGCCGTTGCAATAGAGAAATTCTTGTTTAGCATTTAAGTAAAAAGAAAACCAAAAAACAAATCTAAACTAAACTAAACTAAAGAAGAGGAGGAGGAAGAAGAAGAAGTACGTGTCGAATGCAATATATAAAAATTAAACAAAGCTGACGAAGCAGCTGCAAATTAGTCGCAAAAACAAAAACAAAAACAAAAAAAAAACAAAGAAATCAGCAAAACAACAATTCTAAGATTTAATTAACCAAAATTAACCTAGCAAAAGGAAATAAACATTTTTTAAAATTATAACTAAGTAAGCAGCAATGAAATCTTCCAGTAACAAAATGAAAAACAAAAAATACCAAAAAAATACCAAAAAAAAAACAAAAAAAAAACAAACAAACCAAAAAAGTGTTAACTACACTTCAAATTTTCTATATAAACTTTCAAAGAAAAACAAACTCAAACAGCAAAAAAAAATTGTGTGTGGCGAAAACGTCTAAACAGTTCGCTTTTCTCGCAGTGTAGACTCGGGCCGTTAGTTTTTGAGCTTTCCAAGCGAGGTTGCAAAGAAAAAGTATTAAAAAATAAAAAAAAAATAAATGAAATAAAAAACATTAAGCATTAACACAAGGAGGCTGCTACAGTATTAAAAAAACAACAAAAAACACACATATATATTATATATAAATATATATATATATATATATATATATATATATATATATATATATATATATATATATATATATATATATATATATATATATATATATATATTTATGGTATATACATTTTTAATGTTTTGTGTTTGTTTTTTTTTTTTTATAACTTTAATAAAACGAAAGCCTAGCGAAAGCTACAATCGAAAACTAACGGCCGACGCACACACACACACACACACACTCACACACTGAGACAGCAAGAAATGTAGGGACAAGTGTGCAAAGGAGGAGCAGAATAAATATGAAAAAGCAAAAGAGAAAACGCAAAAGTAATACAATAATTTATGCGCAAATTTGAAACGTTTTACTAAAGTAAATAATTGTTAGTGAATATTATACTATAATATTTATACACGCATACATACGTATATCTATGTATATGCATGTATAGCATATAGCCAGACACACTCACACTCACACTCACACACACACATACACATACACATACATACATACATACATATATAACTTATATACTTTATATAATGTATAGTTCAAGCCAGAGAGTAAGCAGCATAAATACAATTTGCTAACATTTTTAGCGTTAAAACAAGAGAAAGCCTAGCACAAAAACCAAAACCAAAACAAAAACTCAGTAACTAAAAGAAAAACAAAACAAAAAAGAACATTTTTTATATGACAAAAACTTTGAGAAAACAAAAAAATAAGCATTAGCAAAGCGTTTTTCTAGCAATGTAAGTAAAAACTTTTTGTTAAACCTTCATAAAAAGAAGAGGCAGACGAGAAAACTAAAATGAAAAGAAAGGAAAAAGAAAAAGAATAAGAAAGCACGCAGTAAATCCATTTCAAACAATGGTTGCCTAGCAGTAAGGACACTGGCACACGCTGTGCATAATAGTGTAGCACAGCACTGTATACAGTGACATGCCATGCAGTAGAGAGCACACAAACACACACACACATAGAGAGACACGCGCATTGAGTACAGTGGCTTGCCGTGCAATGTATACAGTGGCGACTAGCATGGGTAAATGATGGAGATTCCTTCAGAGCCGTGTCCATGTGGTCCGTACGTACGAAGGAATGACCTTTAAAACTAACTACTCAAACTTCATACCTCTTGCGCCAAACAATCTCCCACACCCAACCTCACCCCCACCCAACCTCACCCCCACCCCCGTATCACATCCCGATTGTCTTTTGCGTTTTATCAGTTCGAACAAGTTTTGTTTTTTCTATTTGTTTTGCGAATTACGATTTTGTCTGTATCGGAGTTTATGTTTCAATTGAATTTGATATCTAATTCGAATTGCGTTTTGTTTGATTTCTTTGTTTATTTCAATTTACAACAACAACAACAACAGTGCGCTCATAGCTAATTAGAGCCATGCATATTTATTTAATGTATATTTAACAAGAACAAAAAAGGAAAAGAAAAAGTATAAAATGTTTCTAATTTTCACACGAAAAGCAAACTTATCTGAATGTCAATGATTTCTTTCTTTATAGTAGCTACAATATACCTAGGTCTAGTTACAATTAATTTATAACAATTATTTTAAGTTCAAACACACACAAAAACACACATAGGCACACACACAATGAAATACCTTAAGAAGAAGAAATCCTTAGCAAACGAAAATATTTAAAGCGAACTGGGGAAGGCAGCTTATGTATAAAAGAAAAATATTATTAATCAATTATTTTATTTTATTTAAATTTTTTTTTATATATATACACATACATACACCTATATATATATATATATATATATAGATATATTATTATTATAGGGCAACAGAAGAAAAGCAATTTTTTTTTGTTTGAACAAAATTTGCAACAAGAAATCTAGTCAGCAAACTAAGGTAGACGCAGAGGCAGACGAAACAAAAATATTTTCAATATATATATATATGGATACACCAATATATATATATATATACGTATGTATTTCAAATATAAGTAGTAGAAGAAGAAGCGGAAGAAGTACATTTAGCAGGCAGTAAAAATTGACGAAACACCAATACTATAAAATACTAAATATTTAACAACATATGAAATTCTAGCTAAAATTTAAGCATAGCAAAATTGCCGAAAAAAACCAAAAAAAAAAAACAAAATAAAAAAATTGTCAAAAAAAGGAAGAAAAAAATTCAAACTGAAAGTGAAATTCAAATTTCTGGAAAATGTTCAATACTTTTTTTTACATACCTATGAACACTGAACGAAATTATAGTTTTTTTCTATTTTCATATATTATAGATTTTGGGTTTTTTTTTTTGTAATATCGAAATGTCCAAAGATTTATTTCTCTTTATGTTTATTATGTAAACAAAAACTGAACCGGCGCCCGCCACCCCAGTCCCCCACGACACAACTGTACCCAATGCAATGCTTTGACGACGCTAAAGAGAGCGAAGTTGGCAAAAGATCCAAGCGAAGAGAGAGAGCGAGAGAGCTGCTGTTACTTGGGCTTTTGCTCTTTGCCTTTTGCATGCAACTGTAATTACACAGACACACGTGCATATGTATGTGTATATATAAATGTGTGTGCACAGTTAAAGGAAAGCGATTCACACACACACAGACAAACATTAATTATTAAGTGAAATGATGTACTTGATTTTGTTTAACTTATTTGTCAAAAGCTTAAAAACTTTATTTATATATATTTCTGTTTAAATTAATTTAATATAATTTAATTTTTCCTTTCTTCTCTCTTTTTTCTCATTGTAATATTATGTAATTCTAATATTGTGCAATAGTTTTAAAAATGCAGCCGCAGCTGCAACAACAACAACAAAACATGCATCTCAGCTAAATTACAATTATAATTTCCTTAAGTGAAAAACTATGAAATACGAAGAGAAAAACTTAAAAAAAAGAAAAAGAAGTGAAAGCGAGCAAGAATTATTTATGTTTATGTAACTTAAATATATATATATATATATATATATATATATATATATATATATATATATATATTAATATTATTCAACAATATAACAATTATTTTTTCGTGTAATTTTTCGTATTTAAGTAAATTTCATATATCTATTTATATATAACTTTTATCTATATATATATATATATATATATATATATATAATTTTTTTCTTAAACTTAAGTGAAACCAACAAGAAAACCGAAGAAAAAACATGAATATTATTTATTGTATTTTATAATTCATTTAAATTCTAAAGCAAAACAAAAAAAATTCTTTTCAATTCGCACGAAAAAGCATACAAAAGAGAAACAAAGTAACACAAAGCAGAGAGCGCGTTGAACCTCTCTCTATTTCTCTCTCTCTCTCTATCTTTATTTCTTTTTCTCACTCTCACACACTTAGATGAATATATATATATATATATATATATATATATATATATATATTGAAAGAAATTGAATTGAATTGAATTTCGATGTAATAATTTTCATATTTTATTTTGTATTTCTTTATTTTGATTTAAATTTATATATTTTTTTCAACACACACACACTATATATATGTATGCGTATCTAATATACATATTGTGTTTTTTTTTTTAAATATTATTTTTCCTTTGTGGCCCTTGCGAGAATTTCCATTTGATTTGTTTATGTTTATTACTCATTAAATTTATGTTTAATTTTATGATTTTATTTTTAGTTTTTTCTTTAGCACAAAGCAAAGCAAACAACAACAACGCAAAATAATAATAATTATTTTTCAATAAAAAAACATTTTTTTTTGGTTTTTGATTTCTTTTTATAAACTTATTTAGTTTTTGTTTGTTTTTAGTGTTTTTTTTATTTTAGTTTTAACTTGTTTAATGTTTTTCTCTCTTTTTCTGTCTCTGTTTCCCTCGCTCGCTCGCTCTCTCTGCTGCTCATATTTATATATATCATAACATATATATATATATATATATATATATATATATATATATATATATATGTATATTGTATTTCTATAGACTGCATTCCAGTCCACATAAAGCCTAGTCAAGACAAGAATTTATTGATCTCAAATGCTTGGAACATTCCCGCACACAACTTTCCTGCCGCTGCCAATTGCATTCGCCGCCCTTTTCCATAGCATAAAGGGGGGCGTGTCTAGTCAAAAAGCGAGCAGACTTTCTTAAAGTATTTTCAAGTGCGTCCAACTCCCGCTCAAATTGGGCAACTAATACTCGATCTCTCTCACCTCCCTCTCTTTCTCTCTCTCTCTCTCTCTGTCATTCTACGAATAGGAGTTGCAATTGTTTTTACCAAATGCGATATTACAAACTTTTGTTTTGTGTGCAAACGAGAATAATTTGATTTTAATTGAATTGATTATAAATTATGATTAGTTAGAATTAGTCTTACGCTTAATTATCATATAATCTATAGTAATATGCGCTTATTATTTACATATATATATATGAATACACATACACACAGATATATATACATATATATATATATATTTATAATTTATTTATTTATACAAACATATATATGTATATATATATATATATATATATATATGTGTAAGGAAATACCAAAACCAAACTAGAATCGCATAACATACAAATACGCCAGATATATATATATATATGTATATATATATACATTTATATATATATATATATATATAAATATGTATATACATATATACATATATATATATATTATGTATATTATACATACAAAATGATTATGATTACAATGACGATGATGATGAACTATTTAGTTTTTTATTAACGTATTTATATCAATTACTAAATAATATTTATCCAAACATTTCAAATGATATTTCAAACTAAACAAATGGAAAAAACAAACAAAAATAATAATTAATATTATAAATGTATTTGCAAAATATATAATTATGAGTTTTTCTTGCTTTGCATATCAAATACACAAAACTTGCTTCAGTTGAGTTCAGTTTCCGTTTCCGTTTCAGTTTCACTTGGTTTTTATTTCAGTTCGCGCAGTGTACTTTTGGTAGCTGTCTGTCAGCTGCTAACCCCCTCTCTCTCTCTCTCTCTCTCTCACTCTCGCTCTTTCTTTCTGACTTTACATGTCTTTCTTCTACTTCGCTCAGTTTTACTTTGCTTAGTTTTTGGGTTTGTTTTTCTAGCAGTGTACTTTGTGTTAATACTCACGCACACACACAACACACACACACACACTCCACTCTCTCACACACACACGTTTTCTCCAAATTGTTTCAGTTGTTGTGCTACAAACTCCAAGCAAAAATAACAAAAAAAAATATATATATACCACAAAGTGTTCCGTGTTATGTAAGAAGCGTGCCTGTTTCATATGATTTCCTTATGTTTTAGTGCATAAGTAAGTCAAAGGCAAGCGCAGTTTGTCGCAGTGGACCCCTCCTTCGATGCCCCAAAATCATTAAAAAATAGTTTAAAAAAAGTTAAATTTTTTGTTGTTGGTTTTTTACTTTGCCTTCTGTTTCCTTTTGCTTGGTTGGTATCACGCCCATTTTTTCAGTTTGTTGTTGTTGTTGTAGATGCATTTTATGTGCTTTTCTGTTGCCCGGTAAGTAAAACGAGAATTAAGTTGATGCAGCAGCCGCAGCAGCAAACTGAGAGAAACACTGAAAACACGGCTAAAACTTACTTATTTATAAAACCCGAAACCGAAAACAAAAATATATAAAAACCAAAAAAAAAAAAAAAAAACAATTACATTATCCAGGCTAAATATAATATAATTTGATTTGCTTTCCTCTGTACAGCGTTGAATATTTGAATATTTGAATATTTGATTTTCCTCAATAATAAACATCGCCCATGATGAGTTTTGACTTCAACAATGGTTTTTTTGTACTCTCTATTTTTTTCTATTGTAGCTAACCACGAAAAGAACTAAAAACCTAAAAACTAAATACAAAAAAAAAAAAAAAAAAAAAAAAACAAACAAAAAAAATTCAAATGAAAATAATATTTTAACCGAGCCGAATGCATATTTCTAATTTGTTTCTTTCTCTTGATTTATTTTCAGGCGTGTGTTGTTGTTCGATTTTTCAATTGAATTTGACATTTAACATTTACATTAATTACACATTTAACTTTCAATGAGTTAATTAATTGCAAAAAAAACAGACAAAAACAAAAAAAAAACAGAAAACGAAAAAAAAAAACACAATAATTACTGATTGTATATGATTATATGATTCATTCGATATTGATTGTAATTACATACTTATTTACTCATCAAAACATATACATTATATATATATATATACATGTGTGTGTGTGTGTTTTTATATTGTATGTATGCAAGCGTACAACCTGTGTGCATACATAGAAGAACACACACATACATACATCTATGTATAACACACACATACACATGCACAGTACACATACACACGGATCGCAAATGCATACATATGTATACGACACATACATAAAACACACACAGTCATCTATCCATGCATACATAAATACATGCACACATACATACATTCTATACATATGCATATGCATCCCTATATTCACCATCAGCCACACATACGCTCTCAGCTATATACATATGTATGCATTACACACACACACACACACACACACACATACATATATCTGTACACACGCACACCCACCCACACACACTCCCACACTTATCTATTGTAATTTCCTTCATTTCATTACAGTTAAACGCAGCAAATAAATCTTATAAGTTTCGAGGGCAATTCCCCTCTCAAAAAAAAGAAGAGAACAAAAATAAACCTCACCATCTTAAGAACTTTAAGAAGTAAACAAAAACGAAACATATCCTATATTACAAAGTAGAAATATTATTTATGTTAAATTATTGTTGCTAGAAAAAGAGAAAATCTTCTTGTTTTAAACAATCCACAAAAGTCGAGGCACTTAATATCATTTGCATATTCAGGATATTTTAGATTTATTTCAAAATTTTAATTTTTTTTCATTTAGAAGAAATCTTAAGAAAAACAAAAACAAAAACAAAACAAAACAAAAAAGTAAACATCATAAACAAAGTGTAGGATGTCTCGCTGAGCACCACCAAAACCACCAAAACCACTGAACCACCGAACCACCGATATTTATTTGCGTAAATCCTCTTAACAAAAATAATAATATAATTTAGCTTTACTTAAGTTTAACATTCCAGTATGATCTCGATCTCTATTGTTGTATTCTGTGTATTCAGTATTGTATAAAAGGCCAAACACACCACTTGATTTTTTTCAGTGTAAAGCTCTCTATTTGTTTCTCTTCCACACACCATACACCTGCTATCACCCACCCCACCCCGCCCCCTTTCTCTGTCTAACGGTAAATCTTTATGTTTTTGATATTTTCATCGGTTATCGATTTCGATTATCGATTATTGATTATTGTGATCTAATAATTTTAAGTTTCAAGCGAATCATACGACTTATCTATTATCTATTATCTCTATATATGTATGTGAAAAGAAGAGAGACTAATGAGACGACGAACGTGGTTAGAGCACAACCTTAACTTTAACTTTAAGCTAGAGATTTTTGAATTAACGGTTTTCGGTTTGGATTTGATTTGATTTGTTTCTGTTGAACCAGCACCGATCCGAACCGCGTGATCCATGGACTCGAATCCTTTAGTTTTTCTAGTTTTTTGTTCAACTTTTGCGTTTTCTATTGTGGTTCTTAGATCGGGCCTAGGTCACCCATCCAATGCGCTCTCCCAGCAATTCTGCACCAAAATAGATCAAGATTTACGCTTTTCCGTTAACATTCAAAACACTTTTCGTTTAAGGCCAGGTTTGTGGGTACGATGAGCTGTGATTTGAGTTGATTTGTAGATTGATTTGCCATATATATAGAAATATATATATATATATATATATATATATATATATATATATATATATATATATATATATATTGGCGTTCTGAATTACTTTACGTATTCCATTTTGATTGACGTAAATTTGTTTATGTTTTCATTTGTTTTTTTTTTTTTTAAATTAACGTTAAGTTCTAACACACACGTCATATAAATCTATATAAATACATATATATTTATATATGTAATTACTGATTATATTATTTTTAATTATTTATTTTTAACTCTTGGTTAAACAAATTCGTTATCACTTGGAAATTACGTTTATTCTCAGATTTTTTCTTTTTTTTTTTTGTAAATATCTAAGATATTTCTATGGCTAGGTTCCTAAGTCAATGAAACAAAAACTGCCAAACGTTTTTTTTATAAGAAATGTTTTAAGACAAAACCATGAGAAAGAGAAACACAAAAAGAAAAGACTAGAAAACTAAAGTATATAAAAACAAAGACTGAGACCCAAACGCAGCTCAACGCAAATGCGAATGCAATAAAAAAGAAAAAAATGAATATAGAAATTAGAAAATACATTTACGATAGAAAATTAAAAACGTAAACAACAAACAAATCAAAATCGCAAAATCGAAAAATCGAAAACAAAAATCAAAAACCTAGTACGTTAAGAACAAAACTGTGATACGAAAGCTGGCTTCCAGTTGCAATTAAAGATAGAATAAAAACTAACATTTAAGCTATCGAGACGAAGTAGATGATGATGATGAAGAAGAAGTAGCAAAGCAGACATACATACATACATATGTGTTGTGTTTAGTTGTAAGCCATGTGCTATCGATAACCAAAACGATAACAATGACAGCTGATAAGCGTAATAAAGAAAAGTAAACACAGAAAACTATGAACAAGATATGTTAAGAGGATAATGATGATGAAGAAGCGGAAGTGAGCACTCACCAATTGGGCGCTACCTGGTCGAGAGCCGCGTGCTGCCAGGTGGCGCGCAGCTGCTGCAGCAGGAATGAAACGGGCATGCCATGTATATTGCCCGACTGCGAGGTGCTATGCAAATTGATATCCGCATGCGCATCGATCCAGACCAGCGACAGATTCGGTGTGTGCTGCAAATGACCCGCCACGGACCCTGCCGGCCAAAAATGTGTAAATCAATAAACAATTGCATAGTCTGGCAACGCCGGCAGCCGCCAGCTTGCAGCCTGCAGCCTGCAGCCTGCCTGTTGGCTCACCAAAGCCGATGGCATGATCGCCGCCAATTGTCAAAAACTGCGCGTTCTGCTGCAGCATCACTTGCACCTGGCCGATCAAGGCCAAATTGCAGGCCATAAAGTCCGCATAGTTGCGTATGTGGTAGTAATGCTGGCGCTGCTGCTGCAGCAACGTCTCGTCGACGGCGTAATGCAGGTTCCCATAGTCAGTGATGAGCAGGCGCTCTGTAATCGATAAGCGACAACAGTCGATATTCAATAAATGACAGTTGAAAATGAAAATTCATTTGTTTTTCATTTTGTTGGGTTTGGTTATCTTTTTCCTGGGTTTTTTTTAGCTGCTCGCTCTCACCGTCGCTGCTCTGCAGCACCTGGCGCAGGTTGCTCTGGCGCAGCAGATCGGGCGCCAGCTCCACGCCCTGCTTCGACTGTCCCTTGGCAAAGGGCACGCCGATGATGCCCAGACGCGTTTGTTCGCTCGCTGCGCTGAAACAACGTCCCAGGAATCTGGCCGATGCTAGTTGCCGCGTGCACCACATGATCTCGATGTGTTAATAGTGTCCGCTCGGTGACAATTGTCAACTGACAACTAAGCTCACTTTCGCCAGCTGTCAACAAGCAGCAGCAGCAGCAGCTACATAGCTTCGACATGACAGCTGATAAACCTTCCATCTTAATGGCAGTTCCGCGGCGCCGCGCTCTGCCGCCCCAGCGTCACGCATGTAACTGATAGCGCGCGATAACCTTGATCCTGCCCACGTATATATATATATATATATATATATATGTATATATATGTATGTATGTATGTTTATGTACGAAGCTTGTTTCATTGGCAAACTTGATTTTAATGCACAGATAACTTTTACAGGGTATATGCCATACTATATGTAACTGAAGCATAGCATAAAGAAGTATTACTGGACAGGCTCAAATAGATACTGCCTGGGAGGAGCAACCTGGTATCGAAACATTTAGAGAGAGAGAGAGAGAGAGCGAGAGAGAGAGAGAGAGAGAGAGCGAGAGAGAGAGAGAGAGAGAGCTTTACCAAGTATTTATAGGGTATAACAATGTCTGCTGCAAATCGGAATCGAACCTCAACTCATTCATAGCTTAAGCTTAAAATGGAAATTGATAGGCTTATCTCGTTAAACTGATAGATACAGTCGAAAGTTTCGAAATCTTTATTAGATAGAAGAGTCTAAAACTGAAAAATCGGACATCAACTTGAGCTAGCGCATTTAAGCGTCGGCTCCATAAAAAGTGCTTTAATCTGAGCCTAGCATATCGGTCCATTACTTATTTTATTTGTTGTGGGTTTTCGGTTGGGGGCCCTCCAGATTTACGCTTGTTTTGACAGCTGCGTTCAAGGTTAAGCCACAAAAATCATTTTCACGGAAAACAATTTCAATTTCTTTTTTATTTTGTTTATTTTGAAAAAAGTGCAATCTGAACTTATTATATATGTATATATATATGTTTAGATCTGGATATATATATATATATATGCTGGGTATATTTATGCATACACAGTTTCAATGCATGTCAACTGGAAAGTTTTCTTAAAATCGTGCAAAACTATATCTAAATACATCAATTTACTGCTGTACTCTATATAATTAAGTTTAGTACAACTTAGCACATATATCTTTATATATAGCCTGCTACTTATCAGATCTGTTAGTTGTCTTGGTCGTGGAATGTTGTTTAGATAGCACTCGCTATATCTGATATGTGTCTTTAACTTCAGATATATATATATATATATATATGTATATATATATATATATCTTGTGTGTTTCGCTTGGGCTCAGTCTTAAAAGTACAGTTATAGTTAGGTTCTTGGACGTCATATATATAGATATATATATATATATAGTCCATATTTTGGAAAGTGTGTGTTTTGTCTTGAGATATATATTCGTATATATAATTTATGCATATAAAAAAAATAATATTAATATTTTTAGTTAAGCGTACTTTAAGCAGAGCGCTTGGTTTTTGAAAACTTTGGAATCACAGTTATGTTGTGTGCTGTTGTTGCTGTCTCTTTCTACTGCCTGCGTCGATTGTGCTGATGCAACATGACAATTTCATCGCCGCTTTCATCGGCCACATCCAGCTGCAGCTCCCGCTCATCGTCCAGCTCATGCTCGTCGCCATCCTCATCCTCATCGTCCGTGTGCAGTATATGCTCCAGCTGCTCTTCATCGAAGTAGGGTTGTATGGTCATGCCACCTAGACGGGGAAAGCATTGGCATTAGCAGTGGCAATTGCGAGTGATATGAAATTTGGTTGCACTCACGTTTGATGGGCGAACGGAAGAGCTCCGTTTCGCCATCGTCGCCAGCATCGTCGTCCAGCTCGAACTGTTCCTTGCCCTTTTGCGGGAGTAGAGAAAAATTGTAGTATGGCATCTTGCCGCGATGCCTTCTATAGAACCAGAACTGGGCGCATAGCACACATATGACCACGCTCACTATGATGAGCACGCTAGCCACAATGATGAACAGAAACCGGGGCAGGCCAAAGACATGAGCATTGAACTTCAGATGAAAGATCACATTCTCGATGGCCTGGCCCGGCTGCGACACGCGAAGATCGCGCGTGGCCTCGAAGTGACGAGGAGCCTCCACCTTGATCGTTATACCGCCGATCGGCACGGCCGACAAACGATACTCGCCCAGGCTGTTGGTGAAATTGCGCACGTGGCTCCAGCCGGCTGGCTGGATGAGCGAGACTTTGGCATTGCGTATGGGATGATTGTTGTCGTCGAGCACAATGCCCGTTAGACTGGTGGTTGTCTTGCTCGGCGAGCTTAGTTCGGTCACCTCGCCCTTGATCAGGCTGAAGCCATTGAGCTTGATGATACCCAAGTCGCTGAACACGCCCTGCTGCACCTCCGTCTTCACGATCTGTGACTCGTAGTTGGGCGCGCTCACCTCGAGGCCGTAGAGGCCCTTGGGCAGCATCAGCTGGAACCGTGCGGCATTGCGTGTCACGTTGTGGATGGAAGGATGCTCCAATAGCCGGACGAATGCCTCGCGCAGCGGCTGGCCCTTATCATTCTGCACCAGACCCGTGATGCCGGTCTGCACCAGTGCAAGGAAGTTACGAATCTTCTCGATGCTGGTGCGCCACACCGAGGCAATGTGACTGTGCGCGGGCATGCGACAGCAGGACAGACCCAAGGTAAACATCGGTATATTGTACATATTGTAGAGCAGATTGGTCAGCCGTTCGCTGGTCTCGTGATGCAGCTGACGCGTGGCCGAGCTGCTGCACTGAAGTGGCGAATAGTTGAACTCTGTGCGCCGGATGCTGTTCGCGAACTTCTCCAATATGGAGTCGGCATGCGGAAAGATTAGCTCCGAGTTGCCCGCACTGAATGTCAGCATCATGTCGAACCGTTCGCTGCGCAGGAACTGCAGTAGCACGTCCCTAGCCTGCTCCGTTTCCGGGCTGAGTATGCGCTCGGCCAGCTCATCGGCCAGCACAGGATCACACACGGAGTTGCTGCAAAGATTTGCATTAAGGATTTGGCTTCAGCAACAGTTAGCGATTCACTCACTTGGCATTGTACATGGCGAAGATCGGATCGAAATGCTCCATCTGGGGCAAAAAGTAGATGACGCTACGCTGCAGCAGCTGCACCACAGATGCCTCCTGCAGCTTGTGTCCCTCGATCAGATGTCGCACCAGATTCAGCATTATCTCCCGGCCCAGAGGTGCGGCGGTATCAAACAGCGAGCTAATCACCAGCAGCTTGTATTTGTGCTCCTCCGGCTCGCCGATCTGCAGATTCAGAGAGCGAGATAGAGAGAGGGAAAGTGTGAAAAGGGCGCAGTCATTGGAGACGGCTTACTCACATTGGAAGTCAACTTGAGGTAGTTGAAGTGTCGACTGAACTCGTTGTCCGCATAGCCAAAGCTGGCGATCTGCGGGTTCTGGTTCTCGAACTCGGCCAAGCGATTGCGCAGCTCGGCATTTGTGTGGTATCTGGTGTTGACGACGTTCTCGATGATGCGGAAATCGTTGGCGGATGCCCAGTGCTGTGGATCGTCGCGCATGAGGGTGACATCCAAGCGCATGCCAAACGGCTCCGCGTCGGGCACCTCGACCTCGACGCGCAGCGGCGCAAAGCCATCGGAGAGGACGGTCACATTGTGACGGCCAGGCAGTGTGAGCTTCCAGTAGTCGCCGTAGGTGCCGCTGTAGGTGTTGTGGTTGGCGCCGTCCAGGGCGATGGCTGCCCCGACGATGGGGGTGCCAATGCTGCTGCGTACGAAGCCATGGATGCCATGATGCACCTGCTCGATCAGCTGCAGCATGGGCTCGCGATTGTCGCGCCAATACTGGGGCAGCTCCTTGGCCAGCGGATATTTGTCGCAGCCCATCTCGATGGTCAGCTCCATGCAGCCGGCGCGCACATAGTTCCAGTCCTGCATGCCACCCGTCACGCTGTACCATTGGGCGCCATTGGTGATGCCATCGGTGAACAGTTCGTTCTGGAACAGAGCGCACGGCTGGCCCAGGTGCATGGTGGAGTGCGCCTTCGAGTAGACAAGCGCCAGATGCCGGAACAGTTCGTTGTCCTCGGTGGGGTTAAGCTTGCGGCCGCTGATCCTGGCGTCGCGCAGGCGCGCATAGGGATCATAGAAGTCGTTCTCATTGTCATCGAACGGATAGTTGGCCACCAGGGAGCCGCCATGCAGATTCGCGGAGAGAACGAACGGTATCGAAAGCGTCCAGTTCATGACGGCTGCCACCTCCGGCTCTGTGATCTTATTATATTTATCCGTGCCATACTGATCCGGGAAATTGCGATTTAGATCCACATTGTGGGCATTGGGCCGGCCCAGTCCGCCGGTACGATCGCCTTCGTGCGACACCTCATAGCCGTCCGGGTTCATGCTGTAGAGGAAGTGCATCCGTGTGCCATTCACGAGTCGAGTGACGCGCTCATCGTTCTCGTAGCGCTCCAACAGGTACTTGGTGAGCAGCAGCAGCATCTCTTTGCCGACCACCTCGTTGCCGTGCATGTTGGCCACGTACTTGAACTCCGGCACGCCTGGCACATGCTTGCCCGGCGCTGTGGAGATCTCCAGCACCCACAGATCTCTGTTCTCCACGCTCTTGCCAATGCTGTAGAGGCGCGTCAGCGAGGGATAGCTGGCGCTCAGGTTGCGCAGATAGCTGCAATAAGATGGGCATACATATAGTAGACTCCTTCGGCTGGCCAGTGCACTCACCTCTCCATGGCCACGAAATTGTGATGCTTGTACTCTGTGGGCGTGAGGAAGCCATCGTATTCCTGCTTCAGCTGCGCCGCCGGCTCGGCGCGCTCCACAATTTGCCTGCGAAAGTTGCCTGGAGAAACAATGGGAGAGGTCAGAGGATTAAAGCCAACACAGCCCACAGAACTTAACTCTAGTCCACAGCCCAAGCAAAAACTTAACAAATTAAAATGGAATCGAAATTGAAATGAAAATTAAAATTAAATCAAACTGAAACTGAAATAAAGCCAGCAAACATTTCGTTTTCGAGTTTGATTTGCAATTGTTATTTATTTTCATTAAATTGTTTGAGATAATCGAAATCGTACTTAAGTTGAATGTTCACGAACAGCCACAAATACCAAAAACCCTGAGTTCACTTTGATATATATCTGACTATATCTAGCTCTATTTGAACAAACCGAAAGGTAGTGAAACTTTGAAATAATATGCGAACAATTGTTGGCGTACATTGAACTGGTTCCGTTCCGAAAGTACAGTACAGTGGCCGCTATGAACCATGTATGGGACTGGGACTGGGACTGGGTCTGGGACTGGGTCTAGGTCCGGGTCTGGGTCTATATAGTGTATGGGACTTTATTAAAATTGATCTTAGTTACGCAATAAAAGGAATTACTCGCTATTTATATTATTTATATATAAAGTTAATGCAATTCTTTATAATAAATTCTTGATTAAAATTGTTTAAATATAATAAAATATATATATATATATCTCTTTTCTTTTCTGTTAGTGGTAAAATAAAACACGCACTACGCAAAAATCAAAAATTTTATTTTCTCTTCGATTTTTGATTGGTTTTTCTTGATCTATACTTGAGTACTGTTGTTTAGTTAGTTTGTTCGATTTCATGTGCTTTGTTTGCTATATATATATGTATATTTATATAATATATATATGTATGTTAACAATATTTCAGACGTTTTGTTGCTTGAATAATAAAAAAACATTTAACAATCTTGCGTTAACATATGCCTTGTCTATATATATATATACGTGTATATGTCTGTATATATAAGGAGATATTTGAGGTTTATATATGGTTATATATATATCTATCATATATCGTCAGTTTCTATATGTATATATAAGGTTAATTCGGTTACATAATTGGGTTCGTATTCATTTTACTTGCATCTAGAAAGCGGCTAAGGAATATGTATATATATATTTGTATAATATATATTTATATATAGAGAGAGAAGAAGAAGAGATATAAAGTTAGAAGAGCGGGAAGTTGGGTATTTAAAATTGCTCTAGGCCATTGTAAGGCTCGATTGGGCTGGGTTTGATTTTGTAACTTTATCACGCACTGTTTGAGCAGGCGATGCTGATCTGTGTACAATCGTATATATAATTATGTATGTGCCAATCAAATGTGGTGCGTTGTTCAAATTGATATTTACTTAAAGAGAGAGCGGGATAGAGAGAGTGAGTCAGTGAGTGAGAGAGCGTGCCTATGAAATGAGATTATGCGTTTGAAAGAACGGAAAAGCAACAACGAATACTTTATGAGAATGCAGCAAAAATATACAAAAGGAAAATGTTTGTGCGTATATATATGTGTGCGTCTCGTGTGTGTGGGTGTGGGTGTGGGTGAGCATAGCAAGCGTGCACTTGCTTGGCAATTTTACAAATGTTAGTATTAACAATGCTTCTATTAAGTATTAGGCAATAGACCCCGATGCAGATTGGTGCAGTGCGTTTTTGGTGGTATCATTAGGTTGCTGTTGGTTGCTCTTGGTTGTTGTTGTAGGTTGTTGTTTGTTGCGTTGGTTGCCGCCGTTACAGTTGGGCACCCAGTTTAATGCCTAAAAAAGTATGGATTGTAATAACTGCTAATACCATCAAAATTGTTCTCAACGGGCGTCAGCTTGAAGTCCAGTCGCAGCGCCTCAGCGTTCTCGTTCGTGATTTGCACCTGCTGCGGCACACTCGATTGATAGCTGCATAGAGAGGATTGGGGTACACAAGAGAGACACGAGTTAGTGTTTAGCTGAATCGAAAGAGGCATGGTCTGTGTGCACATTTACCCAAATGCTGCCGCATAGATGCTGTAGATGCCAGGCGTTAGCAGGCGCCAGTATTCGCCACGCTTCGAGGTGCGTATGGGCTTGTCCTCCAGCCCGGAGACAATGATGGTGGCGTCCGGTATGGGATAGCCGCTGGTGTCCTGCACCAGGCCCTTGACGCCGATGTGTGCCTGCTTCAGCAGTTGCAGCAGCGCACGCTTGTTGCGCTGCCACTCCTCGGGCAGGCTGCTCGCTGGTGGATATTTGCAACAGGAGAGCTCAATGGTCAGCTCAAAGCAGTTGGTGAAGGCATAGTTAAAGTCCTGCATGCCACCCGACAGCTCGTACCAGTTGGCCCCGTTGGTGATGCCGCCGGCGAAGCTGTCGTTGCAATTGTTGCCACGCTGCATAATCGGATGATTGTCCGAGTAGCTGTGCGCCAGTTGCTTGAACACTCGATCGTCCGGCGTGAGGCTCTCCTCGCAGCAATCGTTGTGAGCGCTAGTTGTGAGTTAGTTGGTTTAAACTGAAAAGCAGATGCGGGGCAACGACAAAACACTTACATTGAGTTATCGTAGGGATAGCTGGCTACGACGGCGCCTCCATGGAAATTGGCGCTGAGCACAAATGGATTTTTCAAAATCCACTCGGCCAAGGCGGCGGTTTCCGGCTGCCGGGACTGGGTGCGCAGCAGATTGATATGATGTTGGTCCAAGCGATCGGGAAAGTCGCGGTTCAAATCGACGCCGGCAGCATTGCCGCGTCCCACATAATTTGGCAGTGATTCGCAGTTGCCCTCCTGCGAGATAGAGGGAGAGAGAAAGTCTTAGTGTGAGCGAGTGAGACAATAATATTCAGCATATTGCTTCATTAATTTGTTGATTATGTGAATTATTATAAGTCTGAACGCTCGCCTCACCGCCTTGCACCTGCCTCTACTATACTAATGGAAGCATGCGCCTAATTTGGAATTCAAGCCGCGCGCGCGCGCCACGCAAAGAGTTGACCAAACTAGTCTTTAATATGACAGTCAGGTGATCGCAAATGATCTTGCAACATATTCCATAATAAATGCTCCATCGGTGACAGTGAGAGCGAACGAGAGGTAGAGAGAGAAATCAGGTTACGATAACGCAAAACAAAAATATAAAGATAACAGCTGTATCCTCCAATCAGAAGCACATTAGCGCAGCTTTTAATTGGAGCTAGTGTCAGTTAATCGCAAAAGCACAGTTAACCTATGAGCAAATGAACGAGCGACCGAGTGTGCGAGCGAGACGGGCAGAGATAATTGGCACAGCCCGATTGCAAATAACAAGTGTACATATAGAATATAAAGCAAGCAAACATATGTATACGTACTTATGCATATATATAGGCTTAAACATTCATATATTATATAAATGTATATACATTTCCATATGTAGGTTAGTCACTCGATCACGCCAAGTACCGTACTCAACTAGCAATTAACTCTGTCCCCACCAAAAAAAAGCAAAGAAAGAAAAAGATGGAAACAAAAAACAAAACACCGCAAAAAATCCCTGCTGTGATGGTCGGGGAATTTCTCGTTTGCATTCACAATGCTACGTAACTGGCAATCTACATAGTCGGAGTAGGGGGAAATTTTTGCAGGTACAGAACAAAATATGAGTGGAAGGGTTATCTAAGGCAAATATTAAATTGAAATGAATATCGATTGCAGAAAAGCAATCAATATACACACATGTGTGGGTGTGGACGTTAGCAGAGATTGCGATGCCAAATGCCATGGCATGACGTCGATACCATTATCAATTACTTTGAGCATAAGGGAATATTTGAGCATGAATATCGATAGAAAAGCTACCGCAATATGTTTATACACATACAAATGCTGTCTTTTTCAATTTGTATTGGTGTACGTGTGTTTACTAGAGCCTAACCGCCCAACGTTTTATTATAAACAAACAACAACAAAGCAACAAGCTTTCGCAATATGTCAACAACCATTGAGTGTGCGAGAGAATTGTGCCCTAACGCAATCGAAACGTAAGTGCGCAACAGCAGCGACGCGTTGCGTGGCGTCGCGTCGCGATGGCAACGCAGGCACCGGGAGGCAAAAAAAAATCTGCAAACGCCGCTAAAGCGAACCATGTATAAAATTTTACAAATATTGATTTTTCCACTATGCGAATGAAATGGCTGCTTTGTGCTTTGAGTTTTTGGCTAGCTTCACCGTTGACACATACCTGGGACAGGGCATAGCCATCGGGATTCATGGTGGGCATCAGATAAATATCTGTCGAGTTTACCAGTTGGCCAATCTCCAGACTACGCTCGTAGTTGCCCAACAGATATTGGGCCAAATAGACAAGCAGCTGTCTGCCCACTGTTTCATCTCCATGCATATTGGCGACATATTTGACGGGCGGCGTCAGCAGTGGACGCGAGCGGGCGCTGCGCGAGATTTGCAGGGCTAATAGATTGCGGCCCTCCAGCGAACGGCCGAGACTGTGGACGCGCGCCTGCTCCGGATAGGCCTTTTCGAGGCGGGCGAACATATCCTCCAGCTGCTCCTGGCTGGTGTACTGCGGCGGCTGTAGGAAGCTCTCGTCCTCTTTGATAATGTAGCCGTGGGCGGCTAACGGTATTAATGCAATCAGCAATATCCACTGCATTTTGGCCAATATGTTGCGCTGTTAACCGTTACTTTAACTGTTGCTGCTGCTGTTGCTGCTGCTGATACTGCTGCTGCTGTTTCAGCTGCCTCTGCTCGCTGCTAGTTATCACTGGCTTGTAAATTGAAGCGGCCCGCTTTAGATACAGCTCGAAGCCCGCGTGCTTCGGCGTTCGTTTGGGTCAAAGTTGTGGCTGTTGTTATTGTGCAGCAGTTCCACTCGGTTCGCCTCAGCTTCAAAAATGTACTGTTTGAAAATTTGCTGCGTTGATTGGCCTTAAGCCCGTGCTGCCTGCCCGCTGTCCCACCGCTGCCGCAGCCGCTGTCGACGTCGCCACTGCTGCCGACACAGTTGAGAGCGACGACGTGCGATAATTGTAGGGAAATTACACGGCAGAGAGCGCGTCGAAGCTTTGCGCTAGTCGGTCACGAGTGTTGTTGCTGTCGCAGCGACTCGACTCGACTCGTACTCGAATTTGTTGTTATTGCCGCATTATTGAGACAACGTTGCGTTTAAACACAAATTAATAGTTTTCAGTTTATATAACATTACATTTGTCTTGTTTCTCTTTTTTCTTATTTTGTACTTCATTTGGTTTCCATATTGATTGTGTGAATTGTTTTTTTGCACAGCTGTTTGGTGTGTGCGGAGTGCGGGCGGCGTTGCCAGATGCAAGTCAGGCGCCTGCGCAAGTTAGTCAAGGAGAGCGGCGGCGGCAACAACAGAGAGAGAGAGCGAGCGATAGAGAGAAAGATTGTGAGAGTGTGTGTGCAGGAGAGAGGTAGCACATTGACGCTAGCAGCGTTGTGAACGTCATGTTCGGCGTCAGCAACACCAACGCCAACGCATGGGGACCGTAATTGAAAGGATATAAATATATCTACTTGCTTAAACACACACAAAAAATCGATAACTTTACCCAGTGACGCCACAGCTTACAAAAACATACATTTTAAGGGTTTTGCGTGGGCGAAAACCGCACGTACGCCGCGAGTTGAGAGTGTGATCGGGTGTTGGGTTCTTATCAGTACGCTGTCACTGCCGCTGCTGACGCCGGTCGACACGTAGCAATTGCTCGGCCAAAACCAAAAATTAATAAGGAGCTTGCAATAAATCAAAGCTCACAATTGTACGACAGGCGAGAGGAAACCAAAAAGCTTGTCTTCAGTCAATAATAAACAAAAGATTTATCTCCTTCGTTATGCCGGAGCAACCATTACTTTTTCACACAAGCTTTTTTTCCTTTCAATTTGTTGACTTTTACAGTTTTGTTTACAAATATCAAAGTTGATTACAGAAGAGTAAGAAGAAAAACTTATGACCTTTATATCCAAGTAGTTATGACTTAGATGACAGCAAAAGAAAAACTTAGTTTACAGTGGAGAATGTCTACAGGTTCTTGTGGCTAAGTGCAAAAAGCCAACTAGAAAATACCCTACTTTTTCGTTTTCTTTTGTTTTTTTTTTATGCAATTGGCTCGTAAAGTAACTTGCTTTTATAACTGTTCTGTCAGAAATGCTTGAAGATCTTTGAGTTTTTTTATGCACGCTCTCGGAAGTGAAAAGAGCATATTTCCTTCAAAGTAACTCTGTGCTGATGTTGCTCAACACCATAAATGTGCTTCGAACATACACTCAGCCGATAAAGTGCCTAGATTATGAACCTGAAGACCAGTGCAGGCTTAGCCATTCGCGAAAAAGCATGTATACTAGGTATACCCCTATTATTCATAGCTTCTAATTAGTTATACATATACGGAGCCTTTTATAATGCTGCTCTGTGCAAATCATTTATTACTTTTTATACTCTGAGCTCAGGGTATACTCGTCTTGTCCAAATGACTGATCCCATACAGTATATATATGCAATTCTGATCCATGTCAAGCCATGTCCGTCTGTCTGTCTCGTAAGCCAGAAAAGCTGCAGACTCCCAATTCTAAAAGTATCCTCCTGTATACCCCACGCAGTTGGCGCTTATCGTTTAGTAAGATAACTCATTTAATTTCCCTACTATCGATAAAAATCGATTATTTTATTTGAAGTTATAAGCGTAGTCTGAATTCAAGCTGAATATTTCAAATTTAGTGTGTAGCTGATAAATATACCGAATTTAGATATTTGCTCTTTAAATTAAATAGTAGAAATAGTCAATTAGTAGAGACTTGCACTTTAGCAAATATACATATCTGGATCTCATTATTAAGCTCTCCAAATTTGATTAAGAAACTCTAACCAAAATAAAAGTTATTCAATATTTCACTTCTCTTAGTAAATCCCATAGGCCTCGCAGACCTCATGCTTTGTGTGTGTGTATGTGTATGTGTATGTGTGTGGGTGTGTGTGTATGCATGTATTTTTTCTGCATTTGTGCGTATGAACAAAGCGTCGAACCATTGAAAGAGCAGCTCTGTGCGAGGGGTCAGGGTATGTGCTAGTCGAGCAGTCCCTTAGTTTTTCACATGAATCAAGTATTAGTTGGCAACTACGCTCTCAAGTAAACCCACTTCATGTAGAGTAGTTGCAACTTTTTGATTCCATTGCGAATTTGTCTACATAGGAAGTTATCCACCTGAATTCGACGTGGATGTAGGGTATTTAGTAGTCTATGTGATGAATTGACTTTTACCACCACGACTGGGTAAATGAACAACAACTTTAGCAACCATGCGAACAACAAACCGGTTAAAGTTTAAGAGTTTGTCGCCGGATTCGGCTAGAGTCGACATCGTCATCTTTGACGTCCCCCTTCTAAACGGGTTTCCTGTCGCTGACGCTGTTCCAGTTGCAGTTGCAGTTGCAGTTGCAACTTGTGACGTCATCTGCTTGGAAATGTTAATCCGTAATGGCTTTATTTATAGATCTGACTGTCATACTGCAGATCAGCACTGACGCAGCCCGAATCAAACTGACTGCATGGTGAAAGTCTCTACCTGCAACAGGTGTCAGATTGTGGCACACGCATAAGGCACACATGACAGATACAATTCCCGTTAAGCTTCATTCAATTACACTGTCGATATTGCGATAATATTTCAAAGTCACCCCCAAAGCGTTAATGGCCCCATTAAGAGCGGCCCGTCGAGCGAGCGATAAGCTACTATACGAAGAGATGCGTATACAGATGTATATAGACTAGAAACTTGTTGAGCCATCGAGGTTGAAATGTGCTTTGGATGCATGGTTCAAATATCCTACATATATATACGTATATATATATTTTTTATGTATATAATCTTTCGGTTATCTATCACAGAGTCCCGCAAATTCCGCTTCACTCACAGACTTATCGCGTGCCGCTGGGCTTATCGCATTATTCGATTAAACTTTTGTAATAATCTAGAGGCGTATTTTCGTATTATTTTCGCCTTACATTTCAATTTTTGCCTCTTTATCGCTACTTTTCTTTTACATATTTCCAACAACTTGAACTTTGTTGTCCAGTGTTTCAAATGCGGAAGGAATAAATGCACATATCTGGTATCAATTTCATTGACATGCGACGGTATATTCATAATTATGTAAATGCAATCTATATTAATCAGATTAGTATCGATTTTCAGAGCACTGCATACCCATTGAATTGTCGCTATTATCTGGATAGGCAATGAAAATGTTTGTAAATATATTACTAACTTTTTTGCAATAGCGATAACATCTGTAGCAAATATATAATTTGGCAGGTCAATATAAAATCGATAAGTATCGATATTTCATTCCGGGCTTTCAAAAACTTTTATTCGAACTGTTTATTATGCAGCACAGCAGGCGTTGAGCTTAGGTTCATACTATTATCATATTATCGATAACAATTTTTATAAAAATAAAATCGATCAGTATCGTTCGATTGTTAGACATATATAAATTTCATTCTAATATTCATTGTGGCGAGCCACAGCTAAAAATGTCAAGGCACCTTAATAGTTATCGATGTTATCGATAAGTTACCACAATGCGATTAAATTGCATTCGAATATTCATTGTGGCACACACAGCTCAAAAGATCAAGGTTCACATAGCTTAGCTCTAATAGTTACCGATATATTATCGCTCAACTCTTCATTTGAACTATCCAACAGAGTGAATAAAAGTGGATTACCTGTGTTGTAGACCCAAAAACTTAGCTCAGATGCTAATTAACGAATCATGCTGAATCCAGCTCGCACACAAGTTCAAACCAACAAACCGAAACTAGGCCAAATACTGCTCCACTCCGATCCAATTTGAAGTGTTTCAGTGTTGATTGAGTTGTGAAAGGGAGCATAGCTTTCCCATTAGGAGAGCGGGCGATCAGTGCCCGAAAGGAATGCAGACACAATATGCATTGAGGCCAACGAAAGCTGGAGCAACTCTATTCAGCACTGGTTTTTGTTCGCAGCACAACAAATTCTAATCGTCCGTCAGAGCGTCACAGCAGGCGATGTAAGCTACATACAATCACAAATACATGCATGCATACATACATACATACATACATACATACATACATACATACATACATACATACATACACAACTTTTCTTTCTTTTGATGCGCTTGTCTTCTGTTAAGCGTCTGTTTCTCGAACCATAATCTACTGTATATGATATGATTCATATAGATTACTTTTTATATTCCATTTATTTTGTATCAAACAAGTAAAGGTGCTCTAGTCGGAAGTGCCCGACTAGCAGTTACCCTGAATCGCGCGCAGAGCTGCTCTATTAATCGTTCTACGCTTCATTCATACGCACAAATTCAGAATCAATACATGCATACACACACACACACACACGCAATCTCTGTTTGCTGCGAGACTTATGAGGCTAATGAAAATTAGTAATTGAATAACTTTTGTTCTAGTTAGACTTTCTTAATCAAATTGAGAGCTTAATAATAACATCCAGATATATCTATTTGCTAAAGTACAAGTCTCTACTATTTGAAATTATTTCTTTCAACGTGTAGGAAAGAGCAAAAATCTAAATTCGGTGTATTTATCAGCTACACATTAAATTTGAAATATCCAGCTTACATAGCATGCAAGCTACGCTTAAAAACCCAAATCAAAAAATCGATTCTTATCGATAGTGAGGAAATTAATTAAATTAATAATAAACGAGAAGAAACATTTATTACTGCAAGTCTCAAGCTTTACGAAACGGACAGAGGACGGGGGTTTTGCCACGCCTCCCTGCAGGTTCATTTCTTCATTTCCCCCGGCACCATACCCACACCTTCACCATCAGAAAGTTAAGGTAAGAACATAGATTTATTCATTTCTGTTATGCATTTCTGACAAAAATATCTCGCATATGTTTCAGAGCACCACGCTATATGGAAATTTCGACCTATGCCATATTAGTCATTGTTCGTGTTAATAATAACATCTGACTCACCTTTGCGGCAGCGAAGCCATCCGGATTACAGCTGGGCAGAAAATGTATTTCGGTTGTGTTGAGGAGACGCTGCACTTGGCTGTCCAGCTGATAGCTGCTGGCTAGATATTCGGCCATGTAGAGCACTATTTGGCGGCCCAGTGCCTCGTCGCCCTGGATGTTGGCCACCAGCTTGACCATGGGACGAAGCAGATCGTCGCCATTGCCATTCGGTGCGGGCGCATTCAGGGCCAGGGCATGCAGCTCACGGCCCTGTGTGGTGCGACCTATCGTGTAGGCCTGGGCCAGCGCTGGATAGTCGCGGCTGAGGCGGGCAAAGAGTTCGGCGATCTGCTCGTTGTTCAGATAATGCGCATTATCGAGAAAGCTGTCGGTTTCCTCAATCACTTCGACATGCGCGATGGTTGGGTTAACGGGACTGGCAGCGGCAAGACACGTAAATGCGAGCACGACTACGTAAGCGCAGGCGTACATTTTGCGACGCGACACGTAAGCAACGTAAATAAGAGCACTAACAATACAAAAAAAAAACGTAGGCGCAGGCGCGCGCGCCTCTTACTGTTTGCAATTATATGCAGGCCGTGAGTGGGATCGAGATTGCACTCACTTGTTGCACTACGCGATAATTTTCTATTTTTCTTTTATTAAACATGCACAACTGATTGTAATTAAGCCACGACAGACGGCACTTGCTGCGTAATTTTGCACTGCTTTAACTTGTGCTGGTTTGCTTGCTTTCTTTCTTTTCACTGGCAACTGGAATCGGACTTGATGACGTGCACTCAAGAGCCGCTCTTGACTTACCTGTAGAACGCAGCGCACATTGTTTATTTAATTATACATTACGCTTACCCTGAGCTGTCGTCAATAACTTTTAGCACAATATTTTGTTTATTAGTGACTTAATTAAAAAACACAAGCAAATATATATATACAACTACAATTATCAACTCGTTTATTTGGTAAAAGTAAGAGCCGACAACGATTCAGAGCTTCAATTGTATAGTTTAGTTCCGGTCGATAAACAAAAAGTCCAAATGAGACAGGCTTTGGAATAAATCTATTTATTTTTGTCGGAATATTCGAATTGCATTGTCAAAAGCAAGTTTTATAGTTTATTTATTTAAATATTTTATAAATATTGGCTAACACTCCCAAATGAGTAATTTCTTAGAAATGAGCATCTTATAGAGCTGTAGACGATACAACAGGAGAAACATCGATAGCATGGACTTTTTCTTAAACATCGATAGGCCGACATTTACTTGATTCAAATAATAATTAAGTTCAATCAAATGCGACATGAACTCAAGTAAGCACATGAGGACAGAAATACTGTAAAAGTTGCCGCAATCATGCAACTAAGCTAAAGTTTTTCCGGTAATTATTTTACTTCGTTGCCATAAGAAGCCTTAAGATCTTGAAATTCTTTTAGCTAAGTGGTATTCCATGACAAATGGTACCAAATGAGTAATTTCTTAGTAATAAACGGCAAGTATTGTGAGTAGTTGAGATGAGCTCATCACCATTCTGACTATCGATATCGCATCATCATATATATAGTATAGCAAAATCATGCTAGTTTGACTGAAATGCTTGCGGATTGAAGCAAATTTCTGAAGCTTGTAAACTTTAAGTTTTTTTTTCTTTTTCAACATTCTATGTATCATGCGGCCTTTCTTTCTATGTCTAAAATATTACCAATACCGCCACGATCATGAAATTCAAATACATAGATATATAATAATCCGAATTGAACCATTGGTAAAAGATTGGAGGCAGAGATGTCGATAATAACTTGGAAGCTTACTTCTGACTCTTAGTTTTAGACATGTAATTATTATATTAGGATACAAATAATATAATTTATAACATAAACGTATTAGAAAAAATAAACACATATGTTATCAAATAGTATGAGTCAAACTATACTTAACGGTAAAGCCACAATTGTCTTCTATGTTTCAGCTGCAAGCGCTTGAATTAAATTTACGTTAGTGGTTTTCTTAAAATCAATTTATCATGTTATAAGAATCATCTCTAATTTGAATCAATGCATTACTCATTTTGGCACTGTGAACTAAAAATATTTTATAAATTATATGCAATAAAAACTATTCCCGCCAACATAAATAAATCCGCGGGCAAAACTTTAAAATGTTTGCTGAAGCCTTGCTTTATTTCGAGTAAGCTAAGCAATTATTGTCTTTCAAATATTTGAATTAATGTTTAACTTATGATAGTCATCTCAGATACTTATCGATATTCTTCTCATGTTAGAAATAAGGCAACACAATTTATTTTAAAACTACATACATTTAACTGAATCTTCTTTATCTGTGGCAACTGAGCTAAACAATTAATTTAATCAATGCAACATAAACTTGATGCAATATGTTTGTCAATATTTGCTCACACTTAAAGAAATATTTTGCACTTGCAGTTAAAGAATTTCTGCATCCAATGTGTTTTTTTTATTTTAACGGTACATTTATTTACTTTACGACGTGATGATAATAAACCTAATAAATTAAAAATCTGGGACGACGTTTTAGGCTTGTCCTTGTCCTTGCACTCGCGGCGTTGAGCCTATGTGTGGCACGTGTCAGGATGTTGGTTCATTGTCCTTTTTTTCAACCAACTTAGGGACTGTGGACAATTTCGAATTCGCTGGCTTCGTCTTATCAGCGTTGTCACACTGCAGCTCCAATAATTTGACATGCGCAATTGTTTGGCCGAAGAGCTTGTGTCTAAGACTTGGCCTTTTGGCCTCTATTCGGTGCACCTTGACGTCGGCCGACAGGCCCAGTTCCGTGAGGTTCACTTCGCACTCCCGTTGACGCTGTCTATGTCGCCGCTGCCTATTTCGATGCTTGGCTCCCGTTGCTAGCTCGTTGGTATACTGCAGACTGCTAGAGGCGCTACTGCTGCCACCGCTCTGATTGCCGGCCTTGGCATGCTTCATCCGGGAATGCTTCTCCTCCAGCTCGCTTTTGTTTTTCAGAGCCACCTCCTCAATATGCCGCTCCTACAAAGCGGAGGAAGGGCCATTTAAGAACAAGAGCTTAGAATGTACAAGTTGTGGCACCTACAAACATGGCGCGCTTGTGCTTATCGCGCTTAGCCAGGACAACCACCCAAGCGCCATAGGACAGCATAATGCCCGCCGGTACCAGCATCCCAGCCAATGCCGCTGTCTTGCGTATCCAGGCATGGTACACAGCCATAAAGATCACTGCAAGGGACAAGTGGTACAATTAAGTGCTTAAACTGTTTCAATTGTATAAGGAACGTGGCTCTCAGTCCTATGCCGTGTCATAGAGGACAGAGCCTCCGATATAGTTGCACTTATTGCTCAGACTTAGGAGTCGTTCGTCGTTATGGCCAATAGTTCACTTAGCAGTAATACTAATGTATGAGTATATTGATTTCATTGCAAATGTCGTGCTGTCCGTCCGTATGACTTCCCGTCTGTAGAATAAAATGGACGTAGTCGTGCGTAAGCTCGTCGTCTTAAGGATATGCCATATTAGAATTCCTATAGCTTCTACTATAACTTTACTCAACTACAGACCTGAAGCTGCAAATATAAGTCCTGCTTGAAAAAGAACTAGAAAGAAGTTTTTGGTTGGGAGTGCGTGACTAGCAAATACCCTGAATTCAGCTTGGGGCTCATTCTACGCGTCTTTTATGCATGCAAACAACGCTCTCACGCACACATAAGCACTCTCTGCTTAGGGTTTACTATGGAAAACTACCACGCTTCCTTCTGACTATTACTTAATCTAGATACAAGTGCAGGCAAGTATATAATGAATCTGAGACAAGGTATTACTTTATTGGTTTCTTCTTACCTAGAAAGGCAACAATCACGGCCACAAGACGTCCATTGGCTTTACGTTCTTCCTGCAGGGGAAAAATATAATTTAATAATATGTGAATAAATGTAGGTTTCTTTAAAGGAGATTTAAAACGTCGTCAAGCTATATGAATGTCATTTCGCCAGAGCCTGAATACTCTAAGAGCTGTAGGTCCCAAATTAACTGCGATCCATAATTAAGTTCTCATCATAGAGTGTGTGTGCGTGTGTGTGTGTGTGTTTGTGTGTGTGTTTGTGTGTGTATTAAAGAAGCGTAGAATGATTACAAAAGCTGCTCTGAGTAATTGGTAGTCGGGCACTCCCACCCAGATCACCCTTTCTAAGTAAAAATGTGTTTTGCTGTATTTGATGGCAACTCGTTTTGAAGCTGTAATAAAAGAGTTTCATATGCAAAGTTGTAAAAGTCAGCGCTGCGAATGGATCGAAATACACACACACACACACACATAACAATGTTAACAATGTTTATAATCTTACGATCGCACAAGACCTCACCATCTGCAAATGTGTGTATATGCATACAGATATGCACATCGATCGACATATATATTATACATATATATATATATTTATATATATATGTGTATGTATGTATATTTGTATGTGAATGAAAAATTTGATGGCGCCGTTCATATGGTTTTTGCACCAGGCATCAGGCACACACACACACACACACACTGGCACGTACATATGGCTGCCCCTTAAACTTTCGATGAATCAGTTGCAATTTCTGGTTGGTATTAGTGATAACGGGACTTACGCGCGATTTGATATCTAGTATTTCCTTGAGATTCTGTTGTATAATTTCCTCGTCCGACATGGACGCCAGACTTGTCCTGCTCTTGCCACGCTCCAGCGAGTCCGTGACGCTTGGTATGTGCACGGCCAGCGCAGCGGCTGCTGCTGCGGAGCGCACTGAATGCGCTGGATGATGGACGGTGGCCATTGAGTTCGTCGATTCACTGTGTATTATCTTTGGGACAGGATATAGGGGCAGATGGATGCCAGCTAACTGGACTAAAGAACGCGCGTCAAAACCAGAACCAGAACCAGAACCAGAAGAATTACATACGGCCCGGAGCGTTGAACAATCGACAATGCCTACCGAACCGATCGGATGCAAATCAAAGCGATCCAGACATCGTTTAATGTTATTGTTGCCTTTAGTTTCATCTCTCCATCTTTCCATCCGCACGAACATTTTTGTGGCCGAGCATTTGTTTTTAAGTATGTATCCAATCCAGCAACGGCACACACAATATTTACCGTTTGTTTATTTACATTACAGTAAATGATTCTGAATATGTGCGAATACATGCATACATACCTACATACATCAAAACTGGTGAGCACATGGCAAGTGTACATGTCCATACATACATACGTACTTACATATATATATATATATATATATATATATATATATATATATATATATCCGTATCTGTATCTATAGGCATGTGCACGAGCACTCAGAGAACCGAAGTTTTAATACACTTTCGCCCATTTGCGGCTTATAGTTTATGGGTCTTAGCTCGTGCGAGGCATTCGGCATAGATTCCTAGGCGCTTACGTTGATAAAAATCTAAAACATAATGCTGGCTATATGGCTGAAGTATAGGGCAAGTCGTTTAGCTATTGCATTTCAAAATAAACACACATACGTGAGGTATGCGATAAAGCGAAGCGAATAGTGGCTGTAGTCGAGTGTATGAACGACTATGGGATACCCCGCAGCTATGTTCTATATCGTGAAACCAGTGTAGTGGGCGAGTATAAAGTATATATGCAAGATCGGAACGACGAGCTGAGTTGATCGTTCCTGCAATTCTGAATGTATATTCCCTTTAACTATGAGCAGTGAGTGCTTATAATTTTATTTTTCAGTATCTCATCTCATCATCTGCTTATCGATAATAATCGAACCATCATTTCAATCTTACAAATGGTATATTTTTCAAATTTTACCCTATAAGTTTCTGGGCTAAACAGATTTGAAATATTTCAGATCTTGTATACTTTTCGCTTCTCCAGAATGTGCATGTCGAGTAAAAGCTATTCAATAATTAGGTCCCTATAATAAAGCCCAGTCCAAACGTCGACGCTGCGCGAACTGCGCAGTAAGCAGAGCGTGTGCGTGTGTTTGGAAGTAGGAAGCGTAGTAGCTGAGCGCAAGCATCTGGGTATCTGTTCGTCAGGCACTCCCGACCATAGCACCTTTACTTGTTGAATACGTAAAGCTGCTGTAGTCGGAAGTGGCCTGACAGGAGATGCCCAGAATCCCGTGCCAAAGAGCTCTTGCACACGTTGAGTCCAAACATACCTATTCGTTTACACACAAACAAATGCACACACGCTAAATTTATAAAATAAATGCTGCTTTCATGTTCGAGTCTTTTACTTTTCATGTAGATGATATATATTTGTTTATTTTTATGTACCTGAGTCCCAGACAATATTATTTTAAATGCGTTTCTGTTGAATTTGGTGTGCAATGTACTTGAAATATTCAAGTTCTGAAAATTGCATGTCTGTAGGTCCTATAGTCACCTCGACATGTCTCAAAAGCTCAATTTTAAATGTTGATTTTAATATAACTCAAGAAAATCAACTTGATATAGATCCTTGACATTTTTTTATGTATATGTATGTGGTTGGTATTTATTTCTGAAATTTTTGGCCGAAAACAAGTTTAATGGCCAATCTATTTAAATTATTGTAATACAAATATGAGGATGTGAATTAAATTTCCGTTGAATTTATCAATTTATCTATCGATCTATCAAGCTATGCTATATGTATATTTTTCATATCGATATTCTACTCGTTTTGGCACTGTTAGTATACAATGTCTTGGTTATTAATTGTTTCATTTGGTCCGCTAAGTTAAAAATGCGACTAAAAGTGGGAATTGAAATATAAAAGAGACTAATCAAAAATATTTTTACTGACGGTTGTTCTCTTATTCTGTCGAGTTAAAAGAATCATCTTCGATTCCCGTTAATGTTGTACATTCATTAAAATGTCTTATTTTTTAATGTGGTATTGTAGGCAGTAAAATGAATTCTCGCCAACGAACACGAGTTTGACATAAAAAACTTCATCGATTTAAATTTAGCCTTAACTCGCATTTATTTATAATCAGTTTACCTACGTGAGCTTCACTGAGCAACTACAAAATAATATTTTTTAGTAGGCAACAGCAACCCTGTTGCCAAAATGAATAATCGAGACAATATACAAACTATTCGATCAGAAAAAGTATCGCAATTCGCAGCAAGCGCGCCCATTTTGTTAGCGTCTGGAGTCGGTTTTACACACTTTCAAACAAGCGTCGATTTAAACAGGATTGAAATCAAAACACGTGTGAGTTGTAAAAACAGTGTGATTTATATTAATAACGATTGTAATAATCATAACAATTACTCATTAAATGTGCCAAGATATGTAATATAGTTTTCAAATGTGTTTTTCGCAGACAACCGACGCAAGCGTGCAGTGTTAAATTGTATCTAGTTCACTTTGTTATTTTTTTTTTTTTGTTTCGAGTTAAATATGGAATTACGTGTTTGGAAAGCGATACTCTTGCAGTGGGTAAGTGTTTCAAAGATCTAACTGAACGGAGATGTATAAGCCGTACGACTCTTAATTTGTTTACGTCTATTACCACTAGGTGCGGAAATGCAATTTCATAGCAGACGTTACATGTCTTGAAGATTCCGATATTGAGGAATTTTTTACACACTATGCACAATTTTCTCAGGTTGAGCTAACAGCTGAGCAGCCGGCGTTGTCGCCCTTAAGCCTCACATTTTCATCGGGACAACTACTGACTTTTCTAAGAGGTGCATTTAGACGATAATAACAGTATACAATTTGTAAAAGTGAATAATTAAAACTTTTGCTTTGTAGATATATATCCAAATTTCAAGCCGCTTTTAGAGAGCAATGGCCGTATAATGACAACTGATTACATTTACGTCTACACACTTCTGATGCACTACACTTGCGTTCAGAGTCCGAACGAATATTTTCATAATATTTGCAGAAACTTACCTGACATCACACAGCAGTGCATAGCGGATTTTTTCCAGCAGACAATAAAAAACCCAGAATTGACTCGCAATTGCTTGCGCGAGACCATTGCTAGTATCAGTGATATTGCTGAGAGCAATGTTGCGGACTTGACTCCGATCCAGACTAAGTCGCGAGGCTGTACCTCCTTCTCGTCCGAGCGCAATGGCTGCGAAGTAAAATCCTCGGAGTTAGAGAGCAACAACAAGGATTCGGCTACAATCGACAATGATGCGACTGCGAGTACGAATTTTGCAACGCCAATCCCAGTGCAACGGGAGCTGACTAGCTTACTAGAGGTCAGCCAAAATCAAGCTCCGTCGACACCAAAAACAGTGCTGCTCGAACAGCGTACACGTGAGCTGTTAGGATTACGTGTAAGAAACGATGAACAATCATACAACTACAATACTCTAACTATGTAATAACTTCTGCAGGCTCAGCTGGAAACCGAACGTTATGAAAAGGCTGTTTTAGAGGACCAAATTTTGGAGAATGAGCAACTAATCAATTCGCTAAGTAAAGGTAAGGACCATAAAAATTTGTTAGACTTGTAAGCACACATTTAATTCAACTTTAAATCTCTCGTTCAAAGAAAACAAAGTAAAAAAGAAGCAACTGGCCAAGCTGACGGCCTCCCTGGAATATGAAAACGATGAGTGCAATTACATGCAGAACTCTATGCCCAACGAATTTGAGAATGTATGTTAAATCTTGACCTGGGCGCAGGTAGACCGTGCTTGCGTAGACCTTTTATTAATATCTATTCCTTTCTACCGCAATAACAGTTGAAAAGACAGCTGCTTAAAGAGATTAACAACAAGGATGCTATGCTCGCCGAAAGCAAAGAAGAAATGCAGGAGTTGAAGAACAAATATGATAAATTAGCGGATAAGGTACGAATAAATCATATACGTTATCTTACGCTCACACACTAAGAGCTAAGTCAGGAATACATATATACATGTATTGGTTTACTGTTTGCAACCTAATCATTGCCAATATATATATATATATATATATATTGGCAAATATTAATATTTTTAATATTCCGTAATGATAGAACATTTAATTATAGAATTTTATTATGAAAAGTCTCAAGTACCAAATTAGCTGTAATTTTTGCTAAATTTTTTAGGCAAACTAAGTCAGATAAACTGAGCTGACCAGCAATATCAACATATCCTACCCACTGTTTTTGAGTTGTAATTAGTACATAGTAATTAGTTGTAAAATCAACGATTTCCTGACTAACAAAACAAACCAAAAAAATTAAATGTTCTTTCAAGCCCATTGAAAATGAAAATACTAGATATTATAATATGAGTATGTTGACATTTAACTTAGCAAATTAATTAATATTAATTTAAATTATACAAACTTATGTTTGCGTTGCTGATCGTTGACTTTGTTTATTTTTTGAACTGGTTGAAAGATTGCTTAGAATTTCTTCTCTAATGATTAACTTTATCCACAGCTGAAACTGTCCGAAAAGCAGATGCTCGTGTGTATGGATAAAATAAACGATCTGGAACTGCGCTTGGAGAACGCCACGCTGTTGTTGACAGAAAAGGACGATGATATCGCTTGTCTGCAGCGTGATAAATTGGAGCTGCAGCAGTGTCTGCAGGAGGCTCGCGCCGAGCTGCATAATGGCCGCGAGGTCCTCAACGCTTCCTCGGATTTGCTTGAAACTTCACAGTCGACGGCTAGCATGAATACCACACCCGAAACTTTGGCTTGTTCCGTCATCGATAAGCAGTTGCGTGAAAAAGAGCTGGAAAACGTGGAGCTGCGTGATCAGCTGGAAGCTATTTGGAAGGAAAAAAAGAGCATTTTGGAAAATCTGTTAACGATCGTGCAACACTACCAACTGGAAATGCCGCCAGCCCCAGATGATTCACAAATATTGGACCTAGTAGGGCGTAGCATGGACCAGTTGAACGTCCGCTTTGAGAAAGAGCAGCTACGTGTGAAGGAACTGCAGGCTCAGTACGACACACTACATCAGCGAAATATACAGAATGAAGAGATTATTCAAAGGCAACAAGAGAGTAGAGCAAAGAAGCTGGATCAGGCACTAGAACAGAGTCAGCTAATTTTGCTGGAAGGCATTAAGAAGTGTCGGGTACGCGACAATGAAATTAGATACCTCGCTAAGATCTCTGCAGATATAGAAAAAAAGGATGAGGAACTAGAACAATTGGGCTGCGAAATAATTCAACTTAGCAGTAGAAACCATATTTTAGAGGAGCGTGTCAGCACAGAGGAGAAATGCGCACTGAGTCGTGGCCAAGAGCTTAAAGCACAGCAAATACGTCTTCACTCTCAAGAAAAACTAATTGATAAGCAGCAGCAGCAGATAAACGAGAATCAACAGCAATTGCAGTGCTTCATCGACACGATAGGCTCTCGATTTGACCTACATTCAAGTTCGGCAGGGATCAGCGATAAAAGCCTGAAACAAGTCGAAAAGATGTTAATATCTTGGCAAGATCAAATGCAAATCAAGCTGAAACATTCGGAATCAGAGATATTGAACCAAAGTAGATACCTAACTGCAGTAGATCGCATCGTTATTGATATACTAAGCGCACTAAATGCACATACGAAGTCATCAATTGAGAACAATAATATTTCCAACGATCCTTTGCTCAAGAAACTAGTCTTTGTACAGAACCAGCTCTCACAGTTTGTCACCGAATATGACCAATTGACCAAGAAATGCAAGGCTTTGAATCAGAGCTTAATACAGTCCGTAGAAGTAAAAAGACAAGAACACGACGCATTGCAGAAAGAACACAAGGAAACTATTTTGAAGCTGACAGATAAGTTAAACCAATTACAATCGCAATGCGATAAAGTAATGAAAGAACTGCAACAGAAAAATGCTGAATGCGAAGAAATGAGCGAAAAGTTGCAAGTCGAAAAAGAGTTAAGAAACAAAGTTGATAGCAATGACGTTACCAGGGTTAACGGGGATTTAGGAAACGTAAATGGTAAAGACAGTGCCGAGCAGATGCTTCATGAGGAAGAGTTGAAGACAGAGCTGATTGATGCGAATATGAATCAATCTCAGCTTGTGCGAGAACCTGAAACAACAACCGAAGAAGCAACGGTTCAGAATGGAAACCAAATCGAAGTCCAATGCCAACTAGAGCAAGCTAAAATTAAAGAAGAGCTGAATGAATCCAATGAAAAGCAAAAACAGTTGGAACAGGAGCTCAAGGAGAAAGCGGAGCTCGTTCAAAAGAGCGAGTCTACGATCCAAGCGTTGCAAGAAGAGATTGTAGTGCAAACGCAGCAGTCCGACATGTCCAAAGCCGAGCTTAAAAATACACAACAAAAACTGGAGGAGGCTCAACAGCAGCTGGAGACGGCGCTGCAACAGTTGCAAAAGGAAGAATCTCTTGTGGTACAAGTCAATGAATTGGAAGATTTGATAAAGGTAGAACAGAGCAAAAACTTGAGCTTAGAACAAGCGCAAATACATCAGATGGAGCAGAAGCGCGTTATCGAAAAGCAACTAACGGATATGCAATACTTGTTCGCAAAGAGGGAGGACGAGCTGGAGAAGAGCAAAGCACAGCTGGACTCGAGTACCAAGCGCTTGGAGAAAATAGCCATTAAACTTGGCGAACAGCAAGCGATTTTATCTAAGACACAACGGGAAATGGCTCAAGCCAAACTGAAGCAGAGCGAACAGGCAGAGCTTATTGCGGTATTGCAACACGAGAAGGACGGCTTGCAGTTGGAGTTGCGGAAGAACAAGGAGCGTGCGAATCGTTCCGAGGAGAAGCAGGCCAGCTTGGAGCAGCAACGCATTGCGGCAGAGGCAGATCGCGATGCAACTCACGAGCAGTTAATGAAGCTCGAGCGAGACTCCAAAAAAGCGAACAGCTCCATTCGCGATCTGCAGCAGCAGATGAAAAATATTGAGAATGAAAAAGTGAGCCTGGTTCTGGAAGTCGGCGGCCTCAATTCAGAGATTGTGCAGCAGCAGAAACGCATAGCAGACTTGAGCGGCCAACTGCAACAGGCGAATGGGACAATGAGCAGCCTTATTCTGGCAAATGAAAACAATGCTGCCACCGCTGAACAGGTAGTCAAAGAACGTTCAAATGTGCTGCAGCTGCAGTCGCAGCTGGCGGAAGCTCGACAGGAGCTAGAAGGAATGAAGCACATGCACGAATCCATGCAGTGTGAACTAGGCGACAAGATGAAGGAACTGGAACTGGAGCGCAGCAAGTCAAAAGATCGCGAATCTCATTATCAGCGCAAGCTGAATAACCTGAACGATGAGCTAAAGAAGTGCAATGAGGAAATTGCTGATGCACGCAATAACCATGAAAAGCTTTTGGACACCTTAGAGAAGGAGTCTCGTACCTCCACCGAATTGCTGGAAGCGCAGCAGCAACTACAACAGCAGCGAGCCCAGCTACACCAGCGCGAGCTCGATTGTCAGATATTGCAGGCAAAGTACCGGGAAACGAAAGAGGAGATGGCTCGCTGTGAGCAAAAGCTGAAGGATCAGCGCCTTGAGATGGAGGGCAAGCTAGAAAAGATGAAATCAAAAATGGTAAGTGAACGTGCTGTGCCCAAATGTACTCGTGTTTCCTTTATGTTTGATGTGCTATCCCTAAAGTATTTTCGCTTGAAACAAATTCTCTTTCACACACTAAATCCTTCTTCCTTGTACGCACACTAAAACATTAGCTCAATTGACGCTGCACAAAAACATATGGTTAACTTATATATTTTGGGGCAAATCAACAATTGACACTGGAAGTTAGTTACTCTTATATCAAAGTTACCAAGTCGATTTAGTTATGTCTCATATCATTCTATTGAAAGACGTCAGCTCTTGGAACTTGTCTACAGACCGAAAGAACTAACAGCTTACGATGTGCGAATGACTTAAATATGGCATTCTTTACTATCATCTCATAGACATTTTTAACCGATTTGAGATCATAAAAATGCAACGTCATGACTAAAAACATGGAATTTATAGATCGACAGATAGACATAGAATCAGCCATTGAATCTGTTAAAAATTAGGATTCAGGCTATAACGGTCTTTTGAAAATGCCAGAGACAAGAGACCTGGCAGAATCAGGCGCGGCACGAACCAAGTTGATTTAGTTATGTCTCATATGCTAAAAAATACTAGAGGACAGTTCAATCCATTTATATTCCTATGTATTTCTATATTCATCTAGAACAAAACTCATTCAACATTTACTAATTAATTTAGCCGAAAAGCCCATATATATGTGTGTGCGTATGTCTTGTTTGTGTATAAAAGAAGCGTAGAATGATTGGAATAGCAACTGTGCGCAGGGTTTAGGTATCTCCAAGTCGGGCACTGCCGACTTGACACTCTAGTTTGAAATAATTGCAATTGTTTGCAGCGTCAGTCGAGTCCACTCAGTATGTAAATGTTAATGTAATATGAATGCCTTAAGGCATCAATGTTCTTGTTTAGTCTCGTAGTGTGTGTGTGTTGGTTGGGACTAACTAAAAATTTCTAGCAATCATCGAAGGAGAGACGATTCAACCAGCTGTTGCTTAATTTTGGCATTTATCATACGCATAGAAACAAACCCAATAAGTAGATTAATTCGATTATCAATCACATGGTATTTAAAATAAATTTTCTTTGTTTCCTCTTCTCTTTCTAATCCGACACCGACTACAATACTCACTATCACCACTTACCACTTACCTTACTTCGCACACTGAAATTCATGAAACAACTAGTTCAAGAGTCTTGTATCGTTTGATTTTCAACAGCTGGGCAAATCGAAGAAAGTCAAGCAAGCACACACAAGCAAAGAGTTAAGAACTAATCACTCGCTTAAAATTTTAATTGCGTTGGTTTTGGTCATAGGTGCAACATATGTAATATTTTTAACCAACAACGTTGTTGTTAGTTTAAAATTTAAAAATCCGTCTGAATTTTAAGTAATATATGTATGTCTGTAAATGTCTCGAGTTTTTGATTATGTACTTAGCATTAATAAATGTTTTATTACTGGCTACGAGCAAAGCTAATTTAGAGTTAACTAAATATCTAAAGTATCGATCGATTACAATATCGATTCTCTCTCTCTCTCTTTCTCTCTCTGCAAAGTGAAAAGCTAATCATAAATGTATTATAAATATTTGTCTCTTTTTTCGCTTTCGATATTGTTTCCCCCTTTGCTTTAACTTGCCACTCACACATTCCACTTACTCTACACCACTCACCACTAACACCCAAACCACACAATCTGACAACAATAGCGCACGTTGTACACGGCGGAGGTGACCCGAATCAAGGAGAAGCAAGAGCGCGATGCGGCCAGCAACAAAGTTGAACTGGAGAAGCTCAATGGGCAGGTAAGCTGGCATTCCTTATATCCATAAGTGCTTGACTGATCATGTCTTCATTCTCTTTTTTCTAGATCACTAAGTATGAGGAACATACGCGAAAGCTAGCTAATCAAATTGTGCGGCTCAATGAAAAGCTTTTGGAGCAGCAGAAGAAATATGCCATTCTTAGTACCAAGTTGCGGCACCTGCAGGAAGCCGAGCAGCCATCGACGGCTCTGGCGACTGGAGAGGACTGGCAGCCGTTCAAGCGGCCATGTGCGCCATCTGCCAATCTTGGCAGTAATCTTGCAATGGAGGATGAAGAGGGTGAGGTGTTCAATAACACCTACCTGACCGATCTAAAGCTGGGCACTGTGCCAAACATGACGTACGTTGATTCCTTTCGATGCAAACAAACGTTTTATTATTATATCATTTCCTTCTACCTCAAGCGCCGAAGAACTTCAATATCGAAATTCGTTGCAACCTCCGCATTTGAAGAGCGCTTATGCAGCGCAGTATGACCTGGGCACCCAGGAGGACGATATCAAAGTAAGCATTCAAAAAGCATAACTACCAAGATGAAGGGAGGAGTTGAGGGCTGAGGCTTTTCGCTTGGTTGGTTGAATTGCTAATGATTAATTGCTAATGTGTTTTAATGCAATGCATCTCCGATAGGATGGTCCGCACAGCCTGGATGACAGCATGAGCGCGCTGTTAAGCACTACAGATAACAACGGTTTGGGTACACGCAAGAAGTCCATGGGCACTCACTATAAACGTCCGGGTCCACCGACGCCCAGTAAAAATGGTGGTCGTCTGTCATTTGGCGGCTCGGAGCCGCCCCGGGAAATACTACGTGAGACTTGCGACAATAACGGTACTGCCAAGACGCCGGCCCGCTTTAAGATCTTCACATCTCGCTTCAGCATTGGGAGCAGCGGCATAGGTGGTGGAGGACATTGTCTGCCACGCGACGAGGTAAGAAGCATGCGAAGAAGATTTGTGTTTCGTTTCGTCTCTTTTGTGTTTTGTTTATAGCATATAGCCTGTGTTTACTGCCTGTTGTCGTCCTCGTGATTTTGTGTGGTTGATACCGCAACGGCCCATTAAAAACCTAATATGCTCCTTCACAGAGGCGGCGTCAACGTAAACAGAATCTGTTAAAGGGTATTATGCATCGCCGCAATTTGCAAGCAGCATTTTGTACATCGACACCACGCAGCAGCCGCTCTTTCTATGATGGGCCACCAGACGCCCAAGAGCTGCAAAAGCAAGTGCAGGACGTGACCCCGCATTTGGCTGATGCTGCTATGCCCTTGCCATTAGATGTGGCTAATGGGCAGGGCGGCAGGCCAAGTATCTGTCGCCGTCGTCTAATAACTACCAGCTCAAGCGGCAGTCTTGCATCAACTTGTCAAAGTGGCTCGAGCGGTCGTCAGCGTAAATCCAGTGCACGCTTACCTTATCATCGGCTTGGCAACAGGGGCAGGTCACGCGCCAGACTGTCCTCAACGTCGCAGATGAGTCTAAAGCGCATGCAGCAGCGAAACAAAATCAAAGACCAACGCATAGGATGCTTTGATCGAGGCAGGCATCTGTGCGATGCTGAGATCGATGTCACAGAAGAAGATGCAAAACAAACTTTACAGGTTGGTAATGGAACGTATGCGCTAGACGAGCCCAACGAAAACAACAATTACTGTGTGCATAATCGCAATGATTCGATGATGGTAATGGGTGCCACGATGCTGTTGGATAAGCAAACTTGGAATTGCATGAACATCAAGATGGAATCGGAGCTTGAGCAAAGTACTGAAGAAGCAGCTACGTTCAATGTGGACCGGGCAACTGTTAATAGTTCATTTACCAAATGGGAAGAGGAGGAGCACCCAGCTTTGCTGAAGGCGCTGGCCGCCAAATACGATTACGACCTTGACTCTAACTTGACTGCGCTACAGCAATTTGAGGAGGACCACGTTTGCGCATGGCTGAGTGACGGTGCCAACATCAGCGTCGGCGCCGTTAACCATCTCAGTCATGACATTCACTTCGAAGAACTTTGCCGCCAGACAGCGTCTACAGCGCCATTTGAACTGCAGCCACTGAAGTACAGTCCTGGTTTGGTAGAAATTGTGCAACATAAGAAACCGCTTAGCGCGTCTAACATAACTGATAACACCTCAACCGTCAGCTGCACTACCAACTGCTCGTCGCTGCAATCGTGGACCACCTACTCGTTGAGTCACATTCGCACGCATCGCTTGCCCCAGATAAACGTGACCACCATGGACCGCCTGAGCGACTTGAAACATTTACCGAATCACAAGCAAGGCAATATATTGATGCGTCTGTGGCATCGCCAGTGGCGTCGCATGGGCGTTAAGAAGTCACTGGGTCTCGGCATTCTCTTGTTTATTGTATTAACGCCGTTCTCTAGCTTTCTCATCGCCACAGCAGCCGTGGGCTTGTTCGCGCTGGCTTATCTAGCAATAAGTAGCTCAAAGTGAGGATGAGGATGAGGAAATTTACGACAGCAGGCAGCAGGCGAATTTATATCAATATTACAGACTCCAATCTAATTTCTTTTATTTTATGAGAAACTTCCGTTGTTCCTTTACAGAACTCGCCTCCCAAGCGACGGCTCAGCAACATGTTCAAACGCAAGTAGATGTGTTTAACTGCAATATATATCAGATGAGCTGATCCTACCATGGCCTTTTTTGTACAGTTAAATGTAAATTGCCAGCAGATTGAAAACTACTGCAAAACTATTTTTTTTCCTCTCGCTTAAGTCAATTATTTGTAAAATAAGTCCAATTACTTCAATGTCAATACATATATATTTTTTTTTTGGGTCTTTTCTATGTCAATCTCAACTCAGTACTAACTATGTTGTATTATATAAAAATATGTTAATGAACTCTGATAAACAATATATTTGCCGTGCATATTAATGTTAATAATCATGTTTGTGTGCATGTGTGTGTGTGGGTGTGTGTATGTGTGTTTGCCGAAACGAATGAATGATTTCAATTGATCTTTTTACGCAACAATAAATGGTTTGAGATCACCAGATACATCAAACAAATATCAATAACGCATATTAATATACATTTAAATACCAGTTTATATCTATATATATATTTATAAATATTATGATATGTATTTCTATGTAAGAACAATATCTTTACTTAACTAGACACTTAACACCTCTAATTCTAAATCGATCGACTATTATATAAAAAATTAAAACTACTCAAAGTCTTGTGTTTCTAATCTTTAGCAAGTTAATGACTGGGTTAACTGTAGTCAAGTGTATGATTCGATCAAATCAATAAAGAAACGAAATTGATTTGAAATTTATTAATTGAAATTGTGGCCAAAACAACTGCTTTTTAGGATACCGAAAGCAAAACGAGTTTCGCAGAAGAAGAAGACAAACAGGAGGCTCGCTCGCAGCGGACTCGAACCAGTATTCCATTCGTTTTCTCACATGCCACGGCCTGCTGACATAATTTAGCATACGGTTAAATATTGTAGCAGCATGTTAACTGTGACTAAGCCAACTGCGCGCAACAACAAATAACATGTAAATATGTAAGTCGCTGGCAATACCGGAATAGTGGTCCATAGCAGTGTTTCTCTCTTATTTTGTATGTCTGTGTTTTGCCGTAATGGCCAGCCGTAAACTGTTTGTTTGTGTAGCTCACGGGTATTGCGTCGTCTTCGTGATTTCCATTTTCCATTGGCAGCAGGCGTCATAACGCCTAATAGACTACATGCATATGCATTTATGCGAATATCCGTAGCCTGATTAGCGAACTGCGTTTTATTTTGCTATAGACCGATTTATGATTCCTCGATGTATGATGTATGATCTATGATGTATGATGTTTGTTAGCGAAGAACAGTTCATGAATCTATTGCTAAGTTGTCGTTTGAGCCCTCTAAACGATATTGTAATCAAATTGTTGCTGGTTATCAAAGATAATTTTGCAAATGAAGCATTGTTGTTGTTGTTGTTGTTGTTGTTGTTGTTGTTTTGTTTTTTAACTAAAAAATCTTGTCCCAAGTCGAATCAGGCTTTATAAGAAATCTACATATTGTTTATATGCAAAAGTATGTTCGTATGTATATTTATTTACTTATTTTTGTCTCGAGCGACAACAGTATTCAAATCAGAGATAGGCCCGAGCTTGATCCGAAGTTGCTGTAGTTGTTGTTCTTTGGTTCGGCGCCTGCCGAAGCGCGTGTTGTGCGGTATAGTTATGTATGTCTTAGAAAATCGTATATATATCGCGTATATATTAAAGCGGCCAAGCGGCGCAGCCAGAGCCGATAAAAGCACCAAGAGATCAGCCGAGTAAATCAGTTTTGATTTAACCCAGAATTCGCACCGACCTAATACATTAATAAACACGCCAACGCAATCCACAGCTATAGCCACAGCCTCGCCGAGATTGTATCACTAATGCTTGTGTGGAATGAAAATCAGGATTCCAACTTTACCTTCATTTGAATACTGAACTCCGAGAAGTCCCGAGCGCATTGGCAACTGCCTCATTGGATTTGGATTTTTTTTTGGACTTTCTTTTAGGTTTTTTTTTTTTCTTTTCCGTGCCTAAATTTGTTTCTACTCTGCCTGGTGATAATGCCTAGCAGTGCTGCCAGCAAAGACTACAAGTTTGAAAGCAACTCCCCGGCAACAACTCCCAACAGCGGCGGCGAGACTCTCGCCCAGGAGCTGCAGTCGCAAAAAATTGACGATGCTGCGATTAAGTCCGTCCAGCATCGCACTGCCTGGCAGATTAAAGGCTCTGCCCTGTCCCTGAACACACACAATCGCATTCGTAACATTGTCGAGGCTCTGCAGATTAAGCCCAATCCACAGAAGCCCATGATACCCCTGTCCATAGGTGAGTTAGTCTAATATTTGCTCGCACAGTCCATACCCAACCGGCTTAGAATATTTTAAAAATCCATTTTATATGCTATAAAATTGGAGACATACATACATTTGAATCGATTATATATATATGTGTATATATATATATGTAGTTGTGCCAAATCTCGCTTGTCTCTGGGCGGCTCCGTCGCTGGCTTTCGTGGCCCTTTCGAGACACAGCTCCAACCTTTCGAGCTCAAATCGTATTATTTTCAGCTATACTGAAACTTGTTTCTTGAAACGCTCGAGCTGAATTCATTTCTTTTTATCAAATATGTGTATAATTATTTCCAATACATATATATATATAGATATATATATATATATACATATATATATATATTGATACCAAGCTCTGGCCATAGGTAATTAGCAGAGAAAAACCTCTTAGAACTTTCTTCAAGCTCACATGCATTTGGATGCTGCCCGCTTACTGCGTGTTGCTTCTTAATTTATTCGAAATTACTAGATAGGGCTGTTCTATCTATACCTCACAACCCGAGCTCTGGACGGACGTTTGTTGTTACACATTATTATTATTATTATTTTTTTATATATATTTTTCATCGCGCGCGTTTTCGATGCATTTGCATAAAATGTAGTTTCACCTGTTTGGAGAATCAAGAAGCAAGATCAAGAATCGAATTTGCTTAGAGTCAAGCTTGATGAAGGTGGAATATTATTCGCTGTCCCACATGGGACTCATGGCAAGGCGGAAACATGCAAAAATACGCCAAACGTGTTTTAGGCCGGGCCAGGGAAAATATGTGAGGATCTGTGCACTCAATAGGAGGCTGATCTTAGTTGATTCAATAGAAAGACTCTCGAGAGATGTTGCGGTTAAAGCATTTGGCTCATTTTATTTGTAGGCGATCCCACAACGTTCGGCAACCTGAAGGCTGCCGATGAAACTATGAAGGCTGTGCTCCGATCCCTGGAGAGCGGCAAGTTCAATGGCTATGCCCACACGCAGGGCCATGAGGCGTCGCGCCAGGCGGTGGCCAAGTATAGTGCACATCAGCGCCCCGACGGGCTAATCGATCCTAGCGATGTAATCCTTTGCAGCGGCTGCTCGTCAGCTCTGGAGTATTGCATATTGGCGTTGGCCGAACGTGGCCAGAACATACTGGTGCCGCGGCCAGGCTTCTGCTTGTACCACACACTTGCCGAAGGCCTGGACATTGAGGTGCGCTACTATGAGCTCTTACCGGAGCAACAGTGGCGTGCCGATCTCCGGCAGCTGGAGAGCCTCATCGATGCGAACACAGTCGCACTGCTGATCAACAATCCAAGCAATCCCTGTGGCAGCGTCTACGACGAGGCGCACTTGCTCGAACTGATTGCCATTTGCGAACGCCACTATCTGCCCATAATCGCCGATGAGGTGAGTGCGACTTGGATCGTTGCATGATATTTTTCATTGTTCATCACATCGTTTCACCTTTGTTCAGATCTATGAGCACTTTGTGTTCCCAGGCTCGCGTCACGTGGCCATAAGCAGCCTCACACGCGAGGTGCCAGTGCTGTCTTGTGGTGGGCTAACCAAGCGCTTCCTTGTGCCCGGCTGGCGCATGGGCTGGATAATCGTGCACGATCATTACAAACGTCTGGGCACCGCGGTCACGGGTCTCAGGAACATGTGCGGTCGCATTCTCGGCACGAACACGATCATCCAGGGCGCACTGCCCGACATACTGACGAAGACGCCGCAGTGCTACTTCGATGGCGTCATCAAAGTGCTCCACGTGAGTGAAAAGATTCTGTTACATAACTCAATTTCATTGATGTGTATTAATATTGAACATAGGCCAATGCCCAGCTGGCTTACAAAATGCTGAAGCCGGTCCCCGGACTGAACCCGGTCATGCCCAACGGAGCCATGTACATGATGATTGGTGTCTGCATCGAGCGCTTTCTGGCCTTCAAAGACGACACACACTTTGTGCAGGAGCTGGTCAACGAGCAGAGCGTCTTCTGTCTGCCCGGCAGCTGTTTCTCCTATCCGGGATATATACGAATTGTTCTGACCGTGCCGAACACGATGCTTGAGGAGGCGTGCGTTCGCATCGCCGAGTTTTGTGACACGCACTACAAGAAGGACAACCGGGCGCTGATAGAGGACGGCCTGCTCGAGGATGGTCAGATACATTACTAATCTGAATGCGCGACATGGAAGTAGTTTTCTTGGGTTGGTACCGTTGCTATACACACACTTTATTAGATGCTCTCTAGGCTAAGGTTTCTAGCTTGGTATACATTAGTGTAACAATAATTACCTAAACGTATAATATAAGAAGTATTGTCGTAAAACATCAGAACTTAGCGCACAGACGCGCATACTCCATTAGTCTGCTCATAAGGAAGTATGTCCCTAAGTCCAATGGTAACTTGTAAGAAAATCGACATACATGACGATGTGAATGCATGAATGTGTGCCTCCTTTTTGTTCTTAGCATATGTAAATGTACGTGAATGAATAAATATACATAAAAACAGCGCTATGTATATGTATGATGCACATGCATCAGAACTCCGTCTGCTGCCCAACAGTGTCAATTGAATATGCACTGGTTTAGCCTTGAGAGATGTGCACATACATATACACATATTATATATATATATATATATATATATATATATTAGGTGTAGAGAAGAAAAGAGTTTGTGGTCAAGAGTTTGTGATGTACACATAGTACATACATACACATATGTACTCTGCGCTGTCGATGTATAGAAGACGTTAGACTTTGAGCAAAATAGATGAGCCAATGGAATTGGATGTGGACAGTGGACAGTGGACAGTGGACAGTGGGCACTTGTCTACATGTGATGCGGATGCATTTTCTTTTCCATGTGAACCTCGACGCGAGCCTCGTCGATGCCGGCGACCGTTGGCAGTCCTCCCGGCCAGTGGAGCAGGTCCTGCTCATGCTCCATGATTATATTCGCCTCGGCTGTAAAAGGCGTTCAGAATGATGTGGAGCTGTTAAGGCGAGTGGCGAGTACTTACCCTGAATGCGATGCAGCTTGCTGCCATAGGCCCAATCCGTGTAGTATCCCATGACAAAAGTCAGAGGCAGCAGCGGCGCCAGTGCCGAGGCGCGCTTGACCCGCTGGTAATAGTTCGCACAGCCGCATAGGGCGCTTAGATAGAAACCGCTCAGCCAGTAAAAAAGCTCCCGATGCTGGGCAATGGCCAGCGCCTGTTCCCGCTGCTTGATTTGGTAGTGCATTTGGATCCAGCGCTCCATCTGCATTGACTTCATTAGTTAACTAGCCCACGCGATTAGATAATTGAACTTGCCTTCAACTCCTGGCATTTGCGATACGCCGGATCATCGTGCTCCGGATAGCCCACAGTAGGTGATTTATTACGCGACGATGTTGCGCCCATGTTCAGTTAATGCAGCTTATGCAGTTTATCCCACAAACTGTCGCTCTCCACTTTGGCAATGCGACTGTGACTCGCATTGTTGTCATCGACCCGTTTCTGCCGCTGGCAGTGCGCAGGCGCCGGACCAGAGCGCACAATCTCTATTTGGCAGGATGTCAGCTTGAAGGCAGCCAGTCGGTTGACCAAGGCTCTGCCCGACCGACCGACCGACCGACCAGTCTGCATCTGTCTTTGCCATAACCGTTTGCTGTTCAGCGCGAGCTGCCGTCAGTCTTGAACTGCAGTTCGAAGTTGAATTTTCATAATTCCTTTGCTTTTCTTTTTATACTGGCGAAAAGCAGTCGAAGACTATTTACTGCTATTTACGCTTGCCAAAGACTTAAACTCCAGGCTGCCCATGGAGCGCCTTTGAGATGGAGGCTTCTGATAAAAAAGCGCAAACTCCGACTGAGACCAAAGGTATGTAAGCAAAGACTCTTGGTAAGAAAAATGTAATGTCAAAGGCAACTACATAAGTAGGAGACGTACACACACACACACACACACACACACACTGTACATATATATAGCTGAGTGAGGCAAGCGATTGTGTATGCCTGTGTAGGACGCTCCCTTGCCTTGCTTTTGGGGGTTGCAAATGGCTCAGGGGTGGGGGCAGCACATACACACACACATGGCTCTATTGACAGTGGCAATTGTGTCTAACTGATGTCTTCGCACACAGCAACGCTGACAAGTTGAAGACATTTGCGCCATTGTAGTGGCGGCACGGTATCTTAATAAATAACGGCCCAGGCGGGAGCAAGATGCGCTGCTTGAATGATTGACCGCTTACAAATTCGTCGCTTGGGTGCAGCTGCTAGAAATAAACGCACGGGAGGCAGCGGCAGCTTTCACTCCGCCAGCGGCATCACAACGCCAGCGACGGCCAGCACCAGCTCCTCCAGCGGCAACAGCTTAACACCTCAGCAACATCAGCACCCGCATCCTCATCAGCAACAGCATCAGCACCAGCATCAGCATCAGCACCAGCACCAGCATCAGCACCAGCATCAGCACACGCATCTGCGCAGCTCCCAGCAGCAAATCGGTCATCTGAATTTGAATCCATCGCCGGGTAGCAGTCCTTGCAACGGATTGGGCACACGTCAAGATGCATCTAGCGTGCTCAACAGTCCGACCACAATTGTGAACTCGGGCAGCGGCAGCAGCACTGCCTGCGGGATGCAGCCGCAGGCTGGGGGCTTGTCAACAGCTGCAGTCGCGGGTGCGACAACGGTCATTGGCGGCCAGTCCACGAGCAATGCGCACAACAATGGCGCTGGAGCCACAGTGTGTCCTGTGGGCGGCGTTGGCGGCGGCCTCAATCTGCTGGGCGGCATTGGCGGCCTGGGCGGCGGAGCCGCTGCCGCGGGCATGGGCATTTGCGGAGGCATCAGCAGCACTGTGGGCAGCGCCGCCATTACGGGCGTGCCTCCGATTGGACTGGGCATCGCAACGGGAATTGGAAATAAGATTATGCTCGGCAGAAAGCAAAGCCTCAAGGGTGGCGAGCCATTTCTGGCTGACTACGGCCCGGAGGAATCGCTGAACGAGAGCGCGGACATTGAGTGGGTCAACAAGCTGTGGGTGCGACGCCTGATGCGCCTGTGCGCCTTGGTCTCGCTGGCGTCCGTTTCGCTAAATACGCCCAAGACCTTTGAGCGCCATCCCTCATTGCAGTACATCACCTTTGTCTCCGACACGGCGGTGACAGTGCTCTTCACAGCCGAAATGATTGCCAAAATGCACATCCGTGGGGTCCTCAATGTAAGTTACCTTCACGTTCCCGTTGAGGTCTACACGAACATTCAATGTTTCCTCCTTCCGACTCCAGGGCGAGGTGCCGTACCTGAAGGATCACTGGTGCCAGTTCGACGCCTCCATGGTAAGCTTTCTCTGGGTCTCGATCATACTACAGATCTTCGAGGTGCTCGAGATCGTGCCAAAGTAAGTTGTCCAACCTGCAGCTCGCTGAATCGAATTCCATATCTCGCTGGCGTTTCCTTTCAGGTTCTCGTATCTATCAATTATGCGGGCGCCGCGTCCGCTTATTATGATACGTTTCCTTCGAGTGTTTCTCAAATTCAGCATGCCCAAGAGTCGCATCAATCAAATTTTCAAGTAAGTGACACGCTTTCAATTTGGAGTCAGTGGATGGCAGCGAGATCTTCTATTTTCAGGCGCTCGAGTCAGCAAATCTACAATGTGACGCTCTTCTTCTTGTTCTTCATGTCGCTATATGGACTGCTCGGGGTGCAGTTCTTTGGAGAGCTGAAGAATCATTGCGTTATGAATAATACAAACTATGATCTCCTGGGCAGGCCGTAAGTATACACAGTTCACTCTGATTGGGCTCCTCTAAGCCGTCGCATATCTCATTAGGGTGCTCACAATCAATTCGCTGGCCATACCTGATACATTCTGCTCAATGGATCCGGACTCCGGCTATCAATGCTCGCCTGGGATGCGTTGCATGAAGATGGACTTCCTAAGCAGCTACGTGATTGGCTTCAATGGCTTCGAGGATATTGCGACAAGTATTTTTACGGTTTATCAGGCCGCCTCGCAGGAGGGATGGGTCTTCATTATGTACCGGGCCATTGACTCGCTCCCGGCATGGCGTGCCGCATTCTACTTCAGCACCATGATATTCTTCTTAGCCTGGCTGGTCAAGAACGTGTTCATCGCTGTCATTACGGAAACCTTTAACGAGATACGCGTCCAGTTTCAGCAGATGTGGGGTGCCCGAGGCCACATACAGAAGACGGCTGCCTCCCAGATACTCAGCGGCAATGACTCGGGCTGGCGCCTGGTCACGATCGACGACAACAAGCACGGCGGCCTAGCCCCAGAGACCTGCCATGCCATTCTCCGCTCTCCATACTTTCGCATGCTGGTTATGACCGTGATCCTGGCCAATGGCATTGTGACAGCGACGATGGCCTTCAAGCATGATGGCAGGCCTCGGCATGTGTTCTATGAGCGATATTACTACATCGAGGTGATATTCACGTGTCTGCTGGACCTGGAGACACTGTTTAAGATCTACTGCCTGGGCTGGCGCGGCTACTACAAGCACTCCATACACAAGTTTGAGCTGCTGCTGGCAGCTGGCACCACACTGCATATAGTTCCCATATTTTATCTATCTGGCTTGACGTATTTTCAAGTGCTGAGGGTGGTGCGACTCATCAAAGCGTCTCCCATGCTGGAGGGCTTTGTGTACAAGATCTTCGGACCCGGCAAGAAGCTGGGCTCACTTATCATCTTCACCATGTGCTTGCTGATAATTAGCTCGAGCATTTCAATGCAACTGTTTTGTTTCTTATGCGACTTCAACAAGTTTGAGTCGTTCCCGGAGGCGTTCATGAGCATGTTTCAGATTCTGACCCAGGAGGCGTGGGTGGAGGTCATGGATGAGACCATGATACGTACTAGCAAGACGCTGACACCGCTAGTCGCAGTTTACTTCATACTCTACCATCTATTTGTGACGCTCATCGTGCTCAGTCTTTTCGTGGCGGTCATTTTGGACAATTTGGAGCTGGACGAGGACATAAAGAAGCTAAAGCAGCTCAAGTTTCGCGAGCAGAGCGCGGAAATCAAGGAAACCCTACCATTTCGCTTGCGCATCTTTGAAAAGTTTCCGGACTCACCACAAATGACCATTCTGCATCGGATTCCCAATGACTTCATACTGCCCAAAGTGCGTGAGAGTTTCATGAAACATTTCGTCATTGAAATGGAAACGGATGATCCGTCGCTTGTGGAGAACTGCAGGCGTCCCATGTCCGAGTGCTGGGAGTCCAACGTAGTGTTCCGCAAGCAAAAGCCCGTGCGCATCATGAACAAGACGGCCAAAGTGCGAGCTGCCGGCAGCAGCCTCCGGAAACTGGCCATCACACATATTATCAAGTAGGTATCAGGGATCTAAGCATGAGGGAAGCTGATAATATTGAACGTTGCTCCACCACAGCGACAGCAACAATCAACGTCTAATGCTGGGTGACTCGGCCATGCTGCCAGTGGTGGGTACGAAAGGCGGGCTGAAGTCCCAGGGGACCATTACGCACTCGAAGCCGTGGCGCGTTGACCAGAAAAAGTAAGTGAACTTTGCCCCTAGGCGGCATGATTCGTTTGATGTGTGTACGCTACCAATTCGCAGATTCGGATCCCGTTCGATACGTCGCAGCGTCCGTTCCGGCTCGATCAAGCTGAAGCAGACCTATGAGCACCTCATGGAGAACGGCGACATTGCGGCCGCACCTCGAGCCAATTCCGGCCGGGCCAGACCACATGATCTCGACATTAAACTGCTGCAAGCGAAGCGTCAACAAGCTGAAATGCGACGCAATCAGCGCGAGGAAGATCTGCGTGAAAATCATCCGTTCTTCGACACGCCGCTCTTTCTGGTGCCGCGCGAGAGTCGCTTCCGCAAGATTTGCCAAAAGATCGTTCACGCACGCTACGATGCGCGTCTCAAGGATCCCCTAACTGGCAAAGAGCGCAAGGTGCAGTACAAGAGTCTGCAGTAAGTAGTCCTTCACGGTGCTCCAGTCACATTCCTAATGCATGCGATTTGCATGCCATTTATAGTAACTTCCTAGGCCTGGTCACCTATCTGGACTGGGTCATGATTTTTGCCACCACGCTCTCGTGCATCTCCATGATGTTCGAGACGCCGAGCTATCGGCTAATGGATCACCCCACGCTGCAGATCGCTGAATATGGCTTCGTTATATTCATGAGCCTGGAGCTAGCTATGAAAATTCTGGCTGATGGCTTGTTCTTCACGCCCAAAGCGTACATCAAGGACGTGGCTGCAGCGCTTGACGTCTTCATATACGTTGTCTCAACGTCGTTCCTGTGCTGGATGCCGCACAACATTCCCACCAACTCGGCAGCCCAGCTGCTGATGATTCTGCGCTGCGTGCGTCCGTTGAGAATCTTTACGCTAGTGCCGCACATGCGCAAAGTGGTCTATGAGCTGTGCCGAGGCTTTAAGGAAATCTTATTGGTATCCACGCTGCTGATTCTGCTCATGTTCATCTTTGCCAGCTACGGCGTACAGCTCTACGGGGGTCGATTAGCGCGCTGCAATGATCCGACCATACTGCGGCGTGAGGATTGTGTTGGCGTCTTCATGCGACGCGTCTTTGTCACCAAAATGAAGCTGACGCCCGGCCCGGACGAGTCCTATCCCGCCATGCTGGTGCCGCGAGTCTGGGCCAATCCCCGTCGCTTCAACTTCGATAATATTGGCGATGCTATGCTCACGCTCTTCGAGGTGCTATCGTTCAAAGGCTGGCTAGATGTGCGCGATGTACTCATCAAGGCCGTCGGACCGGTAACGCCAAGACCAATGGCCAATGGCCAATAGCTATCTTAATCTAATGCTGGCCCATTCCATTTCAGATTCATGCCATTTACATCCATATCTACATATTCTTGGGCTGCATGATCGGATTGACTCTGTTTGTGGGCGTGGTCATTGCCAACTATTCAGAGAATAAAGGCACCGCTCTGCTCACCGTTGATCAGCGCCGTTGGTGTGACCTAAAGAAGCGTCTCAAGATCGCTCAGCCGCTGCACTTGCCTCCACGGCCGGATGGACGCAAGATTCGTGCCTTTACCTACGATATCACTCAGCACATTATCTTCAAGAGGGTCATTGCCGTGGTGGTGCTCATCAACAGCATGCTGCTGTCCATAACGGTAATATGAAGTGGATAATGGGTTTGCATAGCAGCTACTAAACGTCTCCCTTCCCAGTGGATCAAAGGCGAAGTGCACACGGAGCGCCTAGTCATTGTCAGTGCTGTCCTGACCTTTGTCTTTGTCATCGAAGTGGTCATGAAGAACATTGCATTTACGCCTCGTGGATACTGGCAATCCAGGCGTAACCGCTACGACCTGCTGGTAACCGTCGCAGGTGTTATCTGGATTATACTGCAAACTATTCTCAGGGTAAGGCATTTGAATTCAACTTTGCTGAAATTAATGTAACAGGCTGCAGAAAGCCTAGTCAAGCCCCTAGGAAGTCTAGCTTCAGCTATGCGTGTCTAACTGCCATCGTTCATCGATAAACATCGATAAGTAACGTCTGTTATCTAGCTAGAATTGCTAAATTCAAATAAAATATTAAATGCAATGCATAATAAAAATCAAAGTCACTTTTAGATGTATTATTATTTCTTTATTTTTTATAAATATATTTTATGACCTTTTCACCTTTTTGACATGTTTTGCAGAACGACTTATCGTACTTCTTTGGATTCATGGTAGTTATCCTGCGATTTTTTACCATCACTGGCAAGCATACCACACTAAAGATGTTGATGTTAACGGTCGGTGTGTCCGTCTGCAAGTCGTTTTTTATCATCTTTGGAATGTTTCTTCTCGTCTTCTTTTATGCATTAGCCGGCACCATTCTATTTGGCAAGTTGTTAACCTTCTTACGCATATATATTCTTGTTGATTGCTGAACTTTTGGTTTTAGGCACCGTGAAGTATGGCGAAGGCATTGGGCGCCGAGCAAACTTCGGATCGCCAGTGACGGGCGTTGCGATGCTGTTCCGTATTGTCACAGGCGAAGATTGGAATAAGATCATGCACGACTGCATGGTGCAGCCTCCGTACTGCACGCGAGGTGAAAACTACTGGGAAACGGACTGCGGCAACTTTACGGCCAGCCTGATTTACTTCTGCACATTTTACGTCATCATTACATACATTGTGCTCAACCTGCTTGTGGGTGGGTGCACAGCGAACTGCCGTACCTTATTTAGTTGCTTATGAAACGTGTCTTTCAGCTATTATCATGGAGAACTTTTCGCTGTTCTACTCGAACGAGGAGGACGCTTTGCTCTCCTATGCAGATATCCGCAATTTCCAGAACACCTGGAACATTGTGGACATACACCAGCGCGGCGTCATACCTGTGCGACGGGTCAAATTCATTTTGAGGCTTCTGAAGGGCCGACTCGAGTGTGATCCGCAAAAGGATCGCTTGCTTTTCAAGTATATGTGCTACGAACTGGACAAGCTGCACAATGGCGAGGACGTTACGTTCCACGATGTCATTAAGTAAGCCAACAAATAGTCAAGGGCCATTTCTGTGCTATAATTAACAAATTGATGTGCTTCAGCATGTTGTCCTATCGCTCGGTTGACATACGAAAGGCGCTGCAGCTGGAAGAGCTGCTGGCACGCGAGGAGTTTGAATACCTGGTCGAAGAGGAAGTGGCCAAGATGACAATACGTACCTGGCTCGAAGGCTGTCTGAAGAAAATTCGAGCACAAAACGCCAGTGTAAGCTTCAATCGATTTATGTGCATCCTGACAATTTGTTGAACTATCGCATTTTCCCACTAACAGAAGCAGCAAAACTCACTAATTGCCGGACTACGTGCCACCAACGAGCAGATAGTGATGCGTGCCAATGTGCAGGAGGACAAAGCACCCGGCGGGATAATAGACAAGTCAGCTATAAGCACAATAAGCGGTGCGGTAGCTGGCACTTGCCCGCCCACTAGCGACGCTTTCTCGCCAACCTTAAGCTCGACGGAGAACGATGAGAAGGATGCCAGCAGCAGCGCAGTGGTTTTGCCTCACACTGAGCCCCATGTGTCAAGTGCCCGCTATGTGATGGCAGTCGGCAAGCGGGCGTACGCACTCAATCGCAGCGATTCGACGGGCAGCTCGGCGGGGCGAAAGTTTTTGGCACCCACTTCGAGCGATCCACAGCAGCGGTCCACACTAAGTGATAAGGAGCGACTGCACATTAGCAGTCAGCAGCGTAAGAAGAACTCGATGACCACGTTGCCACATGCTGCCCAGCTGGGCCAGTTGGGCAAGCAGCGTGACACCAACAAGACGTCAAGTTTTTTTTCGCAACTTAATAGTGAGATTGGACAGTTTCACTATCCGGCAATTAACGCGTCTGCTGCCACGGCGGCCGCGCTGCACAGCTATGGAGATCACCATCAGCATCATCACGGACCTCTCAGCAGTCCATCGGCCATGATCAGCCAGTTGATTGGAGGCAGCGGCAAGCTGCTTTCGTTCAACAATCAGGCGAACGCCGTCTACGAGGTGCACGACTGGTGGCAGGAGCAGGTCCTCTGCTCGCAGGCCAGTGACGAGGAGGTGTAGGCGGGAGCGAATGCCTCAGCCAATTATGTTTGATTTCGGCAATAGCCATGGAGTTAGCCAATGCCATGCATTAGAGCCTTACTGAAACGAATGATTTGTCGCCTGTTCAAATTACAACTAGTGGCCTAGAGAAAATTATATATTTATTCTAACCAATGTAAATATTGCCGCGCTCTTTTGCGAATCGGACGTACGCACAATGCATTCCATATTTGTGTGTAGGCATTAGGCTTTGTTGTTGCTTATGTACTTCTGTAAGTAGATACTCTTTTAGTAATATTTCTTTAATTAAATGTTTAAGTATATATACAGATACATATTATATTAATAAACAATGAAACGAGAACGGTCTAGTCGAGCCTGCCTCAGGATATGCTGTATATCTGTTATCTACCACAAGAGAATAAATATATATATATGTTTATATTATTTCAACATATCGCACACTTTCACAGTCTGATATTTACTATTTTATTTCCAGCTCATTTCCTGCTCAATTTTTGGATACCTACCCGCTGTGCTGTCCGTCCATCTATGGACTAGGAAATATATATACATTAATTATAATATATATATATATATATATATACTCTTTGGTGACCTCGCCATTTAGAATATCCCCACAGATCTGCCACAGATTAGATGTTTTATACATATACTTTTTTCATTGCTTTGTTGGAGATATCCTGAACCCTTTACAGATATGCATCTCGGGTCTAAAGCCTAAGATATATATCTATTACAGATATAATTATGCTACACATTTATATTGGCTTCTTGTTTTAGTCCCATAAAATATTGCATACTTTACGGCTGTTTGCATAAAGTATTTCAGTATTTAATAGACTTTTAATTCCTCGCAATGTGACTGTGGTTTCGCTCTAATTCCATATAAATACATGTGTTGTTAAGGTACTAAATTTGATTATACAGGTTCTACACTTAATAATAAAATAAAAAAAAGTATTTAATAGAATACTAAAATATTACATTTTCCGAATCCAAAAACAAGATAGCTTTATTTGGGGTGCTCGACTAGGAGATACCCTGATCCCAGTCCTATCTGCGTTTCTTTAATATTTTTAATAGTTTGTATCGAGTATTAAAAAAAAAAAACAAATAAAAACTGACATTACAACACCAAGACTGCATCAACTCTAGCAACACCTCAAAAAAAAAAAAAAATAAATAAAACAAAAAAAAAAACAAAAAAAAAACAATAAAAAAATAAACGAAAAGACATTTCGTCGCCTGGGATCGAACCGAGAGCCGCCTCTTCCAACCTCGCCATGGCACTGCTTGCGCAAGCAGTTGCAATTCTTAACTTAGGTAGCAGCTGACAATTCAAGCTCAATTTAATCGCAATTTCGATACTTCAAATAGTAAAGAATACACCCAGCAGGGCAAGCAGGGCTAGTGCTGCTTGCCACGTGCTTTTGCAAATCGGCCAAACGTGCTATTAAACAAAACGTTATATTTTACTTAACGGATTTGAATGCAATTATCAGCATATGACCTACATATTCTATTGCAGCTTAGTAATAATGCAAACTCTCTTACAACTTTCCAACTGAACTCAAATTTAAAGAATTTACGGAAATTCGGGGCCGGTATCCAAAATATAACAAACATCAAAATTGCTGAAAATATACATGAAACTAAAGGAGGTTCTAGCTCTTAAGCTGTACGAGTTATAATTTAATAACTGCATTTCAAACATGGTTTTAATCGATAACAATAAAATGGGAGCAGTTATCGGACCTACAAGAAAAAATTGCACGTCTCTAGCTCTTATAGATGTTGAGTGATGGACAGACGGACATGGCTCAATCGACTCGGCTTGTCGTCCTGATCAAGAACATATTTACTTTATGGGATCTGCCACGTCTTCTTCTGCCAGTTACATAAATTTGCACAAAGCTATCATAACCTATCCTATTTTCAATGTCATCAGCGTTTAAAATACGTAAAATACTTTATGTAAGTGGAAAGAGTATATTGGCTGTGTGTCATGTCTATCTGGCCTTAGAGAACGCCTATGAAGGGCTTGGCATATTGGGATATACTATATATATATATGTTGGCAAGGCTAGTGGCTGAAACAATAACATCAACGCAAAGAATATATGGGATGTGTCTTACACTAATCCGTCAGAAATCTGCAATGTCGACTAAGACGCAGGCTGGATAAAACTCTAATAAGCCAGGCTTGCCGGAACAATATGTACTGAACGAAATGGCTAGTATCGCAATCAGACTACAGCGCAGTCAAACTACAGCGATAATTAGCTTAACCGAGATTTCGGGCTAGATAGATAGATACAAGATGTATATAGATACAAGAAATTACATATTCTAGCTCAACAACAGCTCGAGGTCTTGGGCGTACAGATTCATTTAACACAAGTGCTTCAATCGAAGAGCAATGTTTCTGTTTCAGCCGATAAAGATTATGGAGCAATAGGCACGCGCGAACGCAAGTCTTGTGTCAGCTCATCAGACGCTTTCAAGAATCCAAGTTCCAACACCTTAATAGAAACCATTGTTGAGCTAACATAACAATATGATATCTTAAAACAAGTCATATTGTCGCAGGGCCCGACTAAAATATACCCTGAACCAAAGCTATATCTGCGCCTGTTCAAGAAGGATACACATATGTACATACATTCTGATATCCCCTTCTCTGATAGGCTGCGATTTGGACGTATATATACATGCACACAGATACCAGATGGCTAGGGTTCCTGAACAAGAATATATCAAGTCATTTGAGTAATTCACGCCTTCTTTTGCCTGTTACATACAAAGAACATTATACCCTGAATTCGACTTTTCAATGGACTTGAGGTATACAAATCCACAAAAAGGCAGAGCAATGTATGTATATATTCTCGTATTTTAAAGAACAGTTAGTTAGGTTCGTGCCAGTAACAGTTTATTCACACGAGCTCCCATGGCTACGTGCTAGCCCTTTAATAATCGGAATAACGAAAGCTCGTCACTGACCTGCGCTTACAATACATTGCGCGTTGCGTAAGCCAGATCAGAGTTCAATAGAACAAGCGCGTGCTTTAAAATAGCATATGCATCCGTAATACGTATTTTTTATGGGAATATAAATTTAGACACTAAAATGTCAATTTTTGCAATACCAGTAAGCTAAAGCAATTTTTGAGATAACTTAAATACTAAGCATTAAGGCCCGCTTTAGTTAGTATCCAGGGTGTCATCAAGCTGCTCGCACGCTGTTTGACCCGACAGGACTTACTTAGAGGAGAAGACGGACATTCAGCATTGATACGATGAGACTCCTTATACTTTGCATGTTAGTCGCCACAGGCGCAGCGTTTACACTCTTTGGACCAAATATTCGCATTGCTCCCGGGTACAAGCCGAACGAAATAATATTGCATTTTCGCAATCCATGTAACAACAAAACGAGCTACACTACTTTAAGGCCGCCACCAACGAAATGCAAGTACCATCCTACCACACCGAATTGCGAACATCACGGAACTAGTCCAACTTCATATTCTTCGAAAGCCACCACATTAAAACCTACCTATAGAACGACTCTCAGCACTTTAACAGACACAACCGAAACCGTTGATTTAAGTACAACAACAACAGGGAGAACTACACAAGCTTCTTCAACACATACGCCAACCAAGGGTACCACAACAACAGCTCGGCCAAGTAGCCAGCAGCCATCCTCCGTAAAGCCGAGTGGACCTAGTACCTCAACAGCTAAGCCAAGTAGCCAAAAGCCTTCGACGGCCAAGCCAACAACCGGAAGGACCTCAACAGCTAAGCCAAGTAGCCAAAAGCCTTCGACGGCCAAGCCAACTACCGGAAGCAGCTCAACAGCTAAGCCAAGTAGCCAAAAGCCTTCGACGGCTAAACCAACTACCGGAAGCACCTCTAAGCCAAGTAGCCAAAAGCCTTCGACTTCTAAGCCAACTACCGGAAGCAGCTCAACAGCTAAGCCAAGTAGCCAAAAGCCTTCGACGGCCAAGCCAACTACCGGAAGCAGCTCAACAGCTAAGCCAAGTAGCCAAAAGCCTTCAACTACTAAGCCAACTACCGGAAGCACCTCAACAATTAAGCCAAGTACCCAAAAGCCATCCTCCGTAAAGCCGAGCGGACCGAGCACCACAACAGCTAAGCCAAGTAGCCAAAAGCCTTCGACGGCCAAGCCAACTACCGGAAGCAGCTCAACAGCTAAGCCAAGTAGCCAAAAGCCTTCAACTACTAAGCCAACTACCAGAAGCACCTCAACAATTAAGACAAGTACCCAAAAGCCATCCTCCGTAAAGCCGAGCGGACCGAGCACCACAACAGCTAAGCCAAGTAGCCAAAAGCCTTCGACGGCCAAGCCAACTACCGGAAGCAGCTCAACAGCTAAGCCAAGTAGCCAAAAGCCTTCGACGGCCAAGCCAACTACCGGAAGCAGCTCAACAGCTAAGCCAAGTAGCCAAAAGCCTTCAACTAATAAGCCAACTACCGGAAGCACCTCAACAATTAAGACAAGTACCCAAAAGCCATCCTCCGTAAAGCCGAGCGGACCGAGCACCACAACAGCTAAGCCAAGTAGCCAAAAGCCTTCGACGGCTAAGCCAACTACCGGAAGCAGCTCAACAGCTAAGCCAAGTAGCCAAAAGCCTTCGACGGCCAAGCCAACTACCGGAAGCAGCTCAACAGCTAAGCCAAGTAGCCAAAAGCCTTCGACGGCCAAGCCAACTACCGGAAGCAGCTCAACAGCTAAGCCAAGTAGCCAAAAGCCTTCGACGGCCAAGCCAACTACCGGAAGGACCTCAACAGCTCAGCCAAGTACCCAACAGCCGTCAACTATTAAGCCAACCACCGAAAACACCTCAACAACTAAGACAAGCACCCAAAAGCCATCCTCCGTAAAGCCGAGCGGACCGAGCACCACAACAGCTAAGCCAAGTAGCCAAAAGCCTTCGACGGCCAAGCCAACTACCGGAAGCAGCTCAACAGCTAAGCCAAGTAGCCAAAAGCCTTCGACGGCCAAGCCAACTACCGGAAGCAGCTCAACAGCTAAGCCAAGTAGCCAAAAGCCTTCAACTAATAAGCCAACTACCGGAAGCACCTCAACAATTAAGACAAGTACCCAAAAGCCATCCTCCGTAAAGCCGAGCGGACCGAGCACCACAACAGCTAAGCCAAGTAGCCAAAAGCCTTCGACGGCTAAGCCAACTACCGGAAGCAGCTCAACAGCTAAGCCAAGTAGCCAAAAGCCTTCGACGGCCAAGCCAACTACCGGAAGCAGCTCAACAGCTAAGCCAAGTAGCCAAAAGCCTTCGACGGCCAAGCCAACTACCGGAAGCAGCTCAACAGCTAAGCCAAGTAGCCAAAAGCCTTCGACGGCCAAGCCAACTACCGGAAGGACCTCAACAGCTCAGCCAAGTACCCAACAGCCGTCAACTATTAAGCCAACCACCGAAAACACCTCAACAACTAAGACAAGCACCCAAAAGCCATCCTCCGTAAAGCCGAGCGGACCGAGCACCACAACAGCTAAGCCAAGTAGCCAAAAGCCTTCGACGGCTAAGCCAACTACCGGAAGCAGCTCAACAGCTAAGCCAAGTAGCCAAAAGCCTTCGACGGCCAAGCCAACTACCGGAAGCAGCTCAACAGCTAAGCCAAGTAGCCAAAAGCCTTCGACGGCCAAGCCAACAACCGGAAGCACCTCAACAATTAAGACAAGTACCCAAAAGCCATCCTCCGTAAAGCCGAGCGGACCGAGCACCACAACAGCTAAGCCAAGTAGCCAAAAGCCTTCGACGGCCAAGCCAACTACCGGAAGCAGCTCAACAGCTAAGCCAAGTAGCCAAAAGCCTTCGACGGCCAAGCCAACTACCGGAAGCAGCTCAACAGCTAAGCCAAGTAGCCAAAGGCCGTCAACTACTAAGCCAACCACCGGAAGGACTTCAACAGCCAAGCCAAGCTCGCAAAAGCCTTCGACTCCTAAGCCAACTACCGAAAACACCTCAACAACTAAGACAAGCACCCAAAGGCCATCCTCCGTAAAGCCGAGCGGACCGAGCACCTCAACAGCTAAGCCAAGTAGCCAAAAGCCTTCAACTACTAAGCCAACAACCGGAAGGTCTTCAACAGCCAAGCCAAGCTCGCAAAAGCCTTCGACTCCTAAGCCAACTACCGAAAACACCTCAACAACTAAGACAAGCACCCAAAGGCCATCCTCCGTAAAGCCGAGTGGGCCGAGCTCCACAACAGCTAAGCCAAGTAGCCAAAAGCCGTCAACTACTAAGCCAACCACCGGAAGGACTTCAACAGCTAAGCCAAGCTCGCAAAAGCCTTCGACTCCGAAGTCAACTACCGGAAGAACCTCAACAACTGCGACAAGCACCCAAAAGCCATCCTCCGTAAAGCCGAGTGGACCGAGCTCCACAACAGCTAAGCCAAGTACCCAAAAACCTTCAACTACTAAGCCAACCACCGGAAGGACCTCAACAACTGCGACAAGCACCCAAAAGCCATCCTCCGTAAAGCCGAGTGGGCCGAGCTCCACAACAGCTAAGCCAAGTAGCCAAAAGCCGTCAACTACTAAGCCAACCACCGGAAGGACTTCAACAGCTAAGCCAAGCTCGCAAAAGCCTTCGACTCCGAAGTCAACTACCGGAAGAACCTCAACAACTGCGACAAGCACCCAAAAGCCATCCTCCGTAAAGCCGAGTGGACCGAGCTCCACAACAGCTAAGCCAAGTAGCCAAAAACCTTCAACTACTAAGCCAACCACCGGAAGGACTTCAACAGCTAAGCCAAGCTCGCAAAAGCCTTCAACTCCTAAGCCAACTACCGAAAACACCTCAACAACTAAGACAAGCACTCAAAAGCCATCCTCCGTAAAGCCGAGTGGACCGAGCTCCACAACAGCTAAGCCAAGTAGCCAAAAACCTTCAACTACTAAGCCAACCACCGGAAGGACCTCAACAACTGCGACAAGCACCCAAAAGCCATCCTCCGTAAAGCCGAGCGGACCGAGCTCCACAACAGCTAAGCCAAGTAGCCAAAAACCTTCAACTACTAAGCCAACCACCGGAAGGACTTCAACAGCTAAGCCAAGCTCGCAAAAGCCTTCAACTCCTAAGCCAACTACCGAAAACACCTCAACAACTAAGACAAGCACTCAAAAGCCATCCTCCGTAAAGCCGAGCGGACCGAGCTCCACAACAGCTAAGCCAAGTAGCCAAAAAACTTCAACTACTAAGCCAACCACCGGAAGGACCTCAACAACTGCGACAAGCACCCAAAAGCCATCCTCCGTAAAGCCGAGTGGGCCGAGCTCCACAACAGCTAAGCCAAGTAGCCAAAAGCCGTCAACTACTAAGCCAACCACCGGAAGGACTTCAACAGCTAAGCCAAGCTCGCAAAAGCCTTCGACTCCGAAGTCAACTACCGGAAGAACCTCAACAACTGCGACAAGCACCCAAAAGCCATCCTCCGTAAAGCCGAGTGGGCCGAGCTCCACAACAGCTAAGCCAAGTAGCCAAAAGCCGTCAACTACTAAGCCAACCACCGGAAGGACTTCAACAGCTAAGCCAAGCTCGCAAAAGCCTTCGACTCCGAAGTCAACTACCGGAAGAACCTCAACAACTGCGACAAGCACCCAAAAGCCATCCTCCGTAAAGCCGAGTGGACCGAGCTCCACAACAGCTAAGCCAAGTAGCCAAAAACCTTCAACTACTAAGCCAACCACCCGAAGGACTTCAACAGCTAAGCCAAGCTCGCAAAAGCCTTCGACTTCGAAGTCAACTACCGGAAGGACCTCAACAACTGCGACAAGCACCCAAAAGCCATCCTCCGTAAAGCCGAGCGGACCGAGCTCCACAACAGCTAAGCCAAGTAGCCAAAAACCTTCAACTACTAAGCCAACCACCGGAAGGACTTCAACAGCCAAGCCAAGCTCGCAAAAGCCTTCGACTCCTAAGTCAACTACCGGAAGGACCTCAACAACTGCGACAAGCACCCAAAGGCCATCCTCCGTAAAGCCGAGTGGACCGAGCTCCACAACAGCTAAGCCAAGTAGCCAAAAACCTTCAACTACTAAGCCAACCACCGGAAGGACTTCAACAGCTAAGCCAAGCTCGCAAAAGCCTTCGACTCCTAAGCCAACTACCGAAAACACCTCAACAACTAAGACAAGCACCCAAAGGCCATCCTCCGTAAAGCCGAGCGGACCGAGCACCTCAACAGCTAAGCCAAGTAGCCAAAAGCCTTCAACTACTAAGCCAACCACCGGAAGGACCTCAACAACTGCGACAAGCACCCAAAAGCCATCCTCCGTAAAGCCGAGTGGGCCGAGCTCCACAACAGCTAAGCCAAGTAGCCAAAAGCCGTCAACTACTAAGCCAACCACCGGAAGGACTTCAACAGCTAAGCCAAGCTCGCAAAAGCCTTCGACTCCGAAGTCAACTACCGGAAGAACCTCAACAACTGCGACAAGCACCCAAAAGCCATCCTCCGTAAAGCCGAGTGGACCGAGCTCCACAACAGCTAAGCCAAGTAGCCAAAAACCTTCAACTACTAAGCCAACCACCGGAAGGACCTCAACAACTGCGACAAGCACCCAAAAGCCATCCTCCGTAAAGCCGAGCGGACCGAGCTCCACAACAGCTAAGCCAAGTAGCCAAAAACCTTCAACTACTAAGCCAACCACCGGAAGGACTTCAACAGCTAAGCCAAGCTCGCAAAAGCCTTCAACTCCTAAGCCAACTACCGAAAACACCTCAACAACTAAGACAAGCACTCAAAAGCCATCCTCCGTAAAGCCGAGCGGACCGAGCTCCACAACAGCTAAGCCAAGTAGCCAAAAAACTTCAACTACTAAGCCAACCACCGGAAGGACCTCAACAACTGCGACAAGCACCCAAAAGCCATCCTCCGTAAAGCCGAGTGGACCGAGCTCCACAACAGCTAAGCCAAGTAGCCAAAAGCCGTCAACTACTAAGCCAACCACCGGAAGGACTTCAACAGCTAAGCCAAGCTCGCAAAAGCCTTCGACTCCGAAGTCAACTACCGGAAGAACCTCAACAACTGCGACAAGCACCCAAAAGCCATCCTCCGTAAAGCCGAGTGGGCCGAGCTCCACAACAGCTAAGCCAAGTAGCCAAAAGCCGTCAACTACTAAGCCAACCACCGGAAGGACTTCAACAGCTAAGCCAAGCTCGCAAAAGCCTTCGACTCCGAAGTCAACTACCGGAAGAACCTCAACAACTGCGACAAGCACCCAAAAGCCATCCTCCGTAAAGCCGAGTGGACCGAGCTCCACAACAGCTAAGCCAAGTAGCCAAAAACCTTCAACTACTAAGCCAACCACCCGAAGGACTTCAACAGCTAAGCCAAGCTCGCAAAAGCCTTCGACTTCGAAGTCAACTACCGGAAGGACCTCAACAACTGCGACAAGCACCCAAAAGCCATCCTCCGTAAAGCCGAGCGGACCGAGCTCCACAACAGCTAAGCCAAGTAGCCAAAAACCTTCAACTACTAAGCCAACCACCGGAAGGACCTCAACAACTTGGACAAGCACCCAAAAGCCATCCTCCGTAAAGCCGAGCGGACCGAGCTCCACAACAGCTAAGCCAAGTAGCCAAAAACCTTCAACTACTAAGCCAACCACCGGAAGGACTTCAACAGCTAAACCAAGCTCGCAAAAGCCTTCGACTACGAAGTCAACTACCGGAAGGACCTCAACAACTAAGACAAGCACTCAAAAGCCATCCTCCGTAAAGCCGAGCGGACCGAGCTCCACAACAGCTAAGCCAAGTAGCCAAAAACCTTCAACTACTAAGCCAACCACCGGAAGGACTTCAACAGCTAAGCCAAGCTCGCAAAAGCCTTCGACTCCTAAGTCAACTACCGGAAGGACCTCAACAACTGCGACAAGCACTCAAAAGCCATCCTCCGTAAAGCCGAGCGGACCGAGCTCCACAACAGCTAAGCCAAGTAGCCAAAAACCTTCAACTACTAAGCCAACCACCGGAAGGACTTCAACAGCTAAGCCAAGCTCGCAAAAGCCTTCGACTCCGAAGTCAACTACCGGAAGGACCTCACCAACTGCGACAAGCACCCAAAAGCCATCCTCCGTAAAGCCGAGTGGACCGAGCTCCACAACAGCTAAGCCAAGTAGCCAAAAACCTTCAACTACTAAGCCAACCACCGGAAGGACTTCAACAACTGCGACAAGCACCCAAAAGCCATCCTCCGTAAAGCCGAGTTTACCGAGCTCCACAACAGCTAAGCCAAGTAGCCAAAAACCTTCAACTACTAAACCAACCACCGGAAGGAATTCAACAGCTAAGCCAAGCACTCAAAGGCCTTCGACTTCTAAACCAACTACCGAAAACACCTCAACAACTAAGACAAGCACCCAAAGGCCATCCTCCGTAAAGCCGAGTGGACCGAGCTCCACAACAGCTAAGCCAAGTAGCCAAAAACCTTCAACTACTAAGCCAACCACCGGAAGGACTTCAACAGCTAAGCCAAGCTCGCAAAAGCCTTCGACTCCGAAGTCAACTACCGGAAGGACCTCACCAACTGCGACAAGCACCCAAAAGCCATCCTCCGTAAAGCCGAGTGGACCGAGCTCCACAACAGCTAAGCCAAGTAGCCAAAAACCTTCAACTTCTAAGCCAACCACCGGAAGGACTTCAACAGCTAAGCCAAGCTCGCAAAAGCCTTCGACTCCGAAGTCAACTACCGGAAGGACCTCAACAACTGCGACAAGCACCCAAAAGCCATCCTCCGTAAAGCCGAGTGGACCGAGCTCCACAACAGCTAAGCCAAGTAGCCAAAAACCTTCAACTACTAAGCCAACCACCGGAAGGACCTCAACAACTAAGACAAGCACCCAAAGGCCATCCTCCGTAAAGCCGAGCGGACCGAGTTCCACAACAGCTGAGCCAAGTAGCCAAAAACCTTCAACTACTAAGCCAACCACCGAAAGGACTTCAACAGCCAGGCCAAGCACCCAAAAACCTTCGACGGCGAAGCCAACGACCGAAAACATCTCAACAACTAAGACAAGCACCCAAAGGCCATCCTCCGTAAAGCCGAGCGGACCGAGCTCCACAACAGCTAAGCCAAGTACCCAAAAACCTTCAACTACTAAGCCAACCACCGGAAGGACCTCAACAACTAAGACAAGCACACAAAGGCCATCCTCCGTAAAGCCGAGTGGACCGAGGTTCACAACAGCTAAGCCAAGTACCCAAAAACCTTCAACTACTAAGCCAACCACCGAAAGGACTTCAACAGCCAGGCCAAGCACCCAAAAACCTTCGACGGCTAAGCCAACGACCGAAAACATCTCAACAACTAAGACAAGCACCCAAAGGCCATCCTCCGTAAAGCCGAGCGGACCGAGCTCCACAACAGCTAAACCAAGTAGCCAAAAGCCTTCAACTACTAAGCCAACCACCGGAAGGACTTCAACATCTAAGCCAAGCTCGCAAAAGCCTTCGACTCCTAAGTCAACTACCGGAAGGACCTCAACAACGAAGACATGCACCCAAAAGCCATCCTCCGTAAAGCCGAGCGGACCGAGCTCCACAACAGCTAAGCCAAGTAGCCAAAAGCCGTCAACTACTAAGCCAACCACCGAAAACACCTCAACAACTAAGACAAGCACACAAAAGCCATCCTCCGTAAAGCCGAGCGGACCGAGCTCCACAACAGCTAAGCCAAGTAGCCAAAAACCTTCAACTACTAAGCCAACCACCGGAAGGACTTCAACAGCTAAGCCAAGCTCGCAAAAGCCTTCGACTCCGAAGTCAACTACCGGAAGGACCTCAACAACTAAGACAAGCACCCAAAGGCCATCCTCCGTAAAGCCGAGCGGACCGAGCTCCACAACAGCTAAGCCAAGTAGCCAAAAACCTTCAACTACTAAGCCAACCACCGAAAGGACTTCAACAGCCAGGCCAAGCACCCAAAAACCTTCGACGGCTAAGCCAACGACCGAAAACATCTCAACAACTAAGACAAGCACCCAAAGGCCATCCTCCGTAAAGCCGAGCGGACCGAGCTCCACAACAGCTAAGCCAAGTAGCCAAAAACCTTCAACTACTAAGCCAACCACCGAAAGGACTTCAACAGCCAGGCCAAGCACCCAAAAACCTTCGACGGCTAAGCCAACGACCGAAAACATCTCAACAACTAAGACAAGCACCCAAAGGCCATCCTCCGTAAAGCCGAGCGGACCGAGCTCCACAACAGCTAAGCCAAGTAGCCAAAAACCTTCAACTACTAAGCCAACCACCGGAAGGACCTCAACAACGAAGACAAGCACCCAAAAGCCATCCTCCGTAAAGCCGAGCAGACCGAGCTCCACAACAGCTAAGCCAAGTAGCCAAAAACCTTCAACTACTAAGCCAACGACCGGAAGGACTTCAACAGCTAAGCCAAGCTCGCAAAAGCCTTCGACTTCGAAGTCAACTACCGGAAGGACCTCAACAACTAAGACAAGCACCCAAAGGCCATCCTCCGTAAAGCCGAGCGGACCGAGCTCCACAACAGCTAAGCCAAGTAGCCAAAAACCTTCAACTACTAAGCCAACCACCGAAAGGACTTCAACAGCCAGGCCAAGCACCCAAAAACCTTCGACGGCTAAGCCAACTACCGAAAACACCTCAACAACTAAGACAAGCACCCAAAAGCCATCCTCCGTAAAGCCGAGTGGACCGAGCTCCACAACAGCTAAGCCAAGTAGCCAAAAGCCGTCAACTACTAAGCCAACCACCGAAAGGACTTCAACAGCCAGGCCAAGCACCCAAAAACCTTCGACGGCTAAGCCAACTACTGAAAACACCTCAACAACTAAGACAAGCACCCAAAAGCCATCCTCCGTAAAGCCGAGTGGACCGAGCTCCACAACAGCTAAGCCAAGTAGCCAAAAACCTTCAACTACTAAGCCAACCACCGGAAGGACCTCAACAGCCAGGCCAAGCACCCAAAAACCTTCGACGGCTAAGCCAACTACCGAAAACACCTCAACAACTAAGACAAGCACTCAAAAGCCATCCTCCGTAAAGCCGAGCGGACCGAGCTCCACAACAGCTAAGCCAAGTAGCCAAAAACCTTCAACTACTAAACCAACCACCGGAAGGACTTCAACAGCTAAGCCAAGCACTCAAAGGCCTTCGACGGCTAAACCAACTACCGAAAACATCTCAACAACTAAGACAAGCACCCAAAGGCCATCCTCCGTAAAGCCGAGTGGACCGAGCTCCACAACAGCTAAGCCAAGTAGCCAAAAACCTTCAACTACTAAGCCAACCACCGGAAGGACTTCAACAGCCAAGCCAAGCACTCAAAAGCCTTCGACTCCGAAGTCAACTACCGGAAGGACTTCAACAACTAAGACAAGCACCCAAAAGCCATCCTCCGTAAAGCCGAGCGGACCGAGCTCCACAACAGCTAAGCCAAGTAGCCAAAAACCTTCAACTACTAAGCCAACCACCGGAAGGACTTCAACAGCCAAGCCAAGCACTCAAAAGCCTTCGACTCCGAAGTCAACTACCGGAAGGACTTCAACAACTAAGACAAGCACCCAAAAGCCATCCTCCGAAAAGCCAAGCTCGTCGAGCACCACAACAGCTAAGCCAAGTAGCCAAAATCCTTCGACTACTAAGCCAACTATCAGAAGCACCTCAACAGCTAAGCCAAGCACTCGAAAGACGTCGACTAGAAAGCCATCTATGTCTAGTACCTCCACTGCTAAACCCAGTACTCAGATCCCATCGACGTTTAAACCAAGCAAGCCAAGCATTAGAACATCAACCACAGTGAAGCCTTCTGAACCAAGCACACCAAGGACAAAGCCGACTAGGGCAAGCACTTCAACAGCTAAGACAAGTACACAAGAGTTTTCCACTGTAAAACCGACTGTCCGAAGGTCTACAACAACCAGATCGAGCACTAAGAAGCCAGGCACCTCGAAGCCAACTGTTCGAAGCACAACAACTAATCAATTTACTTCTCCAAGCACAACAGAATCATTACCACCTTTCAATATATTTTAGGTGAGATTACTGAAAAGCGTTCATGGATGAGATGTGTTGTACCCTGCTCGTCAGATTCTATCACCGACATCATCAAAACTGTCTGCTTCCAGTAAAATTGAATTTAAATAATGCCAATATCATTGTAATGTAATTTTTTGACAGCGTGTCTGCTCTGTATACTATTAAATTTGCCTGAAAATATGAATATTTTTTTACATAATTACATGTTATTGACTGTTTATAAATACACTATGGAACATATCTATCCTTTTTTTCAATAAGTCACACTTCATTTTGCGGAAGAATAATTTAATATCATTACAATTTTTCTATTATATTTATTTTGTTAGCATTTTGGGTATTTTCTTTTACTTTTTATATTTTCTTCAAAAACTATATAAATGTTTATATAGAAGCAATGAACAATTTTGACTTTAGAATAAGTACTATGTAGCTGGTCGCGCCCGGAAACAACCAGTCTGTACATCAGTGTGGTGAGAAGGCCTTCTGCATGAATGTATAACTGTTTGTATGAGCGTATGAATGTAGTAATGAATGTTTTAATGTATGAATGTATGAATGTATGAATGTATGAATGTATGAATGTATGAATGTATGAATGTATGAATGTATGAATGTATGAATGTATGAATGTATGAATGTATGAATGTATGAATGTATGAATGTATGAATGTATGAATGTATGAATGTATGAATGTATGAATGTATGAATGTATGAATGTATGAATGTATGAATGTATGAATGTATGAATGTATGAATGTATGAATGTATGAATGTATGAATGTATGAATGCATGAATGTATGAATGTATGAATGTATGAATGTACGAATGTATGAATGTATGAATGTATGAATGTATGAATGTATGAATGTATGAATGTATGAATGTATGAATGTATGAATGTATGAATGTATGAATGTATGAATGTATGAATGTATGAATGTATGAATGTATGAATGTATGAATGTATGAATGTATGAATGTATGAATGTATGAATGTATGAATGTATGAATGTATGAATGTATGAATGTATGAATGTATGAATGTATGAATGTATGAATGTATGAATGTATGAATGTATGAATGAATGTATGAATGTATGAATGTATGAATGTATGAATGTATGAATGTATGAATGTATGAATGTATGAATGTATGAATGTATGAATGTATGAATGTATGAATGTATGAATGTATGAATGTATGAATGTATGAATGTATGAATGTATGAATGTATGAATGTATGAATGTATGAATGTATGAATGTATGAATGTATGAATGTATGAATGTATGAATGTATGAATGTATGAATGTATGAATGTATGAATGTATGAATGTGTGAATGTATGAATGTATGAATGTATGAATGTATGAATGTATGAATGTATGAATGCATGAATGTATGAATGCATGAATTTACATATAGCAATCGCTGTTCTAACAACGTTCCGGCTAAGTTAAGGGAAATTTATTTTCATATGCTGTCCTAAAATGCGTTTCTAATGAATTCATTCATATAATGTAGGCAGGACACAGCCGATCTCTTTGGGTTGTTTATATATGCAATACTCTGTTCAAAATTAAGTAATGAAAACCTATCGAGCTGAAATGTGTTCTTGGAAATTGACTCTCTTTCGTTTGCTACTATTTGGTTTGCTCTTGGCTGAAAATAATTAATTTGTTCTTTCATTTGTTTACTCCGATTTGTTCTAAAAAGCGCTAAGAAAATGTTGAGGTATGTAAACACAATTTGTGCCAAGTGCCGACTGCGGAACTTCTGGTTGTTGGCCAAGAAATTAATTGAAATAGTTAAGAGCACGCAAAATACGTATTCTGTCACAGAAACAGGCCCAGAGTAAAAGTCGTCATTGCGTGCAAAAACAAGTAAGTATGGGCTTTAGCTGGGAGTGCCTGACTGTCAGATACCCAACAGTTTAATGCATTCCACAATATACTGTAGCTCTTAACGTGCAATAACTTAACTCAGATAACTTAAGCCTTAAGCCTTAAGTCTTTAACTAGGTTTTAAGTTCGAAAGATGAAAAAGGCAAAATCCTGAAAAATAATACATGGGCTTGTCAGTTGCGATTGCTTTACGCCATTATTAGACTTAGGTTATTAAACAGATAAGTAAAATAATGTTTGATTTGATGCAAAGCTCTTGAAGCATGTTTTGATCCATTCCTATTATCCATTTTGGGACCAACTGAACCAGTAAGAGTCAATATACATACATATATCTGTCATACAATTAAGATATGCCAAATGCGTTTTAATTGCTACTAACACAATATATTTCGTTGTAACCCAGATTGATTTTCTGTCCATTGCCAAATTACCAGCACATCAACTGTGCTGCCCGATGGGATGCGTCGGACGAATGATTCGACAGAATGCTCGATTAATTAATATATTCAGATATAATATTAGCTAGCTAACGGCTCACCAGCATAACAAAAGCTACCGAAGAAGCCTTCACAAAACAGTTGGTTGAATTGGTAATACTCTGTAAACTCACTTCCGATTGACAGATCTATGAATTGTGTAAGGACATGTTCAAAAAGAGTTTCCAGAACGTTCGTAATGGACTTTTGCAGTTCTTAAAACGATATTTGGTAATTTCATTTGGATGCTTGCTACGCTTGAAAGTTTCTAGTTCTAGAATCGGTAGGTCAATTAAATAACTAATTATGGTTAGGTAAGCCTCATTAAGTCTCTAGCTTGACTTATTTACTTTCATCAATCTGCATTCGTTTATCTGTTGCATACACATTCTCTGCTTGAGGATGCCCCTATTTGGTCATTAGTTGTGTGTGTACATGTTGTAAGGAAATAAAACCCATAAGCACGTTACCAACACCATAACCACAAATGAACGCACAATAATCGTGTTCCGTGTCCGATGATGGCAGATTACAAATGTCAATGATAGAGTGTGCGTGCGTGCGTGTGTGTATTTGCATGTGTGTATGCGCGTGTGGGCGTGTGTAATGGAACGGCTCGGCATAATCACCTTGGTATGCCCTCCATATTAGAAAAAAATCCAAAAAAAAAGAAATACTCAAACAGTTGGGGCCGTTGGGTGACACGTCAAAGTTCATTGACCAGAAAAAAAGAAGTGAAAAAGTAGAGGCACTGCGGGTGAGTCCTTCAACCACTTTGCACCGCCGCAACCACTTTGCTTCACTTATGATGAGCAATTAAAATGAACGCTCCATCAAAAGACTCGGTGGCAGTGCCGCCAAGCAAATGATTGAGTGCCTCCAGCTGGCAATGATAACCATATTGAACTGGCGTGAACTAGTTCTCTCTACGCTGCTTTGAAGCGCGCTTTTAATTAATTGATGCAGCTATTAGTCGAAGGCTAGTTAAGTGTTTAAATTAGTTGTAACAGAAGTTCTTTCTGCCATCGACCGTTTGAACAAGTTCAAAACTTTTTGCCAACACTCGGCGACTTGTGTCGCTTGCCTTAATCAAAAAAAAAGAAGAAATCATGTTGTCTAAATTGTTTGTGTGCATTTTCCTTTGAACGCATACACACAGACAGACATCACAGCAAGCGTCTGATAGCATTTTATGGGCCAGCAAAGAGGTACACTGCGAAAAATATTGAGGTAGTTCCCTAATGTGATTGAATGGTTGAGGATTATCACACAGCTATGGCCTCAGCGCATGGAGTGATATAAATATTTGCAATATTTAATATAATAAATGTTAAGAGCTTTTTCTTTCAGTGTAAGCGCAAGCAGCCATAGGGTGACTGGACCTTAACTGAGATAAAGTGAAGCTTGACTGAATGAAGCGTTTGTCCTAAGCAGAACCTCAGATTTTGCTTCAGATTAAAATATTATTATCCTTGCCTAATAGAGTTTATTGATGTGTTTAGTTCATTATAGATATGCTCTCTTATACAGGCCTATGTATGACTTTTTGCACTTGCTCAATGTGCCTCGGACAGAGAGCTTTAATTGGCTTATATGTTCACCAACTCTGACCTGTCGTAGGTCAGCTAGCCAGTCAGCCCAGCGGCAATGGATGAATTAATATAAATCAAGGCATCACAAGCTGCTGGCGTTCGCCCTCTAATAAACCTTTGGGCACTTGAACTCTTTACACAAAATGCCACAAGCTGCGACTGGGGGCGAGCACAAGCACGCAATGGCTGGAAAAGCCGCGACGCATTTTGATATCAATTAAATTGGGCGTGAAATTTGAAGCACTTTGTAGCCAGTACTGTAAACAATTTATTCCAGGAAAGCTCATGATGAGTTCGTGACTTCCATCGCAATGTCGTATGTTAAGTCACCCAGATGCGCCCACAGACCGCATATGCAGCCCACTCACTCAGTCGTCCATCCAGCAGCAAATTGTGGCTTAATAAATTCACCAGCTTTGATTATCCAATAGAATCAATTTTAGATGTGTTTGGCCTGATTCTATATGCAGGCCATAAACAACACGGAATTCGTGAGTGTTCCGAAAGTAAGTAAAGAAAGTAAGTAAGCAAAGCGGAATAAGGACCAACAGTATTCAGCTTATATTAGATAAGCTTCTTTCTCCATTTAGCTACATTTGTCATGTTAACTTATTTTCAATATATCTTAGTCTATTTTTGATACGAATTGTAAACCCATCCAATATATATTTAGATATTTCTTATATTAAAATTAGTTATCTTATACATATGCATATTCATATATTTACAAATTCATATTCATATTCATATTCATATTTATATTCATATTCATATTCATATTCATATTCATATTCATATTCATATTCATATTCATATTCATACTCATATTCATGTTCATATCCACATATTCATATTCATATTCATATACATATTCATATTCATATACATATTCATATTCATATTCATATTCACATTCACATTCATTTTCATATTCATATTCACATTCACATTCACATTCATATTCATATTCGTATTCATATTCATATTCATATTCATATTCATATTCATATTCATATTCATATTTATATTCATATTCACATTCATATTCATATTCATATTCATATTCATATTCATATTCATATTCATATTCATATTCATATTCATATTCATATTCATATTCATATTCATATTCATATTCATATTCATATTCATATTCATATTCATATTCATATTCATATTCATATTCATATTCATATTCATATTCATATTCATATTCATATTCATATACATATTCATATTCATATTCAT